TCCACCATCCTGAAGGGCCTCAGCCCGGAGGGCAGACAAAATAGATTCAATATCCATCGCCCTGGCCGTGAGACGAGCAGTGGTAACAGGCAGCAAGGAGGAAGATGTTACCAGCTGTTTTTAAGATGGCTGAGGTAAGGGACAAAATGACTGCCCTTTATATGACCCCACCTCTAGCCTAAGTGACACCCCTCCCCACATGTGACACCTACACCCACCACACCCACACATGCCTCCTATCCGGCTAGCTTTCAGCCCGCCTCCTCTGGGCCTGGACTTTTAGCCTGCAACATCTGGTGTGCCCATGTTCTGATGCGTGCAGATAGGAGGTTTGATAGCTGCTCGGACCATTATTAAGGTGGTAGCATAAGTCCGAGGCTTAAAGGCAGATAATTCGCAGTCCACCTTAAAGTGCTGGAAGGATGTACGGCTACCATCAAATTTCTCAGGCATAATGACAAACGGCTCAGGATAAGCAGGTTCCGGTGCTGGGCGTACTGGGTCTTTAAGAATTAGCACTTCTCGTTGCAACTCCGAAACAGTTTGGGCCAGGCTGGACACTTGTTGGGTAAGCAGTTTGCACATCTCTGCGGACTCCATGATGGTCAGTTTGTTATGTCATGGCTTATCTTAGTTGGAGTCCAAAGTGCAGAGATGTTTGCACCCCCTTGCAGATAAACACAGCCCATGGTAACCAGCTACCTGGGCTGTGAATCTGTGCACGGGGGCTTAGGCAGAAACAGTAACCCTGTACGAGGAAACAGACAAGGGCAAATCCAGAAGAGTAGTCAGACACGGTTCCAAAGGTCAGGGCAGGCAGCGAACAGGCAATGACTGTCACGGTTCTCACCATGACATCCAGATGTGGTCGCACTAGGAGTGCCCAACAGGGGATTTTAACTCTGGACTCTTTCTGCCTTAGTCCTACTGAGATTTCTGACTGCTACACTGTGGTGCACTGAAAAAGGATACTACTACAACTGCTAAAGTAAAGACACCTTTCAACATATCACTAAGACCATCAACACATCCATAGACGGGGATTGTACCGTCCAGGCGCACATATAATAATTGTAAATAATTTTGTTTTATCTTATACCATCAGTTACCTAAATACTACACTATATTCCGCTTTCTCCTTGTAACGGATCGCCTGGCACCCCGACTGGGTACCTCCGTTGAAGAATGCTCCTAGCGCTTCCTGAGGACTCCAAGCACTGCAGCAGACACCACAACCACCGAACCGGAGAAGCATATGAATGCTCTCAAGCATATGAATGTTGTCTACAGCCGAATAGGAAAAACCATGCAAATAGGTTTACACGCCTAGCAGTCAAACTGGAACAGCATACAATAAATCCTCCCCCAATAATGAGACGACACTTCACTTTGAGGGTTAAGCAGGAACTCTTGTGCTGGCACACCCAGCCTGGTTTTTATTACAGTCTTTCACATACAGGACCGCCCACAGGGAGGTATAAAACAACCAATCACATATCAGTTACATCCTACATATTCCCTCCCCTTATCCTGAGAGGAAACTCAATTACACATACAGTTAAAACATACTTTCTACCCAACTTTCATAACTTTAAAACCATACATCACATTCACATAAAATTACATATTCACAATCAATCCATTCAGGGGAACAACATATTAAAAAAATGGCATGAATCCGACCAGAGGTTCAAAAGTTAGTAAAAGTATCTTTTGGGCCCTGGCTGGCACATGGATATCTGGCTCAAACATGTTTTACAGAGCCCTCTATCCTGGAGACAACGGGGGAAAGTAATCCAATTATCCAGGGATAGAGGCAGACTCCATTGAGCACATGGTTGCAAAAAGACATAAAACACTTTAAAATACATAAAGTCACCTTTTACACATAACACACAGACATTTCACATATCCCCAGACAGCTGGGATCTGAGCGCCCAAAACTACCGAATAGCACTCAGATCCTATTCACACAGTTCAATTGCCATGGAGCCGAAGTCTTTAACTACACGAATGGGCTCAATGGCATAGCTATCTGGGTTAACACATTCACATAAAGTCTGGTCCATAGTCCAAAGGCAAGAGGCGGGCAAGCAGCCCCCTCAAAGGACACATGGTGAGGCCGGTTTCGCCACACTCCTCTTATTCCCTATATTGGTCCATCCCTATCTGGATCTGAGGACATTACTGAAGGTACTGCTTTCCTACATATCCTTTTCTATCCACAACACCTCCAGAAGTAAGAGACTCTGGTTTGGGAAGTTCAAGCTGCCATACGTACAACTAACAAGCAACAGAAATTCTATCCTTTTATCTATTTAAACACTTTTTCCTTTTTCTGTAATATCAGTGTAGGTTTTCCATTTTCTCTGTTTTGGCACTATTTCTATGTTCCCTTTTTTCTTGTCTTCGTTTTCTGTATCTCGCTTTGTTTTTACTTTGTTTAATCTTATATTACCTTTCTTACACAGCTCGCACATGCCACAAATGACAGCTGTGAGGGGTGCTCAGGGCACTCCTATAACGCAGGTTACGCTGTGTAGCGTGGCCGCTCGTTACACAGGTAGAGGATTTCATTATGCTCCACCTGGGTCTATCAGAGAGAACAGTAGGGAGTGCGGGTAGGTGGCAGGTGGAGCTAAGTGGCAGGCAAGGTGGAGCTAAGTGCAGCAAAACCCTCTACCTGGTAAGTGAGGGGAAGCAATAGGGAGTTCCTGCTCCCCCACCTAGCATTTCACTGCTCCTGCGTTGGAAAGATGATGGATTTTGCAGAGAGGGGTTACCCATTGGAGGTACTACAGGATGCAAAAGACAGGGTGTTGTCCCAAGAGATGTAGCAGGTGAGGCGTGTAAGAAATCGACAGAGGCAGAATAGGATTCCATTTGCTCAGACCCTCTCTAGTAAGTCCAATCAGATAAAAATAATTGTTAGGAAACATTGGCATACCTTGTACAGATAAATACAGATAAGGAACTGGCATATAAAAGATCCAGAAACATGAGGGATAAATGAGTACATGTACAAGCCAATACTGTCCAAAAGGCAAGTAATTGTTGGGTGGCACCTCCAAGGGGGATGTATAAATGTAGAAGGTGTGTCAACTGGAAGAATGTCATGAGGGTTGAATCAATCAGATATCCTAGTCTGGGGTATAACATCAGCCTATGAGGGACAAACCAGAAGACCTTTGACCATTCGTATAGGGGAACAGACTGCCATCAAGACAGGTTTGGTTACTTCACCAGTGGCACATCATTTTATGGAGACAGGACATTGTGTCTCTCAGTTACAGTTTTTAAATATAGAGTGGGTAAACAGTCACCTTAGGGGGGGCAATAGATTGAAACTTCTAAAGCAATGTAAAGAGATGTTTTGGATGTATACACTTGACACTTTTTCCAAAGGGCATGAATGACGATAAAGACTTCAGTTGTTTCAGATAACAAATTTAATGCGCCTGTGTGTGCTGCTTGTTATATTTTAAGTTTTTCACTTAATTGGATATTTGTAATCGGATGACAATAGGAATGGAGGAACATCAATATCATGAAGATGATGTATAAAACAGATGCTTTATAAAAAGGAACCATTATTGTTATGAAGATAATCAGATCTGTTGGGCTCATTGTATTTTGCTATGTTATGTTGTGTTTATATATTTCTTTTTTCAATTTGTTTGCTCATCTGAGTGACATGTGGGAACGAGTAGTTCCCCTGGTCGCTTAGATCAGCAGCTAAATATTTTTTTTCACATGCATGTTTTATTTTCTCTTAACGTAATGTCATATGAAAAAGTATATTGTGTATGTTTATTAGCGATTGTACAATTAAATACATTGTCTGGTTATATATCACCAAGTCAGAATATTTTGGATTGGAAAATTGCCCCAATGCATGTTTCATTTGATATTATGTGAGGATCAGATATGTATTGTATGTAAAAACAGTGCGTATTATAGTCAAAGAATATGTGACGGACCACCTGGCACCCCGACAGCGTACCTCCGCCAATCGATGCTTCCTAGATGACACTGAGGACCATAAGCACTGCACCGGACACCATAAGCACCGTAGACCCCACGAACGGCTGCAGCTTGGTTGGGGGTCTCGCCGTCCCTTCCCGTCCTGGACCAAAGATCCTGGATCCAGTTTGGAGGTGGCTTTTTTTGCCACCCCCTTCAAAGGGCCGCCCAAGGCACATGCCTCGTGTAAGATACATCACTACCCACATACCCATTGAGGGGAAGAGACTTCGTCACCTTGTTGTGGCACTTGCTTTACCCTTGCAGACACTACTAGACCAAGCATCCTGAAATCAGACCACCCAGTAACCTACCTATGCCGACTAGGGCCTCCAAAGGAGCCTGTCAACTCAGGCCAGCTCCATGGAAGTAGCCATCAGCTCAGAACTCAGCCACTGCTGATCTTCTGCATAAAGTTTTTGATAAACTGCAATCATTTAAGGGACGCTGGACATCCTCACGCTATGCATGAGGACTTCCAGTGTCACCCAAAACCCTCATAGGAAAGTATTGCACAAAGCTTTCCTATGGGGAAGTCCTAATGCGCTTTAGGTTCCACCCCACTGGGGACATCTGTTTAGGAGGAGCTTGAACCAGTGCCAGGGGACCTTGGTCTTGGAATCAGGCAAGTGACAGAAGGGGATTTTAACTTATTTTGCACCACAGGATGTGGCAAGGGAGAGGGCACTAGAGTTTCTCTTTAAGAGAAAGCAAATTCCATATTATGCATAAGAATCTATTACGTCTTGATGCAAGTTAGTCAGATACTTTTTCATATTTTGCTGTTCCCAACTTATGATCCACAAAAAAAAAAAAAAAAATATGGAATTAGCACTAGTTGAATGCTTTTTATTAAATAAAAGTTCTAAACACATAAAAATTTATCAATAGGGAAGACATTAAATTAATAAAAATCTGAATAGATCCAATCCATGACAACAGAAGACTGCATCTCAATTTTGGCCTTGATATCGAATTCAAAGCTCGCTTTCCAGATCTATGGAGCAGTGATGCTGATTAGAAAAGTACTCCAGAAGACGTTTAGTAGTAGCCTTCCGTGCCTCGTCAACAGAATAGAGGACCAGAGTGGAAAATACGCGCTAAGGAGTTAAACAGAAAGGTTTATAGCAATCATTGGAGGGCACCCCCCTTTATAGTTCAAGCACAATAACCACTTACGTCTGAAAAATGAACAAAAAACCTAGAACGAATGACATGAAGAGCGAATTGCTTGTTGGATGAAATTTGTAATTCATTTTGTTCATTACAAGGAGGAAGTTACCAGCTCACGTCTCCACAGCTAGATCCTATCCCATCCTAAGCCTCTGCTCACCCTATGTGGGTCAATATGACCTCTATATTAGTATAAGGGAGGTTAAATATTTTCCTCCCTCTACCAGCCATGCCGCAAGTAGGGATAGATTGAGATATACACACCTCAACAGCTCAGCCAGTTTTACAGTTCAGCTATTTCCCTCCTCAGTTTTGCCATTTGGGGTTTAGTGAATAACTCTGAATGTAGTTGCAGAGGGCTTTTGTGTCCACATTACCATATGCAAAATTCTCAGAGCATTTTGGTAGCGATGAGGTTTGTGGAGACTACACCAGCAGCAAGTGTTAGGATGATATTTTCAAATGCTATTCACTCAGTGTCCAATATATATTTTTACATCAGCATTATAACTATACATTACTTTGTTGATAGTCATGGGTTCAAAGTCTAGTTTGTGTGGATAGCATATGAATGTGGTTTAATAGAGTCTTTCAGAAACGTTAAAAATTAAAATAAACCCGCAGCCAGTCTTAGATAACAGGGTTCACGTTTGTTACAAAGAGCTTGCAATCGCCTCATGTTAACAGTTGCTACTGGGGCTCTCTAGGTTTACCATCAGCCTAGAATAAAATAAACACCCATTTCAGTAAATGGCGGTATGGGTGTCCTCCTTTGGCCCGGTTGACGTTTTATCTCCATACATATGGCTATAGAGGAGTTATCAGAGTAGCTTGCCAGGATAACTTATTCCCATTTTTGGGGTCTTTTCCCATGTCCCTGAACCATTACTGTGAATACATTAATAGCAGTATTCAGTAACCATAACTACTTACATAGAAACACTTGATCCGGTCAGCCTCCAGACGTAGAAAGGCTTCCACGGTTAGATCATTTACACTGCCTGAAAGGTTGAGGAAGCCACAGGTTGAAGAACGTTTGGAGTGCTCTGTCCTGGGGGTTGAGGGGGGAAATAGGGAAAGATAGGAAATAAGATTTCAAAAACAGAGCTAGAACAAGAATAAGCCTTCCGCCAATGCTAGTCTTTACATCATTTGGATTTTATAGAGAACCAGGATATTTTGCAGCACTGGGCTATAAACTATTGTTCATACAAGAGTGTAATATTACTGTGTGAAACAAGATACAGCTACTACTTAAAATTTAATCTTTAAAAGACAAAAAGCTTTTCTAGAGGGGGAAGGAAAGTGCTAAAATAAACCTTTTTCGTATTGATCCTTTTACGTTGCCCTCAGATTGACTTTATTCTGAGAGTCTGCAAGGTTAAGGGTCACACCATTCCATCTGTACATTGTGCTACCAAAGTGTTCATCTGAAGCAGTTCACTGTTGTGACCTCCTAGAGTTACATTACAGTGCACCATGAACCACATCCCATACACAAATTTACCAGGGATTGTCATCTGGCTCCCAGCCTTCCAGCTCTGTCAGACAGAAAAAGCAGCAGACCACGTCAGGTTCATTTTCAGATGGGCGGTGTATAAACCCAGTTTTGGCCATCTAAAGGAACAAGTCAAGACAGATGTTTGGGAACTCAGTCATTATATGATGATACATTTAAGATATGGCCAGTTTCTAATATATCTGGAAACATATCCTTGAGAGAACTGTTCAACCGGTTAGTTGGAACCCACACTTACATTTTCAGGAGTACAATTACAGTTTTCAGTGAAGGGCCAATCTGAAAATGTACTAAGACGTTTCTCATAATCATACATATGTCTGTAATCCTGCAAACGTTGTATTGCCTGTTTATACATAATCTCAGATAGCTGCATGCAGATAAAAGAACACTCACCATACAACTAAAAAAACTCTCAAGTGTCCATATATATACCATGCTGGGAGACTAACATTCTTATTACTCACACCTGACTACCTGACACACCTATCTTCCTCTTTAACCCATTAGGTTTCAGATCTCAACTTGAGTTTTCATTAGTCTGCCGGATACACAGTTGTTCCTTCACTACAGCATATATCAATACCTGAAGAGTTCTGTCCTGCAGTATATAAAATTCATGTAGTTCAGGAGGGAAGTCAGTTAACCTCAGTTCCTCTGGAAAACCATTTGTGTTTATTTAATTGATTTCCCTACAAGCACTGCCCACAGAATCTGTAATTGATATGTCTCCAGGAAAACATGGTGGTTTTAACATAAATATTTGATAAGCTTTCCTTAAAAAAAGTGGCATATGGTCCCCCTACCGTAATATATTTAATGTTGCATATGAGATAAGAGGTATTTTTACTATGAGCTCAACTGTAATCTATAGAGAAAATGTGGCAACTTCTGCTTTAAGTGTTAGTTATTCAGAAGCACCTTACTTAAAGGCACATTCCAGACCCCTGAAGCTCTTTAGCTTACTGAAGTGCTTTTTTTTTGTTTCAAGAATGTGTCCTTTTTCTTTTCTTCCCATTTTACAAAAAGCGCAGATTTCAATAGAAATTGGCACTTTTAGAAATTAACCTTGTTAAACCCTTCTGGTTGTCAATTAGACAACTGATCCTGCCACTTCCTGGTTGTTTAGTTCACCTGTCTTGCAAAGATTTCTCATTGAGCTGCATTGGGAAGTCTATGATTAGACAGACACAGAAAGTCTAGGCTTGAGAAAGAAAGGCTGCAGACAATAAATCTTTTTTTTTTAAGCTGGTTTTAAATATAACCAAAAGGAAAAATGCATAGTTAAATTAACAAATGTTTTTTAATTTGGGTGTATCTACTAAATGTCTGTGTTTAGTTTTTTTTGGGGCAGTGGGGTGCTCCTTTAATAGTCATCCTGCATAATCAAATGTAAGGTAACCTACAAATTATTGTTTGAAATGTGTGAGTACCTGCAGTGCCCATTTAATGTATTTTAACCATTAAAGCAAGATCAATAAGCTGGTTTGCCAGATAGACCATGTTTATCCACAAAACGTTCAGGCTGTAATGAGTATAATGAATATGCTGCTATGGAAAAATCCTAAGGACATTGCCTCTGCCAACTGATTACAATCATGTAGCACATTGCATATACTGTGTGGAAACACTTTTCATGTGCCATATGTATCAGGAAAATATGAAACGGAACTTCTACAATAGCCATATGTAGAAAGGGGCAAAGTTTTTGTCAAACCACTTCTAAAGTTTGGTCTAGCACTGGGGTACTATATCTGGTATCTAATAGTCCCACAGCCACTATAAGGACATGTAATAGTATGATGCTTAGACTAACCCTGTTAAGTTTTTTTTTGTGACCTTGTGGGCTCTGAGAGAAGTCTCTGGTACTGCACTCTCTTCTAAAACCTATATTTTGCATTCTGCTGTTGTAGCTTATTAGTATCTATTTTTCTTAGAAATCCTAGAGCAAAAAATAGGATTCAGACATCTAAAGTATTTATGAAGGTAAAGTAATAATCCCACTATATCATTTTCCTATATATATATATATATATCTTCCCCAATTCCACTGACATTGTCCGACATAGCATTAGCATGTTTGTTAATTTATTGGCCTTTTTCTGGTCTTACATAAACATGTTACTGTAAAATCAAATGCATTGCTCATACACTTTCTACAATGAGATGTACACACGTTTTGATGTGTATTTGTTTTAGATGTGGGTAAAAAGATTATCACACTAAGAAAGGATGCTGAGTGCTGAAGTGCCTGTATCCTGTGCCAGCAAAGATAGCACTTGAACTGTAGAGAGGGGTTTGTCTCTAAATGGTAATATACAAAAAAAAAAAAAAAAATCACTGAAAAAAATGGTGAAAAACACCAGGCTTGCAATCTAATCAAAGCATGTGCAAGGTAGCTTTTTGCCCAACACCCATTAGTGTTGAGCAGAATCTACTTTGTATATACATTGGTTAGATTATTTCGGTTTTTGGTTCAATAGATTTTTTTCTGATTTTATTTTGTGGTTTTTCCAGTTCTTTTTCCCTGTTTGTTTTGTCCCATTCTACTGGATTATCATCCTGTCTGTCTATCTTTGTGTAGCAAATCCCCCGAGGTATTTTTGAATACCAGTATTTTAACTACATCTGCAAAATATATGATTAGCGAGGATATCTAAAAAAAACCAAAGAACTATAACTTCCCAGGACTAGACAAAACTCATATAAAGTTCAACAGAGGACTTAAATGAATGCTCCTAACACCTAATGTAATTTAGCTTTCTGAAATGCTTTATTTGTAAAAAGTTTGTCCTCTTTTTTTTCTATTTTTTTTTTAATAAAAATTGTAGCTTTCAATTGAAATTGGCACTTTATAAATTAACTTTGTTCAACCTTGTGCCAATCAGATTGTGTCAACCGATCCTGCTACTTCCTGGTTTGTTTAGCTCAGTGGAGCTAAACACAAGAGACAGCAACTGCTCAGAGCACCTGCCTTGCAAACACTTCTCATTGAGCTGCATTGGAAAGTCTGTGATTGGACAGTCACAGAAAGTCTGGGATGGGTCAGAAAGGGAAGGATTTGCCAAGGCAGCAGACATGAGACCCCCAGTGGGAAAATGCATAATTAGATGAATGCATGTTTTCATTTGGGCATATCTACTAAATAGTTATTGTTAAAAAGAAATGTAGGCAGTGGATTGCCCCTTTTTAAAGGAACATTCCAGACTCCCAAAGCACTTTAGCTTTTTATTTTTACATGCAGGTTTCAGTAGATGTTGGCACTTTCGTATATTAACCTTGTTACATCCCCTGGCTGTCAATCAGACAACTAGGCTGTTTACTTCCTGGTTGCTTAGCTCAGTGGAGCTAAATTCATGAGGCATTGGGGGGCCAGTTAGGGCACTATATCTTTAGGAATACATTTAATGTTCCTTTAATACTGGCTATGAATATCATGTTATAGCTGTGGCAAAGTCCTTCCCCACTATTAGGTGTCCAAAAGTAATTCTTGTGGCTAGGGTTCTTGATAGGTTATTCGTTACTAGGGCCTGACTGGCATTTAAGATAGTAGATTTGTTTTGTTTTGTTTTTTATTTACGATGTTGCAATGTTTTACACGACCTACGGGTATGTGTGCATCCTAGACATTGCTGTGAAACATTCATTGAATAGGTTCATTTTCAAGAGACAATTGCAATTCTTACAGTAGCTTTCATTTAGCTCCTTAGGTAAAATAAACTTGATGTGTAAGTTGTTAAATTTACGTCATTTTTAAGTTTTTGTTTTTTTTACTCAACAACAGCTGAGAATACAGAAAATAAATTACTGTCTAAACCAAATCCTGAAATCTCTGCCTCGCAGACTGTATATGTTGTATCCCTTATCACATGGGCGTGATCCCTCCCACCTTTTACTGTGTTAAGGGGCACTATTAAAAGTAACTTGACCCTAAGATGGACCATCTGGATGATCAAGAATCCTCCAGGCATAATTACATTTTACCCCTCCCCTATATTGCTAAGTGAGTTGTAACCCTTCGATAATGCAGGATCTGAAATTACCTTGCCTTTGTACTAATTATCCATCTTGTATAGGCATTCAAGGGTTAAATTATACTTTGAAAAAAATAGAACATTCTCTAACTCACCCTCAAAGACAGAGAACGGTCTATGTTCTGTGAACAATTCTCCCTTTCCATTCCCCTCTGGTGTACTTGCTTATCAAACACTATCTTACTCAACAAGTATTTGAGTAAATTTCCAATATATTGGAAGAATAGATGTGATGATATTGCTGTAAAAGGTATGTAGATTCCTTTATTTGTCTGTAGTAAAAGTTAGAAAGATGGGTCTGACAGTACGTAAGTAAAAATATTAATGTATTATAAATGCAATATTAGACATTCGTTTTGGACCTTTAAACCATGCAAGGACAAACAGCAGGCCGGAGCACCATGTTTTGTTCTAGGGTTTGTGGCTCTGTCATTCTGGTTTTCATTGTGAAGGTACTCTGATCAAATTATTTTGCTGACAATTGTCTCCCCAGCCCTGTTTGATAGATTTGGAGTGTCGCTACTAATGGATAGTCATTTATAGATTAATATAACAAAAGTGTACCTTTAAATTTCAAACTAATATTTTTCACTCACATTTTTGTAGGTGCCTCATATGTTATACAAGTGTCGTCTTGATACAATGTCACATCTATGCTATTCTTTATTACAGCTTCAGTTTAACCTATATATTGTTTTTTACAGTACCAGTTCTGAATCTGCATTCTATGTTACCCTGCATTGCTCTATAACTAATGCTTCTGTCTTCTATGTTATCCTTTAGAGAATATAAAATTCATCTTTTACTGCTATTTTGTCTGTAAAGTATAGTATCAATCAATGTATACATTATGTTTCTCCGTGGTGTGCAGAACATACATACTTGTCCTTCATCAGCTTTAAATAATTATATGGCTTGATGCTTTCTCAACCTACTTGCTCATGTCTGGTCGACTCTATCAGGGGTTAAGTCCTGTGTAAAAAAGTGTGGTAACTCACCCAAGATTCACCCCCCATCTCCCCCACCCCCAAAAAAAATATACTCTCATATGCATATATATAGCTAGGTGGAGGGGTGACAGTGTGTGGGGGATCACTAAACGTGATTGGGGATGGTGATATTGTATTAAGGGGGTGTAAGTGGTAAGTGTGTGCATGGGGGGGACAGTGTGTGTGTGTGGGAGGGTGACATGGTGTGTGGGGAGGTGACAGGTTGTGTGTCACACTGACTCACTGACAAACACACACACACACACACACACACATTTCCCCCCAACACTCACAGATTATTTTTTTTTATTTTAATTTAAATCCACCCAGCCTCCCTATCTTTGGATTTTTTACCTGGGGTCCAGTCGGGCTGCTGGCCAGGCTGTTTGGGCAGGAAGGCAGGTGGTCAGTTGAGGCCCAGGTGGGCGGCAGAGTGATGCCAGAATAGGACATCACATTCCGGCTCCCGGCATCACTCTGCAGAGCGCAAGGGAGCTGAGCAGGGAGAGCTCACAAATCAGCGCTCCCTTGCCACCCGCTTTAACCGGTCAACGGACTTCCACCGGCCACCTGCCCTGAGGCTAACAAGGCAAATGCTGCAGAACCACTAACCGGAACGGCGTTCCTGCTGTGGAAAAAGTGCAGGAACGTCATTCCAACAATATGTATGCATGATATGTGTACAGGAAAACATGATGTAACTGGCAGTCCTATTTCTGCAGCACATGCATTTTGCATTCTATGGGTTTCCCATCAGCATGTAGAGGTCATACAAGACCAGGAAACTTGGTGGATCTGGAAACTTTACAGCCCATGTCAACCTTGTTCAGTGAATATCAACAAGCTATAATCAAGGTATAATTTCACTACATAGCATGACAACAGTGACAAAATGACATCTAAATGGAGTACTATAGCGTATATTCAGGTACCTCCCTCCGTGTGCAGTAAAAGTTTTACTTACCTTTTTCCAGTGTCAAGGCTCCTGTGGTGTCTCCTGCAATGTCATCAAGGAGGCATGGCCTCTTCCAGCGATGGTCCAGTCCAATGCTCCTTGGGCACTTGATGCGCATCTGCAGTGAGCGCCACACACCCATGCAAGCTTTCCCATTGGAAAGTATTTATTCAGTGTTTTCCTATGAGCTACCGTGCCATATGACCAAGTTTTACTCAACCTGTGCATCAGAATTGCCTCTAGTGGCTGTCAGGAAGACAACAACTAAAGGAGATGATCAGTATGCCGATTTTATCAGGGGTGTTTATAAAAAAATGCATGCTTTAAGGCAGCTTTGGATGAAACGGACATCACAGATCTCTGCACTTATCATTGACAGATCTACCACATATTCCTGAATACATATTGGGTCTACACATTAATGGGCAGAACATGCTAACTGCGGCAAGTTGAATTCAAATTCTGCATAAAGAAAATGAACGTGGTCATTGACTATAGTGGAATTGTCAGAAATACCAAGTGAATTTCAAATTTAAGGCCAAAGTAGGCAAACTGGAAGCATAGTTGACTCGAAGAAAGTTTCCATGTTTGTCTACCTTGGCCTTAACGTAAACCTGTTGTGAAAAAATTAAATAACCTGAAATCGCTCCCATATACATGGAATACACGATATATCACAAAGATACATGGTGTATTCAATGTAAAATATAGAGAACAAAGTCACATCTTCAAGCTTCATGTATGTTACTCTCATGTAACACCCACTTCCAAGCCGTTCTCCGCTCCACCTCCGCCTCCAATATTCTTTGATTTGCCGTGCTTGGGAATCTATCCCCAAGCAGGGCAAACCTTCTCAGGGACGTTGGCATGCTGGCTTTGTGGCCAGCATCACAAAAGAATGCCGTCATGTCACTCCGCCCCTTTACTCCCCAGTGACCGCTAGATGCGCCGGATAGGGAGTTTCCATAGCAACCACAGCACATGTACTTACATACTTAGGAGAGCAGAAGGATCTCCTGTGGGAGGTCTTTTCTGCTCTCCCTTTGCATGCTGGGAGAAAAACCTATATTTAAATAGGTTTTTCTACTAATCTACACATTTTCTAACAAAACTACTGGCACATTCCATAGATAGAATTGAATGCACACCCTAAAGAGCATAAGTTGTTTGGGGCATGACAGGTTCCCTTTAAATTTACAATTCTCTATGAATTCCAAACAATTCTCACCTTAGTGAATAACCCTCTGAGAGTGTCTCAATCAGTGACTGTCTGACCTGTCCACCTGTGTTGATAAAATAGCCACCTGTGTATGAAGGTAATGAAACTCTGCCCTATTAATAGGTATGTGAAGGGTGATACTGAGAAGGCAGAGCTGATAATTACAAGCACAGTCAGGTAGGTATGTGAAGCGTTTACCTTGCAGTGCATCACCAGTTATGTTATTACACTTATATAATATATATATATAACCCAGCCCAAAAAATGAAAATACAATACAGACCAAATCTATAAAATAATTAGTGGCACACATATTGTATATTAAATTAGGGTGATTGAATGAGTTGCCTGTTTGTCAATGTTCCCTTGATTGTTAATTAGCTATTATAGTTTTATTTTTGAGTAAATGCTGTGTAACTGTTTTGCTCTGTTTGGGTAATTATATGATACTAATTTAACTTTCATTGTGCTACAGCTTAACATTTTGCCATCACCCAATAAACTGTATTGACTTAATCTGTTACAGTATAAATATATTGCACATTGTGTGCATTTGTGATTTCTGTAAACATTTACAACAAACTATTAATCCAGCGTAACTGCTTTAGAATACGGCTTCAATTTACGCTGAGTTTCTAGTACAGAGATGCTGCTCAACATTTTGCAAATCCGTTTACTATTCACATTTTAATGCATTAACCCATTAGGCCTTTTCCTGGGTTGACCTCTCCTGCTGTAAATAATCTCAATAATTTGCTAAACTGAATTTCCATACTATGATCTAATCCAAACTATTATTGCATACAACTCGTTGTGGATGCTCCGTTGAGTGAGTTATTGATTCAGGAATCGCATGTACGTCATCTGCAAGAAATTCTAACTAAAATATGGTAATTGCTGATAAACTTACTTTGTGTTTTATTTTAAGGTCCCAGATTTGTCCTGTTTTCTTGGACATGTATCCATTTAACATGCTGTAGGGCAGTACATGAAAGGTGCTGTAAATACAGTTCCAGTATGCTGCAGGAGGGAAATCTATTAATCTATTATTAATGTTCCTATAGGTGTTTTATTGAATAATTAATAACCCCTGGATCCCACACTCTACAGTCAGGGTTACTCCAGGAATTCAAAGTGAATTTGAAATTTAAGATCAAAATAGCTGAACTGGTAAAAATTATTCCAGTACGTTATGCTTTCAGTTTGCCTATAATTCTCACTTTAGTGAATAACCCTGATTGTAACACTTTCATTTGCTGTGCGACAGCATGAATAATGGATGTGTGTCTAGGAAGAGTGCATTTTGCTGTACAGCACACAGCAAATAAAGCTGCAAGTGTTCTCACCTTGTTCAAGTCATCTAATGTAACTTTTTTTTTTTTTTCATCTGTCGGGCAAGATAGTAATTTGTAACTGTGTTTAACCCTTTAAGGACACATGACATGTCATGATTCTCTTTTATTCCAGAAGTTTGGTCCTGAAGGGGTTAATGTGTTTTCCAAGTGCATGTATACATTGCAAGGTTATCGATGACTAAAGGTGGACTTGTACTGTGCTAAATGCTAGCATCTAATCTACTTTGTCTTTTTCGCTTCTATAGCATTTTTGCACTAGATGAAATATAAATGATGTTATTAATATATAGTGTGTGTGTGTGTGTGTGTGTGTGTGTGTGTGTGTGTATGGGCTTTGTTCATAAACTGATGCTTACATGTGAAATCAAGAGGGCTGCACTCACCTGACATACATTGTAAGGTTGTTTCTGGAGCCAATACACGCAACAACCAGTTTACTCAAAAACTAATAACTGACACTAATAACTGACACACATACTTATTACCAAGAAATAATTACAATTTTAAAACTATGGATAAATTTAATGATTTTTGTTGTTGTAGAGTAAGTGTAAACTAACTTCCCTTCAGTCTTGTTTAAAGGACACTCCGGTCGCAATAACTACATCTAAATTAAGTTGTTATGGTACCAGGAGACTCTCTTGCTTTTAGGAAGCCACCCAGGGGACCTGGAGATCGGTGCTGGAGGTAACCTATGGGGGCTAAACTGTTCAAGGACAGTTTTGTTTGGCTGAACCTTTACCCAAAAATAAAAATTTGGTTTGCCTGAGATTTGGTTCACTAGATTTTCAGTACCGAAAAACTGATTGGAAACACATCAGACCAAAAGAAAGCAAAAATGGGCTGAAAAATATTTACATAATTTAATGTACAGGTCTGCCAATACACTGATAAGAGTATTTTCCTGCCATTTTGTTCACAGATCAATGGGAGGGGGGCAAGAGCAGCAGTAAACAATAGTATCCATTGTTACATGTTTTTGTGTTTTGTTTTGTTTTTGTTGTTTTGTTTTCTTGTTTTTCACTGATTGTCCTTTTTGCCTCCTATTGCTTACTTGTTCTGGGAGTAAAATCAACATTTAAAGACTGCCTCCCTCAATCCCCCTGGTTCTTTTCCACTCGGAGTCTGGAAATTCAACTTATCACCTGATCGATCAAAATTCATATGAATTGTACTTCAGAATAAAACTAATATTTACTAAATGACCTTCAGAAAACCCCAGAGGCTTTGCAACTTGTCTAGCTATTTTGAATATTTTTCAATACAGCATGCACCCATTTACAGTTGATCATGTCAGACCATTATATTACTCTACACTTTTTTGTTTTCTGTTTTTTTTTTGTTTTTTTTTAAATTTATTTATTTATTTTTTTATGGATTATTTTCGAAAAGTTAGCACTAAAATATTCAAATATAACTTGCTTTGTCCACAGCCAGGTGCCTATCTGCAATCAGAAGTATGGATCCAGGACACCATACTGCCTTCCTGCTGGCCATTCTAGTTTGCATCCTGCTGCTTATCCTGGCTGTGTCTGCCCTGCTGGCTTGCTACTGGAGGTAAAGAGTTAGAATAACCTGGGAAGTAGAGACAGTGTTTATCTGTATATTGATACACTTCAGAGAGCCATTTATAAGGCAGATTACTCACAGAACAAGAACTAAGCTTCTTTTGATGCATTTGGCTTGAAAGGACCACTAAAGTCACTGAGATGAAGTGAACCTGTAGTTTTAACCCTGCAATGCAACACACTGCAGTTTTTTTTTTTTTTTTAAACACACCTCAAGTGACTGTTACACTGACTACCACACGAGGCGATTCCTGCTGCAGTAACCTAGTAAAAAAATCACTTTGATGTGAATTTGATGCATGTGCAGGGCTTGCTGTGCATGTGTATCCAATCCAATGCTCATTGGATTGGAGCGAATGCAGAGGGGGCCATGCATCCCATGTAACTGTGCAGGAGGAGGGGCTGTAAGCAGCTCCAATGGAGAAAAGGCAAAGTTTTAACACATTTGGATTCCTAACACTTTAGTGTTCCTGTCCCTAAGGCTGGGAGGAGGATTGAACCACCAGTCCTAGGGACAGGAACACTTAAGTGTTAGGAATCTAAATGTGTATTCCTAATGCTTCAGTGTTGCTTTCTTTTCTGCAACAGTTACTGATTTTACCTTTAGGTCATTGCTTTCTACATGTGAACCTTATAGACCTTGTTAAAATAAATATAAAGGTTGACAAACCCAAATAAATTTGGTCAATGAGTAAAATGCAGAGCAATTAGCAGATTCAGTTTGTTGGTTTTATAGTGACCACATTTCATGCACTTATGTCCTGAATCACTAAATTTTCTCCACATCCCTAAAATTGCAAACCTATCCACATGGCCTTCTTGTGTTTTACAGCTGTGTGACCAGGGAAGGCTTAAGTGGAAAATTACACAGATGTCCAGACACACCTAGTGGTTTCTTCAAGTGGCAGTCTTTTTTTCAAGGACAACATACAGAGACAACATTTCAACTCTTACATGTGCCTTTGTCGAGTCCTGTAAGAGTCAAAATGTTGTCACAGTATTTTGTTCCTGAATAGCCATTTGAAGAAATAGCTGGAAAAAAATGCCAATGTATAAAGGTTGAGTAACCGTTTTACACAGGTGAGGTGCTGATCTTGGCTTTTTACTCCTGCTGCTTGCAACTTCACTACATTGAAAGCATGACTTTGTCATTAACCCTTCTCGGAATGCCTTGGTTATCTGAAGTATAGAACGGATTATCAGATTTCTGTTCTAAACCTTCTGGAATGGTTTTGTTATGAGTGAAGTGTGGTTTTTATGGGGGTGGGGGGCTGGGGGGGTGGGAATCTATTCTGACACTAATTTCTGTTATATGTAATAAAATGTTTGACTTCTTTACAGATATAAATGCTCTATATTTCCAAGCTGGAAATCCACCATGAGGATCCAGAAACCAATGAAAGATCATGCAACTTCCATGACCAGTTTTACTCTAAATGCAATGGATCCCAAACAAATTATTTATAATGGCCCTAGGACTCCTCAGACATCGGTCATGATACCTTCGATGGTGGATCAACCTTGTGAAAAAGAAAACCTGATTGCCTCTTGCTTGTCAATTGACAGTCATATAGTGGCCTTGTGTGATGAAGATGAATGCTCAGAGGCTTCTGAGCTGGCTAACTTGTCTGGAGTAAAGGAAAAATCAGCTACTGATAGATATTCATCATTTCAATGTATGTTGTCTTCTAGAGCTTCTATATTCAGTAGCATGCTAGAGATAGGCTCCATGCTTAGCATGAAATTAGGAAGGCGAAGCTCCTCTTTGAAAAGTGGTGTGGACGTGGATATAATGCTAGGACCCTTGGAGTCACCAGTAAAAGTAGCCTCTTCAGGTACTGGGCAGCACAGAGCATCAAGTCTACCTAGGGATCCGAATCGAAGTACAATTCTATGTGAAAATTCTGCTGACCAGTCATTTACTTGGAACACTGCTGGGCTCTCCATTCTAAGCCACCATGCTGGTTACAAGGAATCCTTTTCTGTTCCTGGAACGCTACAAAGAAAGGCATGTGTCTCTGTATTAAACCAATCCAGTGGGGACTATGGTGTTAAATTTAGAAATCCTGATTGTCCTCTACAGCCCAAAACGTTCCCAATGTTATTTGGGAACAGGCCACTCTCAGATGGTGCTCAAATTTCAAATGGAGAACTTGAAAATGTAACCAGTTTAGATTCAGGGGTTGATATTGTAGCCATGCCGATGAGACCGGAATGTGGCACTCCCGTGAAAAATGAAACTGATCTGAAATATACAGGAGGACCAGGGAACTCTGAAACATTAACTTTAGAGGAAGTTATAAAGCGGAACCAGGTGTGTGGTGCTGAGCAAAACTGTATAGAGGACAAAGAATTGGTCATCTCTCATCAAGAGGCAGCTAGAAAGCTGAATGGTAGAACCTTGTGGCAAAAGAGGGAAGAGAGGCCACTAATTGGTATCAGCTAATAGTATTTATTTGCCAAGGGTTTTAATCAAATCCTTATGAAATGGTTATTGACTGTCATTTTCTTCTTTCTTCTTCAGTCCATGTTCTAAAGGTAAATTTAATTTTTATCTTAAAATTATATCAAATTGTATTGACCGGAAGTCCAAATGCTTTTACTCTGTTTGTTTTTCTATTTGTAATTTTTTTTTATTTTTTTTTCTCTCTATCAACTTGTAAAATTTTAAAGACTTTGAATATGCTGCTAGAATGAAAACCAGCTAATTGCATGGATTTTTCATAATGTACATTTTCATTTGTTTAATCACTCTTCCAAATTGAAATGCTTTTAATTTTTTTTTGGATTGCTGAAAGGATAATTTCTTGTTTATTGAAAATTTTCTGTAAATGGTTTAACCTCAAAGCTGTACATCATAAAGTTTCAAAATGGGCTGTTTTTGTATTCCACTAAAATGAATCTGCTTTGCAAAATTGAATTTCTACAAATACTTGTTTGGTATGCTTATATATGTTTAATCTATTTTAAATAAATTTTGTTTTAATTTGGAATGTTGTGTTCTATACTAATTGTGGATTAGAACGTGATTCATTAAAATTAATCTACAGTAATATAAAGTGGGAATTGGCATCAAAGCAGGTTATTAATTCTCAGGACAAAATATGTTTTGACTTATTATAAAAGGTAAGACCTCACCTTGAATATGCCACGTCATAGAAACATAGAATGTGACCGCATATAAGAACTGTTTGGCCCATCTAGTCTGCCCAATTTTCTAAATACTTTATGTAACGGATCACCTGGCACCCTGACTGGGTACCTCCGTTGAAGGATGCTCCTAGCGCTTCCTGAGGACTCCAAGCACTGCAGCAGACACCACAATCACAGAACCAGAGAAGCGTATACCTTCTCTCAAGCATATGAATGCTGTAGACAGTTGAATAGGAACCATACGGGGTTAGGTTTACTCTCCTAGCAGTCAAACTGGAACAGCATACAATGAATCCTTCCCCCAATAATGAGACGACACTTCACTTTGAGGGTTAAAACAGGAACTCCCTGTACTGTCACATACAGTCTCTTTTATTCCCAATCCACAAACATAGTACAGCCCACAGGGCGTTACAAAACAACCAATCAATCCATACAATACACCCAGACACTCCCACACAAAATCCTCCCCTCTGCATGTGATATGATTACTGAACACAATGGGTAATCTCATTATCACCGGCAGAGGAATACAGTTTTTACACAATATTTATAACTTCTAAAATATACATGTCACAAACATAAAACATACATTTTCATAATCAATCCATTCAGGGGAACAACATATTAAAAAATGGCACGAATCAGACCAGGGGTTCAAAAGTTAAGGGAAAGTCCTTTGTGACTAAATGAAGCATGGCTTTCTGGCCCAAACCAGTTTGAGTCTTCTATCCTAGAGATTGAATTAAGAAGTAATTCAATTATCTCCCAGGACAGACACAAGACTCCATTAAGCACATGGTTGCAAAAAGACATAAAGTCACCTTTTACACATAACCCACAAACATTCCACATATCCCCAGATAGCTGGGATCTGAGCGCACAAAACTACCGAATAGCGCTCAGATCCTATTCACACAGTTCAATTGTCATGGAGCCAAAGTCTTTAACTACACGAATGGGCTCCATGGCATAGCTATCTGGGTTAACACATTCACATAAAGTCTGGTCCATAGTCCAAAGGCAAGAGGCGGGCAAGCAGCCCCCTCCAAGGACACGTGGCGAGGCCGGTTTCGCCACACTTTAATTAGTCCCTGACCATATCTTAATAGGATTCTATAATGGCAGGAAAACAAAGCCAGTTTTCCCCCTTCCCCATTAGTCACTCACCCAAATTCAGTGCTGATGTCCCTCTGTGCTGGGTCAGGCTCCGCCACACTCCTCCCCTGCCGTCAGTCGGCAGGTAAGATCTAATGCGCATACATGGCAATTGCCGCGCTAGCATTAGGATCTCCCCATAGGAAAGCATTCCCATGGAGAAAAATCTGACACTGGAGGTCCTCATGCATAGCATGAGGACGTCCAGCATCAGATAACTGACCAAAGGTTCCGTTTTCAATTTCGGAAGTTCCTCTAGTGGCTCTCTGGTAGACAGCCAGTAGAAGAGGAGTTAATCCTGCAAGGTAATCATTGCAGTTTCTCAGACCACTCAATTAGCTGAAGTGGTCTGGGTGCCTACAGTGTCTCTTTAAGTCTAGGATAGCTTTATGCCTATCCCATGCATGCTTAAACTTCCTCACTGTGTTAACCTCTACCACTTCAGCTAGAAGGCTATTCCACTACCCTCTATGTAAAAAGTAGTCCTTCCTGAAATTATTTTTAAACCGTTGCCTCTCTAATTTAAAGGACCACTATAGGCAGCCAGACCACTTCAGCTTAAGTGGTCTGGGTGCCAGGTCCAGCTAGGATTAACTCTTTCTTCTATAAACATAACAGTTTCAGAGAAACTGCTATGTTTATAATGGGGTTAATCCAGCCTCTAGTGGCTGTCTTATTGATTTTCACAGTGAGAAGAGCCAGCGTCCATAGGAAAGCATTGAGAATGCCTTCCTATGGACTGGCTGAATGTGTGCGCGCGGCTCCTGCCGCGCATGTGCATTCAGCCGATGACATCGCTATGGAGGAGGAGAGCTCCCCGCCCGGCGCTGGAGAAAGAGATACGTTTAACCCCTTCCTCTCCCTAGAGCCTGGCGGGAGGGGGGCCCTGAGGGTGGGGGCACCCTCATGGCACTATAGTGCCAGGAAAACAAGTATGTTTTCCTGGCACTATAGTGGTCCTTTAAGACTGTTTCTCTCTCTCTCCCCCCTTCTCCCCTGTCTTGTCTTTCCTCTAAGCTATACATGTTAAGATCATTTAACTTTTCCTTGTAAGTTTGATCCTGCAATCCATAAACCAGTTTAGTAGCCCTTCTCTGAACTCTCTCTAAAGTATCAATATCCTTCTGGAGATGTGGTCTCCAGTACTGGGTACAATACTCCAAGTGAGGTCTCACCAGTGTTCTATACAATGGCATGAACACTTCCCTCTTTCTACTGCTAATACCTCTCTCTATACAACCAAGCATTTTCTGCTGCTCTATTACATTGTCTGCCTACCTTTAAGTCATCAGAAATAATCACCCCGAAACCCCTTTCCTCAGATGTTGAGATAAGTAGTGTATCAAATATTCTATACTCTCCCCTTGGGGTTTTTTTGTTTTTTTTTTGTCGTGCAAGGATATGCAACAGTGTCTGTGTAGCCACAACAGCTATAGCAGACGCAGTCTTTTAGAACATGTTATAACATTTTCGTGGCATAAGTTAGCTCAGCATGTTTTTCTTGCACTAATCCACATTAAAATGTAATTTTTCTAGTTTACCTAAATCATTTGGCTTATCCCTCCTGGAACATCAACCCTGTTAAAAATATTAGTATCATCAGCAGAAAGACATACCTTACCATCAAGACCTTCTGCAATATCACTAATACAAAATATTAAAGAGAATGGGTCTAAGTACAGATCCCTGAAGTTCCCCACTAGTAACAAGGCCATGCTTCAAATAAACTCCATTGACTACAACCCTCTTTTGCCTGTCACTCAGCCACTGCCTTACCCATCTAACAATATTGGAATCCAAACTTAAAGGGACACTATAGTTACCAGAACAACTACAGCTCAATGTAGTTGTTCTGGTGAGTATAATAGCTCCCTTCAGGCATTTTCATGCAATCACTGCCTTTTTGATGATGTCACCAAGCAGGGCAGGGCCAGCACCATCGGACCCATAGAGAGCTGAAAATAAGGTGAGTTTTAACCCATTCTTAGACACTAGGGGAAACTGTGAGACATGGAGACCCTGAGACACTAGGGAAATAGTGGTCCCAACGTTTTTTTTAAGTCTCCAGTATCCCCTATGTCTCACAGTACCCGATGTCTCAGTCACCTTTTTACCTTCCATACTCCATTTAGTAGAGGATTAATTGCCCCAAGACATGGAGGCATCCAACAGACAAACCTGCACAGAATCAGAAGCAGACAGGCCACGGTTAGGCTCGCTCTCCACGTCCCTGGATTATGGGGACTTCTGATGAAAATAATGCAACCCTTTTATCTGTAATCCATTTACCAGATAGACTAATTTTTGTTTAAAAAGGTGTATCATTTAGTTATATATCAGAAACATGTTTATGTCTATGCTGGCCAAATGGAGATTAGTGCTTTGAATTATTAAAAATGCAGATTTATTAATAGAACTTAAAGGGACAGCATTTTTTTTTTTAAAAACCAGTAAGCAAACACTTTTAAACAAATATACAAGACAAAATAAAGCAAGACAAACTTTGAAAAGTATGGAATACGTTTTAATAAATTTACTGGAAACTTTGTCAGATTGCATAGTTGAGCACGCCTCTCGGCTAGGGGAGTTTCTTCAGCGCCCCATATTCTCCCCCCCCCCCATCTCACACTTACCCACCAATCTACGTTTTAGACCAATTGGTTGACAAAAACATGGCATAACTGTGTAAAGCAGGAGAGAGACAGCAGAGCAGCTTGGCATTAATCATCTTAATCAGACTCCCTCTGTATTTCCTCTGTCGGGATATTGCAAAGTGAAACATTTTTTCCAATGGATAAATTTGCAAGGCATGACCAATGCACATTCCAGGAGTCCTAGGTATAGGACATTGGTTCCGATCTGTGTCACCCCTGGAGTGGTTGTTGAAAGCATAAGGAAGAAGCAGGTAAATGTGTGAAAAAAAAATCATATGTACCTATTTTATTTTTCTTCTCAGCCTTCAGGGTCAGGCAATTGATGTGAAGTAGACATGTTGATCTAATTACCATTATAGATAGCAATGGATATTATTTAAAGCTAGATTTTGATCAAATTCAGGCTTGTAGTATAATTGCACTATACATTAAAATATCCACAACAGTAGTCTGTACAGAACAATTTTAAATCCCTTTCCAAGCCACAAAAATATGGACTGGACTGATGCCAACTACATCCCATTTTATTTAACAAATAGAAAGCTTACAGGAAGACAAAGACAAGAGTCGGTGCCATAAAAACCATTTGCTTCATATATGTAACACTTCTATGCCAATATATAGAAGGCCCACTTCCATCTTGCATACAATGCAAGTATCTCTGAAGTTCTAGATTTAGTTTCTGTATGAAAAACGTGGACCTCTGTATAATATTTCATGCCAACAACAATTTTTGCATTTACATCTGTTTTGGGTTTCATCCTTTGGTTTTACTATTGGTATAGTTATGAAATCAGAGACTTTTAAATACATTCACCAAATGTGTAAAGGTCTTCCAAAATGCAAGTTCCTTAGCATTGTCTACATCCATGATTGTCACGTTGGACATATCCAGAATTAGAATAATTCTTCTTAGAAATCCATGTTCACTTTTTTCAATCCTGAGGGTGAAACGAACATCAGCCGTTCTCATCGTGATAAGATTGGATTTAATATGATACATACAGGAAGACACCCATATACTACTTGACATAGTCGACCACATAATATGCTTTTGTAGCAGCAAATAACAAAGCTCATTATTAACCATATTCTACAGTTGTAACATATAATATTTCCATTTACAAACCGTTATTTACAATAGTTCCATGTACTTAAGATATCTGTATAAAGTTTGTCCAAGAAACACTTTCATTAAGGAACTTTCCTTTTATCCATTTATGATGTCCCAAAGTTTTTGTTGGATTGTAATATTGAAATGTAGGACAATGTATGGGCAGTTGGTAATGTCGAAAAGGTAGGAAGGAGTGCCATATACAGTAGAGGAGTCCAAATATTGGACTGTTTGACTTTCAGTTCTGTGGCCCTGATACAGGGATTATTCTAACTAAGTAAAAGTTAAACATTTGTGTTTTGTAATCCTCCTTTGTTCTCATGTTTCTGTTGAGTTCTGTTATTTGTGTTGAAGATTCATCAAGAAGGCTCCAGGCTGCGGGATAACTCCATTAACCTTTTCTGGTTATCTATAACATTCATGTGCTGGATATAAGCCCATGTTGTAATTGGACTCCTTAGGGTCATTGAGTACTCTGAACCTGCAGTAAGCATAGAAAGTACTAATGTTAGAATTACATACAAACACCCAATAGCATTCCAATGATCTATGATTCCATGTCTTCATATTATTATGAAGGTCTCACACTCAGGGGAGTTTAATCACAATGGAAAACCAAAACAATAGCATTGCTACAGAAGGAGGAATAAATTCTCCTTTTGGCCCTATTCTACAAAAATGTAATGGATTTGATATATAAATGGATAGAACAGTTTTTGCAGTAGAATTGTCCATTTGAACTCCTGAACCTAACCTTGAGAAAAGAATATTTAAACTCTTACTGGCAGATATCCTGGGCATGTTGGCCTCTTCGAGGATGTGTAGAGGACGTGACCGTAAAGGTGACAACGGAACTGTGGAGCAAAAATATTTATAGATCGTTATCTGATAAACAATTCTTCCATAGGGGTGATTAGTACAGATAGTGGAGAGCAATAATAATCTAGCAGAGCCACAATTATAATGTTTTAGAATGAAGTCAAGCATTGTAAATGCAGACACGATATAGGAATCGGTATCAAAAATGAGCTTTTTGAAACAGTAACAATTGATAGAAGGTTGCAACTTTTAAACTAAAAAGTATGTTACGGAAACAGTGATAATTTTTACTTCTGCAGTGACCACTGTGTTCCAACGTGTTTAATACAATGTTATCTTTTTTAATTATGAACTGACACATGCAAATCCTTACGTCCGCAGTGGAAAATAACCCCCGTACTGTAACCAGTACAATGCGATATGTATTAATCTTTGTTGTTATTGTCTGTACTTATCTCTTTAGAATCAGTGTATCTCAAATGAAGTAAGTTTAAAATAATTTTATACAACCCAGTTTGTTGCTCATTCCTTGTATTTCTGGAATCCCTCCCTTTTCTTGCTCTATTTTTTTCTTCTTTTTTATGTATCGTTAATGATGGATGCTCATTTATGCTAATTACTATAAAATGTATGTAAACGATTACATAAACCAAATTCAAAAATCTCCATAATTACAAAAAATAATAATAATATGTATAACAGTTTAGTAGGGGCAAAATATTTGTTGTCCAATAATTAGCAAAACAGGTGCCCATTGTGATTCTCTGACTTTAGAGACAAATTACCATATCTTCATATATCTAATTCATTTACAAATATACACTAATATATATGGGAAGTTCAAAGAAGTTAAACACTGAGAAAACTGTTTTTTCAAGTAACAAATGGTTTTAAATGGTTGTTATGGAAAATCTGCTTAAGAATCACAACTGTATAAATGTTCGCTAACATATGAGACTTTTTTTTTGTTGTTTTATATAGTATGCAATTTATTAAGGAAATACAATAATTATAGATAATAAAACTCACTGTAAACCTGGCTCCGGCACATGTGAAATGTTTGTATAATCTTTGCAATCATACGCTGACAGGTAAAAGACAAAAAATATTAAAATGTATTTAGTTTTTTTTTTTTAAAATGCATAAATAATTTTTAGTTTAATGCTTAAAACATTCCTACTATCTATTTTATCTTTGATGAGCCTGCAAAACACAGTTTCATGACAACAGCGTGTTGATTAAAACTATTTGATTGCTGTACCATTTAAAGTCTGTAGGGGGCATTACTGCACTATTAGAAATACAATAATACAAATTGACAATGAGAGGCCTTCACAGTGACCTCTTCTGCCCAAAAGGAATAACACAGTGCAATTGTGGTTTATGGAAAAAAGCATAACAGCTGCTCACAAATAAACCTTTTTTAAAAATGTAATTTTATAAACTTTATATACTTCATTGATATTTAGCTTTTTAGCCTTTTTTTCCAAAACAGAATCCCCAGAAAGAAAATTCTCCTGTACAGTTTAATAAATTAGATAAACCGCTAAATAAATGTAGACATTTTTATATATACATAATCTTCAAAGTATTACAGAACACTTGGCCACAGGACTTCATTATGTTCCATAAAGGAGTAATTAATTAATAGGTAACTTCTTTCCAAGTAGACGTGTCTCAAACTTTTGGAAATGTTGTGACTTATGTAACATTTCATTTTAAACTACATATACAACATTTATTTTATAATATTTTAAAATATTGGTTGAATTAGGTGTGATCAGCATCTCATTATATTACCATTTTCTCAAAGTTCACAAGGTTGTCCAGAGTGCTTCTGTTGCCCTCATGCAGAAAAGTCAGGTCTGCAAGAAAAAAAAAGACACTGACGTAAAGAATGAGTCAGACATTTTTTAGGGTCAATATCAATGTGCCAGATGAAAAAACCTGTATATTATCCCATTCTCACTCTGCATTATACAGGAACCTTTACCTGTATGTACAAGGGCTTCTGAACATCTCTAGTTTCAAAGCTGTTTATTGAGCAGAAGAAATAACAAAATGGACATGCAGAGACGTGCAATAATTGGGTTGGACGCGCAGGTCCTGCTCGTGAGAGTAGTATGGTCATCGCATACAGAGTACTCAACTGTACAATTTTTCATGAAGCAGGAAACTAACGGCATATGCATTGTAATAAAATTTTAGCCATGTGAACAGTGTGAGTATCTTACAACAGTGGGTAAATGGAATAGCTGTTAGTCACATAGTCTGTTATCAGAAAGATACCTGCCTGCTTACCTGGGTAGGGAGCAAGCAAGTATGGGAACATAGAGAGAGAAAGGACAGAGGGTGAGGCAGAAGAGAGGTAGGGAACAGAGAGAGAAAGGTGAGAGGGGGTAAGGGACTAACCCATCCGCCTACAGTTTGCGAGGTCCCCTATCCTTGGGGGTGTTCAAAATATTATGAATCTGGAATGTATTGCTGTGTTACCTACTGACTCCACCTTGGCATGCGTGGTGCCAGCCAAACTGCACAAGTCAGTCCTGCTGGTCCCCTCCGGCGGGGTGGTCTATTCTTAATCGGAGTCTGTGTTGCTTGTTTAGGGTATGTGGTCTTTCTCAGTAGTTAGCCCTTGTGGGTGAAATTGTTATGAGGGAGTACCCGTTCATTATTATACTGATCACTCAGAGGCAGTGCTCTGCGGCTCATAGGTGTACGGAGTGGCCGTCGGTCTTCACTACTGTGAGAGGCTCCTTTAAACACCGGTCGGACTGGGTAGTATGAATGAGTGTGCATGGTTCAGGGCAGAGGGTGTAGCTGAAGTAAGGAGGGGTTGACAGGGAGGACTGGGGAAGAGGGGAGGCCCACAGCTGGGCCACCTGCCAGTGGCGCTTTCGGCTGGGATCGTGTATCGGGGGGGTCTCGCTGGCAGGGTAGAAATTTCCAAATCTTCCTTTATGTATGCGTGTCTCAACCCATCCTCGCGTCCCGCCCCACCAAATAGGCCAGCCACGGCCGCCGCCTCTCCACATGTTTCTCCTTGGTACCCAGGAGCGATGCCTGCACCGACTCCGCTGTGTATATCTCGTCCACTCTTTCCAGCCATTGCCCCGTTGTTTGTTGCTTGTTTTCTGAACATCTTTAAATGATGTACACATCTTTAGCGTTGGGGGCACATTCAGAAATGATTGTTTCATTAAATCTAATTCACTGATCACCCAAAATATTAAAACCACTGACTGACAGGTGAAGTGAATAACATTGATTATATCATTACAACGGCACCTGTTAAGGAGTGGAATTTATTAGGCAGCAAGGGAACAGTCAGTTCTTGAATTTTATTTGTTGGAAGCAGGAAAATTGGGCAAGAGAATAGATGTGAGTGACTTTGACAAGAACCAGATAGAGATGGCTAGACTACTGGGCCAGAGCTGGACGTGAGCATCGGAACTAGACCAAGGAGCAATGGAAGTAGGTTGCTTGGTCTGTTGGATAGTCGTGTTTATATACATCATTTACCTGAAGATGGCAGCAGAATACATTATGGGAGTGTCACATATTCATCCGCTTATAGAAATGTGGTTAATGACATTTACTGTCCACACAGGAAAAGTTGTGCCGAGCAGCAACCTAATCCACAGAAGGGTTAATGCTGAGCAGCAATTATGCAAATGAAACCTGGTAACTGACTTTGGGGTCAAAGGCCGGTTACAGCCTATCAGAACTAAAGGAGGGGTATTTAGGCCCAGTTCTCAGCCTGCTCAGTGCCCTGTCGTGGTTTCCCTTGCCTTGTCCAGGCAATTTGATAATGAGTCAGCTCCGGAACAGATGACATCTCCTATTATTCCAGCAGAGTGTATTATTGCTACTACTGTCCTCTCACTGTCTTCTCCACTGCTTGGCACCATACTGGAGGCCCAGCCTCAGGCGCCCAGTGGTAAACCATGTGATAAACTGTTCGTTCCCCTATGTGAAAGGGTTAATATCATGAAAGTGTTCCATGACAATATAACTGCTGGACACCCGGGCATCAATAAGTCCACTGCAGCGATCACTAGATCATTTTGGTGGGATTCACTCAGGAAAGATGTAAAGGAGTATGTGCAGGCATGTTCTATGTGTGCAGTTTCTAAGGTGACTCATGCACTTCCTTGTGGCCTGTTGCAGCCTCTTCCTGTTCCTGAGATTCCATGGTCCCACTTATCCATGGACTTTATTGTTGAGCTTCCTAGCTCTGCTGGGTTCACTACTATTCTCATGGTTGTAGACCGATTTTTCTAAGATGGCTCACTTCATTCCTCTCAAGAAGTTGCCATCTTCGCAAGATTTGGTCCTAATTTTCATACGTGAAATTGTCCGTTTGCATGGCATCCCCACAATATTGTGTCTGATAGGGGCTCTCAGTTTGTGTCCAGGTTCTGGAGGGCGTTCAGTAAACAATTGGGGATTGATCTCTCCTTCTCCTCCTCCTACCATCCACAGACCAATGGTACAGCTGAGAGGGCTAACCAGTCATTAGAAGTTTATTTGCGTTGTTTTATTAATAGCACACAAGACAATTGGTCCGAACTACTCCCGTGGGCCGAGTTCGCTAGAAACAATGCTGTTCATGACTCCTCTGGGCACAGTCCATTTTTTGTCAATAATGGTAGGCATCCTACGGTTCTCCCTGCGGTATTTTCTGATACTGCCATTCCTGCTCTGGATGAGCGTCTGGCCTCCATTCGGGATACCTGGGTTAAGGTTCAAACTGCTCTAGGGGCTGCTGCTGAACGCTTCAAACATTTTGCTGATAAGCGTAGGAGTGCCAACCCGGTGTACCAAGTGGGGGGACCGGGTTTGGTTGTCATCTCGCAACATCAAGCTTAAGGTCCCTAGCATGAAGTTTGCCCCCAGATTCCTTGGTCCCTATAGAGTGCTTCATAGGATCAATCCAGTGTCTTACTCTCTGGCTCTTCCTGCATCTTTAGTTGTGCCGAGCAGCAACCTAATCCACAGAAGGGTTAATGCTGAGCAGCAATTATGCAAATGAAACCTGGTAACTGACTTTGGGGTCAAAGGCCGGTTACAGCCTATCAGAACTAAAGGAGCGGTATTTAGGCCCAGTTCTCAGCCTGCTCAGTGCCCTGTCGTGGTTTCCCTTGTGGTTGTCTGAGAGCGCGTTCCTGTTTATAGTTTTCTACCTGGTTTTTGACTTTGGCTTTGTTTATTGACTTCTCTATATTCTGGTATCCTGACTCCTGGCTTTCCTCATCGCTGTGTCCCTTTCTGTGTTCCCTGACCTCGGCTAGTATTTTTGACTATTCTTTGTACGTTAAATCCGGCCATTCTAAGGACCGGTAATACGTTACTTATTTGTCATCCGTGCTGTACAGTTCTACGTGCTGGATCAAACAGTAATCCTGACAGGGAGGAAGACAGACCAGCAGAGGCAGTATGTTCTGGGTAATGTTCTACTAAGAAACCTTGGATCCTGGCATTTAGGTGGATGTTACATTGACATGTGCCATCTACCTAGAGATTGTTGCAGACCAAGTCCACCCCTTTAAGGCAATGGTGTCCCCTGAAGGTAGGGGCCTCTTTCAGTAAGATAATGCACCCTGCCACACTGCAAAAATTGATTATGGATGGTTTGAAGAACTTGACAAAGAGTTCAAGGTGTTGCCTTGGCCTCCAAATTCCCCAGATCCCAACCTTCTGGGGTGTGCTGGAACAACAAATCAAATCCACTGAGGTCCCACCTCACAACTTGCAAGACCTAAATGGTCTGCTGTGAATGCCTTGGTGCCAGGTACCACAGGACATGTTCAGAGGTATTGTGAAGTCAATGCCTCAATGCATCAGAGCTGTTTTGGCAGCACAAGGAGGACCTATACAATATTAAACAAGTGTGTTTAATATTGTAGCTGATGAGTGTATAAGGGTATCAAGCTAAAATGAGGATGAGATACAGAATGAGAAAATCTGCAGTGAGCCGAAATATACAATGGCCCCTTTCTAGAAAACAAATCAGAGACCGGAATTAGGTAGACATACAAAGAATTACCCATATCTCTATACTTGTCAAGGTGTGTCCTATTTCTTTGGGATGCTTTTAATCAGGTCTATTTACCACAGGATAAACTTGAAAATTGAGAAACATGCTTAACATAGCTTGGCATTTAGCAGAACGCAATCCCTCAGTTAACTTTCATTTGATTAATTACTTGTTCCAAATAAATATGTAAATATAGACTGGTCATTGACTGGTCATTGACTGGTGAAATTCCATTAGTTCCACTAATGACATTTCACCAAGTCGGTGTTACCATTTAATGTATTCATATAAATACAATTACAATGCATTCCATTCCACAGCCATAGTGCGTTTCAATACATCAATCCAAAATATGCCATCATACCTTTCAGAATGAGCGGGAGAAAAGGGATGAGGGGAGGGCTGAGTTTTGCAACAGCAAGTCTATAAGATCTATGATTCCACGAAGGGTCCTGTCAGAGTAAAAAAATACATTCAATGCATGTATAGGAAATGTAAGAATGTATCAACATACTTATGTACTTAAGCACATACACATAGACATTTGCATACATATATTATGAAAAAATGAATAGTTACTGACTGGGAAATACTGGAAGACAGCTGGGGGTTATCAGTCGAGGCAATGGATGTTTGACCAGACTACTGAACTTGGAGTGATAGACTCACTGATGGTCAGCTTTTCTCACATTGTTCACAACTGGACCTCCAGTTCAACCTAGGTACTTCAGAAGGGAGTCCCCTACAAGGGTAAATCCTTAATTTGATCCCTTTAGGAAAGTTTCAGAAGTAAAAGGCCAGTGGATAATTTCCATCATGTGTTCTTAAAGGGTTAATTGCCTTCTTCTTCTTTTTAGTATATGCAATAATTTTTGTGTGATACTTCTTAATTCAATGCTTTGAACTTTTCTACATGAACCGGATGTGGAGCCATATTGGAGGTGGCAGTACACATCCGGTTCGGACCATATAAGGTCCGAACCGGATGTGGAGCCATATTGGAGGTGGCAGTACACATCCGGTTCGGACCATATAAGGTAAGAGTATATTTCAGAACCGGATGTGGAGCCATATTGGAGGTGGCAGTACACATCCGGTTCGGACCATATAAGGTAACTGCAATTTAATTAGTGCTACATGTGTAGCTAATGTTTGTAATTATTACTTTATGTGAAGCCCTATATATGTAGTAGCAGGTTCATTGTAACCTTGAACAGGACTTGAGGAAGACCACTTTATGGTTGAAACGCGTTGTGCAATATCTTTTATTTGTTTTTATTTGTTTTTATACAAATAAATGTTTTTTATGTATCCTGATATTCCTGGCTCCTGACTCCAACTTCTCATCAGATGATTACTGAGAACATTGAAGGATTTGCCTGAAGAGTGAAGGAATGCGTATGTCCCATTTAAAGTGACATATAAAGCTACATAAGTCCCGAGCCTACTTTAAACAGCTCAGAAAAGTGTGAGTGATTTCAGCTCATAATTTCCTTCTTACTGTATTTTATATACAGACCACACTATGTTTTCTTTTGTGTTTGTATTTTCTGTATAGGCAATATCCACAGTGTATATACATATTGCATATAAGGAGGAGTTACCTCTTACCAGTTATTTATAACACGTCAGGTAAAAACCTCCTTGTTTAAGTGTGCGCTTTTACCTTTTTTATGTTTTATTGTATTCTTTCTAAGTATATATAGTGGTGATATACTTGGGTATAGCAGCACCTTCTATTTACTTTATTTACTATTTACTTTATCCTCTAGCGCCATTTTCTATATTTTTTTTCCTTGCTTTCTACATGTACTGTAAATATGTGAGAAGTAAATGCCCTCTAACTCATTTCCGGCATATACCGACGCAATTCATTTAGCAATGATTGATTTTGTATATACAAATGCACTACTTGAAATGGGTTTAATTCAGTAAATACACAAAAATAAGTCATGTGGGGGGGCGGGGCCTGACCAGCATGGTGACTAGACGTGTTTCTGGGGAGCTCCCTGGAACGTAATGTACAAACTGAGATCCTGAGCTAATCCAGCGACTATACCTAAGCCTGATACCCCCTCTCAGTCCTACGACATGACAGAGGGACCGAGGAACACACCCTGCAGCCCTCTCAAGCGATCTGGTAGCCAAGATGCAATGGGGCCTAGTGGGCGCCCTGGGGGGGAGAGGCGGCCGCTCTCTCGGACAGGCGCTGCCGGAGCCCCAAGCGAGCTACTGATACCCCGCTGCCCCCCCCTTTGGACCGGTGGGGGTTATCCCGGTCCCCACCCGGCAGGCTCTCGTGACCCACCAAGGAGCCACGGCAGTACCTTAGAAGCCGACATTACCGCCAAAGGTCTCCCTAAGATGGCGGACGCCGCGGTGGCCCTCACCCAAGGAGGAGTGGTATCCACTACTCTCCAGCGCCTGGATGCCCTCATCGAAGCATTTTGGGAGAAGCTAAGGGCCAAGCAGACACTACACGAGACCGTGATAACTCCTATGCGACCTACCTGTCACACACCAAGCAGCCCGACAGCACTCGCCAGAGGCCCGCTACGCCTGAGACGGCGGAGGAAGCGCCCACGTGCCGCAAAACAAGCCGCGCAACGAAAGGCAATAAGCAGACAAGCGGTGAGCCGTGGAGCTCCACAGCCATACAACCCCTTGAAACACATGAACGACAAGCAGAGAGCCGAGGAGAAGGGAGAAAGGCACCTGCACAAGCGAGATCAGCAGCTACCACCTCCGGCTGTGGGTTTGCAAGCCCATGCTCTGTGGGACAGTAAATTCCCTATGATGGGGGTAGGCTGACAACCAAGTCAAGCACTAAGCTACATGCCATAACTATGGTAGCTGAATGCAAGCTTAACATGCTCTTTAGTAATCCCCAGTTCAAGAGTATTCCAGGTTAACCACTTACATTCCACTTTGTCATCCCTGTCTGGATCTTAATTTTAATGTGCATCTTATGTGTTCCCTCACTGACAACCAACATTGAGCTTATAAATGTACATCCACTCTCTGCATAGCTTAGCGGTTTCATCCACTCAGCATACAATGGCATCGTCCCCGAGCATGTACATATAGGCATAGGTCCCTTTATCTAATCCAGGTTATGCAAACCGTACTTAACCCCCAGTTTCACCCTGTTATTCTTCCACACACCAGCAGTGGCACTTGGTGCATAAGTAACAAAAAAGTGCAGACTAAGAGCTATTGCTTTGTCCTCCTAGGACATGTCTATGAAGTCACTCATGACAAAAATGTGACAGTTTATTCAATAGCTTGTTATCGCTATAGTTAATGCCTGATTATCTAAATACATTAGTCATCATGGCACAGAATCGAAGACTGGTGCAACTGTTTATACCATGTTACTGTATTATTCTTAAGTACAATCTCTAAATACCAAGGCGGTCAGGATGCTGCAAGCACGTTCGATCTCATACGGATTGTTATCACTTGAACATGTGTGCCTAGATTACTTTGTTATTTAAAACAAAAATGTGCAAATTTTTCCATGCCACAGTTTAACCTATGTTTAACCATAAATATACTCTGTTGTGGCGTATGTATGCGCCTTGTACTCACCTGCATAACAAAAATAAAGAATAAAAAAAAAAAAAAAAATAAGTCATGTGCTCAAACTCCCAATACCCATGGGCGGAAGCAATGACCATAGTACACATCAGCCCCTTATGTGGCTGATGTGTACTATGGTCATTGCTGCCGCCCAGGAATGGTGGGAGATTGAGCGCAGGACTTGTTTTTGTGTATTTGTATTTACCTTTTGTATCACACAGCCATGTTATAGTGCTGCCGCCCAGCCCATGTGTTCCCTATTAAGGTTTAATAAGTATGCAGGGGTTTAAACAAATACCCCTCTCTGTCTCATTAGAGATTTTTTATTTTTTTTGCCGTAAGCTGAAGCAAGCAAGGTGAATTGTTAGTGTAGGACCCACCAGAGAGGTTTGCCTTGACGTGGCAGGGAAGCTTACATCTAATGGCCACTGGAGTGGAACTTAAAACCTCTATTTAATAAATATGCATAGGGATTTGGAATAGTGTGCAGGTACCTTTTTTCTTTGGTTTTTAATTCAGAAACTAAAGACAAAAAAATCCCAAGTGTGCAATCCATTAATGTAATTTCCACTGTGGACAATGATGTGTAGCCAAATCAGGAATTTATATTGGCTAACTAGCCTGATACCAGTAAGTATAGCATGTTATTACGTAAGTATAGCATGTTATTACGAAATCACTTACCATTAGTCTTTCTAAAATAGAATACAGCTTCCTGGTTTTGTTTGGTAGCCTCTGAAATGGACAGCATATTAATTATAGTGTCAGAAGTCTAACACACATGGATAATGAGTGAAGGAGTAACCCAATTTCATATGCTATTATATATAATATATTATGTAATATATTCATGTATTTATTCACAATGTTTCCTTACTCACATCCAGGTCTTCCATTTACCTTACCATTTTCCAAAGATACCTGTACTGTATATCGCTATTCTACAAGCACAATAAAGACATCAGGATTGCCTGAGAGCTCTCTGTAGATTCTGGGCACATTTAAGTTAGTTTTTTTTTAAAATTAATATTGTTAATTTTTATGTATTTGTTTGGGTGTTCTAAATGTTGAATTAGAATTTGTTTTTTTTAAATTTATTTTAAAAGGGTATCAAATATAATTTTCAATAGACAGTTTCTTGAGAAAATAAGCTACAAGAGGTGTTATGTTAGATCTTACAGCTAAAATGACAATTCCCTTCTGTAGACAACATCCCAGCTAGCTAGCCTATTTCACCAGAAATCCTGATATAAATATGTTTTTAAGTTATAGTCAGTTGATAGGCCAACAGTTGCAGAAAACCCCACTCCACATTTTTCAAGTCCAATCATCTATTTGCTCACCTGCCAGGTCCTAGATAGGCGGCTCACAGATGTATTACTAAGGCCGAACATCACAGCAAAGAAGCTATTCAAATTCTTCTGTTCCTTAAGGCTGAAAATTGAGCGAGGGATAGCGTTACATGGAGATCTTTTAGTTTTCAGTCCTAACACAGAATTAAAGAGGCAGAATATATCATTTATATCATTTATGTTTATATTGAATTACAATGGAAAATGGTAAGAGTTATAGAAAGGCATTTTTCTTTTCCATATGAAAACAAGAAATGGTCAAAGATCATCCTTAAACAGTTGTGATCGCACCAGAGGTTAGGGAATTCTAGAATGAAATGTAACAAGGTAGGCTAGATGTAGTCAACACCTTTTATGCCCAGGTGGAAAACGTGTACAAACTCATGGGAAAATATAAAAACCTGATTTTTAATTACTATATTTTACTAATTTACTTACTTGGCTGCCAACTTGATAAACTTCCTTAGCAATTGTGTTCTCCGTTCATCATCTTGGCACAGACACACCTCAGTGACCACCCAAAATTGTACTTCGTTAAAACGCTTCATAAACCTCTCAAGGTTGGCTGTAGTTGCATTACGGAACTTTTGCTTACCAAATGTGTGGTAAAGAAGTTCTACCTAGGAAAAAAAATAAGGGAAAAATCCACAAATGTGATTTATTCACCAATCGATGACTTGTAGTTAACTAAATATCACACTGCAAAATCAAGGTTAAATTAGCCACCTGCAACTGTACATGAGTTAGAGGATGATTAAAAATCAGTTATTTTTGCCTGAAATTTACAGTCTGATTTTTAATTTTCTACAATTTAGTGATTAGTGAAGAAAACCCATACTTTTCTTGTTTTTCTTTTTCTGCATGAATTTATTTTGCACCTTAGTAACACTGTATTTCAAATTTCAAATATTTGTATATTCTTTTAACCCCTTAAGGACCAAACTTCTGGAATAAAAGGGAATCAAGACATGTCACACATGTCATGTGTCCTTAAGGGGTTAAAGTATTATACATGGAATGTTAATATATATATATATATATATAAAATGTAAATATAAACAGTACAACTTACTGAGGAAGCTCAGTGGTTTATATAAAACAGCACTATAAAATGCTTGAATAGAATCTGCGGCAGATAAATATTTTGGGGCTTTTTACAGCTGGCAAAGCATAGAGGGTATTATAAAAGTAGATTTTATAAAAATGAGCCCAGTAACTAAGGTTTGTATAGTTTAAGTTGGTAGTTTGGACCCCTAGGTATCTACGGGATGGTCTGGTCTGGTTAAAGCATGTATATATCAGCCTTATAGAGAAAAGGTAAATTATAACATAGGCCTTCACTTAATATTGTTGGATAAGCTTTCCGACTAATTTAATACTACTGGATTAACTTTTGAAATTATTTAATATTATGAAAAATATAAAAATGTTGTAATATTTTGATATGTTTTGCTATATTGATATATGTTTTATCGATGAATGATTTTTTTTGATAATTTAAGATGTTAAAAAAAATAATGTTTATTCAACAATAATAAATTGAGACCATAGTGTAAGAGATTATCTGTCTGTAATGCTGGAGATTGTATCATTTTTCTGTTCATGCATTTTTAAATAATCAAATGGATGAGCAATACAATAAAGAGACCGATTACATGGTTCTAGTTAGGATAGATACAGTCACAGCTACTATAAAGCATATTTCCATTCATTCTTATTATTCATCTTCTGCTTTTCGAGAACATACATTTTAAATTCTTAAAGCAGAGGTTCTCCTCCCTGCTCATTAGATTTTGGCACATTGCGATATCCATATATGAAAATCAGTTTAAGATAACACTGTAATTAAATGGTAATAATAGAAATAATTTGTGTCCTGTTCTCTACACGTAGATTTGCTACATCACATGTAGGACATATATAGTAACAATAAAAACCAATACTATATGTTAAATAATATATACTATAATATGTAGTAACAATACCTGGTGGATACTCTTGAACAAGTTCCAGTCATTTTCTGTCATCTGATTAGCAAGATCTTTGGAGCTAATAAGGTCCAGGACATCATCGCTGCTAGTGTTTGGCCCCAGCTGTTCAGGAAGAGGCATCTAAAAGAGGGTAATTCAGAGAAAACCAGCGTGTATTTTAATAAAATTTACGCAGTGATGCCATAAATCTGGACTCGCTACAGTAATATCGATGTTAATAATGGTAGTATAATACTAGGACACTTTCCAAACTTTAATAGATGATCTGATCTTGTAGAACTAACCTCTTCTAACAAACTCCACTATGCCCTTCTCCACAATTATCAATACCAGATGAATCTGTAAAAGATGGATTTTGTGTGCTATGCATCATCTCAATACATTGAGAAAGTTTCAGCTGGCATCTCCATGGTAGGATTGGTGTAGTATGGCAAAAAAAGATGAATTTCCATTGGGGCTCCGTATTCCATAATCACATATTAGTGTATATTTCTCTATATGAAACCATTAAAGACTCACCAAAGTAGATAATTCTTGAGAACTGCAGATGAAAAGTCTCTCATTGACTCCCAGAGACGTGAAGACACCTATATCCTCGTGTTTCAGACAGACTTTTTCTACAAAGAGATCAGCACAAATGGATTTAGTTTCCAAAGTTCTATGTTCACCACCATTATTTAAAGAGAACAGTAATTAGAACCTATATTGGAGTGAACTGAACGGTCATAAAACAGATACAAAGAACTGAACTTTTCAAATACAGCTGACATTTCTTTTGTTTTGCAGTAATATCTACATAGTTTTGTATTTATTTATTTTTATTAAAGCACGCCAGTTCACCAGAAATGAAAGCCACGGGAGCAAATCATCATTATAAGTAAAGGAAAAATTACTCACCATCGCCATAAAATTACCATGCTTATGGTTTTACGTTATGTGGTCACCATGCTGTGGTTTGTTTTTTGTGTGCGACTGTGTTTTCAGAGTAGCTTATTAAAAAAATGTCTTAATAATTCTTTTACAAAAATATATGAAAAGGTAGAGAAAGATTTGCACTCCCAATAGATCAAAACGTTACCCATCGAAAGATTAGCACACAGTCTGACTGATCTACAGTGATCAGGTTACTCTGACATGTTGTTATCACAAACCTTAAGCTCTGAGCATCTGTCAAGCTGGTCTACCATTTATTTGAAGGCCAAACATTGCACGTTTTTTTTTTTTTGGTAAAGGGGAAGCAACACATAAGCGTCCCCATTTAAATTTCAATAATTTACACTGCACATACTTACCACCACTTGAGTTTACTTTTACTAGAGTTTGATCTCTGTGGTATCCGTTCTTTGTCATGAAAGATGATATCACTTCTTGTACTGTGGCATTTACTGGAAACATAGCAGTAACGTAAGAGTGGTCTGCTCGATATATATCATAAGGCACTAAAACAAAACACAAGAAAAGTTGAAAATCTGCCCAGAACATTCAGCTAACTTATAAAGTCAGACTTGCAGCTTTAAACACATGCTCAATAAAATTGTCCAGGAATATATCAGACCAACAATACAGTTGGCATATTTTCTCCCAAATATCTAAATGTTTCCTGGTAAATCTTACAGAACCTATCAAAATAGTACAGAGCAGAAATGCTCATTTCAGTTCTCTTTGAATGTTTTTTGAAATGCTGAGTGTAGACATTATCCGAAACATTTGTACTACACATGTTGAAATTACTGGTCGCAGAGAATAATGTTTATTTTCATGGATCAAACCCCTGGACGTGGACATCAAGGAAGAAAAGTAGTTGGCAAGATTGTATGTAGGAATAATAAATAGGGTACAGTATTATAAGAGCTATAGTGAAAGCAACTCCTCTGAAAAACAGAATGCAATGGACTCTGCACATTAAGTTTTTTAAAAGAAAAAATCAATTAAACAAAAGGAAGTGAGTGATTGTGCAACAGATTGGCCATACCTTTGTCATGTGCTTGGATGGTGTAAGAGTTACCAGTCTGATCCTCCTCTAAGCCGGTAAAAAGGTTTCCTTGGCTCTGAGTCTAGTGATAGAATGGATGATTATCACTATCATGTAGATAGAATTAACACATTCTGCATCAATGTACAGTCATACAGTGTAGATATAATACAACAAATAAAATAAAAAAATAAAAAATATGTCATCTGTAAAATCTACTCAACCAAACTTACAATCTAGAATGTGTGCCAGAAATAAAAGACATTATATACATATATTTGTCTCCAGATACGATGCCAAAATAACCAGAGTATTGCAGTATGTGATTATACCTCTTTTATTATATATTATATATATCCAATACGACAAACATCAAATTAGTGTATTAAACATTTACAAAACAGATCAACGTTTCGACCTATTAACGTGATAAAGACAGTAAGGTCGAAACGTTGATCTGTTTTGTAAATATTTAATATACTAATTAGATTTTTTTTAATCAGGCGAGTGTGTTCATTTTTTTGTATTGGACATGCCAAACATTGCCAAACAAATAACCCCAAAAATACAAATATTTTTCAGTTTCCTTAGTTTATTAGATTTTTTTTTGATTTATTATTAAAAATAAAAATAAAAATCTAAATATGCAACGACTAACAGGATAGCTTGCTGAAGGGCTTTAAGGCATAGGTGCTGAAAAGTAGATCCCCAGATGTTTTAAAAACTACAGCTTCCATGATGCTTTGTCAATCTAAAGGCATTCTAAAGGCATGCAAAGCATCACAGAGGTTGTAGTTCTACACTATCTGGGGGTCTACCTTTTGGTCCCCCTGGTTTAGAGTTTACAGGAGTTCCCTCCTACCCTAGTTTATGAAAGTACACATTTCATTTTTTTTTAATGCAAGGTTTTAAAAGTATTACAGTATTACTGTCCTGTAGTTGATGATTCTATTCCTTTACATTTCTGGATACTCTTTCTGCCCATTTGTATTTTTGTTGCTTTGTTTAAAGGAAAGTAAAAATTTGGATGCCAGAGTTCGATAAATGCAAGAAAATGCAGATTATAAACCCCTTAAACACACCTGACATCATATAGCACAGTAGCAATTGGATCAACAGCTCTAGGTCCAAGCTTCCAATTATGCAAAATAAGGCACTATACATATACTTCAGGATTTTTTCTATTATATAATGAACAATTGGTTCTGCAGACATGTCTTTTCTATTTATTAATTGTTTCCAAGTCACTCCATAGTTGTACTTTATTTTCAAGAACTCTAAAAAAGTGGCATGTTATTTCTGTAATTTTTTTCCCTTCAAGACTAAGTTTACAAAATCAACTTCTTTATTTATTTATTTTAATCTGTGTGGTGCTGTTTCCTCTGGGAAAAGCACAGATTTGAGTTTATTAAAGAAAACAATCTGTGTTACATACCTTTGTCATGGGAGGGGTTCCCCCACTGCTACTCTCCATTCTACAAGCAGAAAAAAATGATGCAAAGACATTAACATAGTGGAACACTATACAATCCAACTGCCCACATTTCATACACATAGAATTATTAATAACCCTTAATTCTTAATAACCATTTTCTCACTTCAATTTTGTTCACATCCCTACCGCCATAAGCACACACATCAAACTGGAAAACAAATTATCATACACCATGGCCTGCTCTGCTGAGTGGTGGTGGAGCGTTGAAAAAATAGTCCTCCTACCCCCACCTCACAAAATTATAAAGTATCCTATTCACTATATGGCCAAACAAAAATGATGTCCAAATTCCTATTCCTTATTTTACTTGCCCTTGCAAATTATGTGGAGTCTAACCCTGGTCCTTATCTCCCCACTCAAAAAGGCCTCTCTTTTGTGCACTGCAACATCCATAGCTTACTCCCTCAACTGGATGCACTGCAAGCCTGGTGTTCCCATTACAAATCAAAAATCATTGTGCTCTCGGAATCATGGTTAACAACTAAAATACCAGACTCCGCCATTGCAACACAGGGTTATTCATGTTTTAGAAATGACAGAGCAAAGAGAGGAGAAGGCATTGTTATTTATGTTGAAAAGTCCATAAAATTTACTCCTTTAAAAAACTATAACTCCCCTTCTGCCTTTGATTTCCTTTCTGGTACAACTGAGATCCCTTTCATTAAAACTATCATTGTTGCTGGAATCTACCGCCTGCCTAACTCTCCCGGTGCACTACGTTTCTGACATAGCCCAACTACTTAGTGAAACTGTAGCTGAAAACCAAAAAAGTGAACTGTTGGTTTTTGGAGATTTTAATATGGATGAATCCTAAAAATAATAAATCATGTATGCTGTTTAAGACTTTGCAGCTAACACAATAAATTTCCTCCCCAACTCCCCAACCATTAATATTAAAAGTCAGAACCATACCTTGCTTGATTGGATTCTCTTCTGTTGTCCTGACAGAATCTAGGAGGCAGGCGTTCTCCCTACCAGTTTCAGTGACCACTGTCTAGTGTACTGCATACGCAAAATAAAGGCCACTAAATCCCCTCCCAAGATTATAATCACCAGGTCTTTCAAAAAATGTAATCTTGAATCCTTTTTAAATGATCTCAAGAACATACCATGGCACAGATTAGGTCTAATACCAAATCTAGACTCTGCAATTGCATTTTTTTAGTCCGAGCTCTTGCTTGTTTGAAATTTGCATGCCCCTCTGCATAAAGTGCGACTAAAAGGGACACAACTGCCCTGGGTTACAGCTGACCTCATTCAAATGTTCCAGTTTAGAGATTCACTGTGGTCAAAGTTAAAGCATACTGGCTCCATAACCGATCACTGTACTTACAGACATTGGTGAAATGCATGAACAAAATAAACAAAAATGGCAAAGGCCCAATATTTCAGTGAAAATTTGAACAACCTATCAAACTTCTGGAAAATCATAAATAGCATACAAACCCCCACAATCCACTCCGAAACCCTCCACTGTCAAAATGGACAACCAAACACGGCAACACCCCCTAGATGTAGCAAATTCCTTTAATAATTATTTTGTTGGATGTGATACTGGTTGCCAAGATAACAAATTACACAAATTTTCAGACCGCAAATAAAGATCAGGCCCTGCCAAATCTTCAAAATCCTCATTTAGAGAAATTCAATTTTAGACCTGTGCCTGTTAGTGTGTCTAATAAACATCTTAATAATTTAAAAATGAAAAACCAGTGTGGACCAGATCAAATCCCAGCAATGTTGCTGAAGCTCAATGCTCCAGCAATTGCTAAACCTGTCACTACCCTTATCAATGAATCTCAGGATACATACCTAAACTTTAGAAGACTGCAAAAGTTGTACCTATCCATAAAAGTGGTGACTATACTTTGGTATCTAACTATCGCCCGATATCATTGATCCCTGTATTGTCAAAAATCTTGGAAAAATGCGTCCAAACGCAACTATGTGAATATTATCAACGATCAAATTATCTGACCCCTGATTAATCAGGCTTTTGTCCAAATCACTCAACTTCGACTGCCCTCTTAAAAGTTTGCAATGACATCCAAATTGGCATGGAACAAGGAGACTTAACTGGAGCTATTTTGCCAAGGCCTTTGACACAGTAGACCATGGCATTCTTTTGCAAAAACTTAATAACTCCGCTAACCTGGTTTCGATCGTATATTTCAAACCGATTGCAATTTGTGGCCATTTCTGACAGTTCTTCCCTCCCTCTTCCAGTTACATGTGGTGTTCCCCAAGGCTCCATACTCGGCCCCCTGCTATTCACATTATTTATAAATAATCTGCCTAACGTCTGCAAATCCTCAACTGTACACATATATGCAGACGACACTGTAATCTACGCTAGTAAACCCAAGCTACCGCAGCTTGAGGGTGTGCTCCAAAACCAATTCACAGAGGTAGAAAAGTGGATGGAAGATAGCAAACTCTTCCTAAACACTGACAAAACCGTTACAATGATCTTTGGAACTGTACCTAAATTACGTAAACTACAAAATCAAGAATTGTGTATCAGAACAAATTCAAATAGCACACTGACAGAAGTCTGCTCTTTTAAATATCTAGGTATGTTGCTAAACCCCAATCTAGCCTTTGGCCTTCACATTGAAAAAATATCTTCACAACTTTACCCAAAACTAGGTGCCCTGTACAGAAAAAAATCCTGCCTAAGGCCTACAGTAAGGAAACAGATAGTGCAACAAATGCTAATGCCGGTCATCGATTACTGGGATGTCGTGTATGCACCCGCACCGCAAACCCACCTTAATATACGTAATACGATATATAATTCGTTCTGCCACTTTGTACTAGAATGTAATTACTTTACCCACCACTGTGACATGTTAAAAGAGCTAAGCTGGCTGTCGCTGGAATCCCAACGCACTCTTCATCTTTCCAGCCTTGTGTATAAGAGCATTTCTGGGAAGCTCCCACCCTACCTGAGTAGAAAGCTCACCCCGGCTGTTCCCACCTCTTATAACCTCCAATCCAGTACTAGCACGATATTTAGCATACCACAATACAAAAATAAAGTGGCTCGATCCTCCTTTTCCTACAGAGCACCACAATTATGGAATAACCTCAGGGACACAGTCAAATCTTCATTCAATCTAAAATCTTTTAAGAGATCTATGGCAATATACCTCAGCAAATAATGCACCTGCCATGGTTGAATATATTTATTACCTGTTATATATTAAATTTGTATACGTGTGTGTATATATATATATATATATATATATGTATATATATATATAGTTTGTATATTGTATTTTTGTAATATTGTATCCTATTGTAACAATGCAATGCTTTGTGGACCCAGGAAATACTTAAAAACAAGAGAAATCTCAATGTATCAATCCTGGTAAAATATTTTATAAATAAATATAAAGCAAAAACAGACAAATTGGCATTTAATGGGTTACCCCACACAAAAACAGCAAAAGTAGTGTACTGATAAAAAACTGTTTTTGGTGTATTAACCCTCTCTGGCATGCCCCCACCAAAAAAAAAAAAGAAAGGTACAACATACCTGAGATCCCAAGCCTGTAGCCTGATCTTTCTTCAGTAATGTTACTCCCCTTCACTGCAGATGGAGGGATTTACATACGCCTGGGCTGAGGTAGGACTTAGTTGGCATGGGGTGGAGCATGCCACCATTGGTCATCTGTCACCAGAATGCAATTCGTACTGGCAACAGACGTAGAGCTGACTTAAGCGGCCAGGTACAATTGGAGGTGGTGGTACGTCTCCAGCAGTAAAGTTCTGAATCTGAGTATCTGCAGCGTTTCTTACTGCTTACATCAAGCATTATGAGCACTTCAAGTTACTGAAGTGGTCATGGTACTTGGAGTACATTTTTATGAGTATCAAATGATTGCTGATTTTGAAAAAATATATTTACCTCATCTTATACTTAAAAGCAAGATTTCATTAACCCCTTAAGACCGGAGGGCGTACTATTACGCCCTATTTTAGGCGGCTCTAAACGCCGCCGGGCGTAATAGTATGCCCTCCGGTTTTTTCTTACTTACCCGGTTGGGGGGACTCCCAGGGAGCCCCCCGCGGCGGATCCTCCGTCCTGCAGCCCCCCCCCGGCCATGTGAGAGTGAGGTCCTTGCGAGGACCTCACAATCACATGGCCGGGATAGCTGGCTGCTGCATTGCCAGCAGGGGTGCTGCCTGTAATGACAGGTAGTCCCCCTGCTGGCTGGAAATAAAATAAAATTAAATTAAAAGTGTAAAAAAAAAAAAAATTATATACTTAGATCATATATATATATATGACCAAAATGGCTACTAAAAAAGACTGGACGTACCCCATTTGAAATACCTTGGGTTGTCTACTATTGCAAATGATATGCCATTATGGGTGTAAATTTCATTCCTGGGCTACTATACAGTCTCAAAGGCAACGTAACCAATCTGGCGAATTTCAGTTTCAAATGTAACGTGTTATATTTGACCCTGTAACTTCCCAAAATGCCATAAAACCTGTACATAGGGGGTACTGTCTTACACGTGAGACTTTGCTGAATACAAATATGTGTATTTTATTGCAGTAAAAGCAAACAGTATTATGACATTGACAGTTAAAATGTCATGTAGAACTAAAAAAAATTTTTTTAAATCTTATTTTCTCCCATTTTTTTATATTAAATTATGTTTCATAGCTAAATATTTGATATTAAATGAAAGCCATGTTTCCCCTGAAAAAAATTATATATAATAAGGGTGGGTGCATTTAATATGAAAGAGGTGAATTACGGTTGGACAGACATGTAGCGCAAATGCCAGGTTTTGTTTTCATTTTGTTTTGTTCACAAGGTGTACATTTGGCTCCGTCCATAAAGGGTTAAAAAAAAATACATTTTGACAGTAATTTAAAAGGTGATTGGACCTATTCCAGTGAAACATAATATTTACAATGTAATCAAACATATAAGATTAAATTGAAGGGTGTTTGGTATTATGGACCATGTAGATATGGAAAACATACACAATGGGTTTTATTCACTATATGCCGAGAATCGAAAACCAAAATGCAAAGGTTAGGCTACAATGGCTAAATTGCGACTATTGACGAGTTGGAGAATTTATTTACATCCTTTATTTTTTTTAGGTCAAAGTTTTTCATTCAGTTATCAATTCACAAAAAATGTGGTGTTTAGTGGAAAAAAACAAACCACAAAGTGAAGTAACAGAAAAATTAAAAATGTGGTCCAAAACAGCCGAATTAACCCTATATCTGATTTGGATCATTTTTCCAATTCATCTATTCTGGACTGAAATTGAAATTCACTTTGATTTCACTTTAAATTCCTGACAAATCACACTTAAGTAAATAACCCAGAGTGTTTACGCATCTAGAAATAAATCAGTGTACCTGCTTATTCATAGTTTTGTTTGTTTTTTGATAGGTCTACAGTAGCTTATCAATACTTACATTCTGGTCTTCTTTCGATCTTGCAGATTTTCCCTTAATATCCCAAGGAGACGAGGGTCTCTGCTGATGTACTCTGAAAGTTTCTGTGAACGTGGAAAAGAAAGCAATTCAAACAATCGTACTGTTTTTCAACATAGGTCTCGATTTAATAAGCTTTCCGACTAATTCAACTCTGCTAGAAAAGATTTCCAAATAATTTATCTACAAAAATTTCCAAACAGTATTGAATCAGTCGGAAAGATTATTAAATCAAGGCAAGTATTAGAAGAATCATTTGGAAAGCCTTTTGTTGCGACCATATTTGGAGACAGAGTGTGTGTGTGTGTGTGTGTGTGTGTGTGCATGCGTGCGTGTGCGTGCGTGCATATGTGTGTGTGTGTGTGTGTTTAAATATATCCAACCATTAATTAAAGATGTAAAGTAGTTAGTGCCCTATAGCAGAGATATAGTTTGCAAAGTGTTTATGTGTCCTTTGTTCTGCTCTATATTGATGCATTCAAGTGGTTGTGCATTCACCAATTAATTACAATCTCATGCCACTTCTGGATGTCCACATGTGATATTAAAGCAAAAGTAAACATCTACATACATATAGTATGTACTGTGTTTCAAGGAAAATGTGGGAAAAGTAGACAGTACATGTCTATCAGTATATTAGACCTCAGGACATACTTGATAACTAGTGACTAACCATACCTTCCCTGGTTAAATAATAACATATATATATATATATATATATATATATATATATATATATATATTTAAATTTTGTAGTTTGTTTGTAAAATAGTCAATTGGATTACAGACATTATATGCTATAATTAAGCAGATTAAAATTTAAAAATATATGTGTCAAAATAGAAAGGTGTTTCCATTTTATTTTAATTAAAAGGAAATGAACAGAACATAAATCAAAGTGTCCTCATTTGGGCTGGACTTCAACAAAGTTCTCTACTTACCTCCAGTAAACTCTTAACACTTGGCTCAGCTTGCAATAGTCTCCCATAAAGGGAGACCCATAAACTAACAAGTCGTAGGGTGTTCTGTCTCTTGTTAAGTGAATATGTTGCCTTTTCAGGTTCATTATCTTCAGATAATTCCTCATGGAACCTGATAAGCTGTTAAGGTCAATTTCATATCAACAAAAATACATCCATGCACAAGGGTTGGTCAACCTTATCCCTCCATTTGTTGTTCCCTGAATTCTTAGAAACATTTAAGAGTGTTGCAATTTTTGAAATAGCAAGAGACTTTGCAAGCGAAGTGCTCTGGTCTGGACAGTTGTCTGCCTCTTGAGTTTAACTCTACTGAGCTAAACTCCAGGAAATAGCAGGTCTTGTTATCCAGCTTGACATCTAAGGGGGTGTAACAAGGTTAACTTGAAAAATCTGCACTTTTTTAAGTTAAAAAAGAGGAAACTCTCACACAGAAAGCACGTCAGCAAGTTAAAGCATTGTAGGAGTCCAGTCTGGAGTGTCCCTCCAGAGCCGACCCCTACAATGGGAGCTCTACTATGTCTGCCAAATCTAGAAGGAACTCTACAATGGGAGCTTTACTATGTTTGCCAAATCTAGAGGGAACTCTACAATGGGAGCTCTACTATGTCTGCCAAATTTAGAAGGAACTCTACAATGAGAGCTTTACTATGTCTGCCAAATCTAGAGGGAACCTTGAAAAGTAGCAGCTGCTGTTGATCTTAGGCACATTCTAGATCTGGATCATATCCCTAATGGGGCTACGTGTGTATTTTATAGCACAGACTCTGTTTAACTTCTACTCATAGTTTAATGCTCTTTTGTATATAAGGAACAGTACACCATGTTTTCAATTCTAGGAACAGAATATAATTTTTTTTCGCCACAATTTCTTTCCCTTATCCTACAAACCTACATTGTACAAACAACCTGGAAAACCTGGTCTGTTCTATGCGGATTATATTGATAATCAGATTTAAGGTTGTTCAATATTCAATTCTAGAACACACACATGATGTTAGGATATTGATGAAGCAAAGCTTGACACAGCTGAGGTGTTGGTATGAATATACTGTGAGTCAGGAGGAAATCTTCAACAAAAGAATCTGTAAATTAAATGAAAATGTCATTAGCGAAGTGTATCCTGTAGTCACATGTTGTCATAACATATCAGCTCTCATTAGTCTTTGCAAGTTAAATGTTGTCTACCTATTAGCAAAAAAAAAAAAAAAAATGGAGGAATTGAATGCTTATGGTGCACTGAAGTCCAGAGAACCACCTCCAAAACAGTCAAATATGATCTGACATTGCATTCGAAGGGTGCCTTATTAATCACAACAACGGAACCTTTCGACTCCACCAACTATTTCTGAAACCTTCTCCCTTTGAGAGCTGGTTCCTTTCTAACCTGGAAAATGGTGCATCAAATAAATATTTGCACCAAAGACAGCTAAAACTTCAAATAGTATGTTACAATTGTAATTTTTTTCTACCATTTAAATATTAGTGTTCACAGAAAATACGAGAAAATATAAAATTCTGCCAACCACAATTCATAGTTCTAAAAAGTATAATAGAAAGATAACATGTAAAATAACTACAAGACTGTAACATAATTGTTAAATTAAATGTAGTAGCAAAAATGATGAAACCTTTAAGAACTAATTTAAAATTTGTTTAAAGGTTATGTAAAATAATATATAAAGTAAAATAAATAATGCGATAAATAATGTAATTGGTCACTGACAGTTTATTTCTCCATATCTTACATTATGTGATGTTATTTCCAAACAGAGAAATTGCAGTGCCAGATGTAATGTTATCTCTCCACATACCTTCTAGATTATTAAGTGTTGAATCCAACCTCATGTTCTCCAACAAATGTTCTAGAATTTTGTCGGCTGTCCCAGACATTACGGTGTATCTAGAAAGCAAAGAATACAAACTGTCAGTAAGCTCCATTGACAGGCTGTATAGCGATAATAATATAATATAGAGCAAGCACCATTTTGCAAAAAACACTCACTTTTACCTGCACCCAATCTCTTCTTTTCATTTAATTTAGATTTCTACATTGGACTACATCCTCCTTAATGCTTTGTTAGCATTATGGCTTTAAAAGCATTATAGGAAGATGTAGTTCAAAACATCTGGAGTGCCGAAGGTTGCCTACCCCTGGAATAGTGGATACGTTTCCCATTAAATGTATAAGTCCCTTTACAAGTTGTTGATAAGAACTTGTATACAATACACACATTACAAGAATTGTATGTAATGGCATACTGTCCTATGAAACATAATTGAGTTGAGGTGTGCAGGGAATTTTAGGAACAGATTGAAGAAATACAGAGAGAAAAGAACTCTTTCTACAATGAACTATAGAAGATGCGCAGATCCTTGTAGTGCATGAGATTCTCTTCAATTTTCACTAAGGAAGCGCTTAAACATATCAACCAGAGATTCATTCTTCTGCAAATGGAATAAACTCACTTGTGATTGCCAGACACAGCTGTTTGAGAATTGTTTCCAGAAACCTGCGGGATCTTTTCAAGAACTAGAACCACCTTGCCATGTTCCTTAAGACGCACTGTGTTGGCTTCCACATCCTGTGTAAGAAACCATATTTAGTTAGGCTTTTATTAGGCCATTAGGACAGTGGTTTTCTGTTGTAACTGAACCATTGTCTGCATTGTACATTTAATGTAAATCAGATATAACAATGCAAATCAGATGACAACTACTAAGTCAAACAGGGTTTGTATGAAAACACTGACCCGGAGGATGCGATTGAAGTCATGCTTGTCTACACGCAGAAAATGGCAGTTGTCTTCACGCAAGACAATGGAAGCTGCTCTCGGGGCATCATTCACGAGTGCCAGTTGTCCAAAATCATCACCTTCATGAAGGGTTGTGACCAAGCCCTGTTTAAAGAAAACAGAGGAAAACAGAGGGTCAACCTGGAAAGGTCTGTGTGAAGAATAGGCAGGCATGCGAGCTCACTAAGGACGGACTATACAGAGAGCGCTGTTATGTAGTCCTAGTGCCCGGAGCATAATGATTCGCTCACACTATCCTTACTTTACGATCCCTGGTGTCCCTAAAAGCGAGACACCAGGGAACAAAGTGAGGATGGCAGGACAGGACAAAGTGAAATTCACTTTGAATTCACAATAATTCACATGTTCGTGAATAAACCAGTGAGGGTTTTCGAATTTTACTTTTCTGTGCATTCCATATGCTTAATGCCCAAGCATTGATTGTTTCAGAAGTTTTAATTATTTTGCTGTCTTCAATTTTTGATCTGATTTGTGCTGAAGAATTGTTAGCGCTGTTGAAAATAATGAGTCTAAAATAAAACAATAACAGTGTCTTGTAACATTCTTGATAAAGTTGGCCTTACCTTGCCATGAATTACTACATTCACTGATCCTTTCCAGATGATGTACCAGGAAGTGCCTTTCTCACCTTGGCTAAACACTGCATGCAGACAGAAAAGTACAAGGCAATCTGTCATTTGTGTGTTTACTTACAACAAACTGCACGTAGCTTCAAGCCTGTTACAAGCTTATTTCACTACGACAGCAATCTGCTTACAAATTAATATTCAATCACACATTGTTGCAAGTTAATCCCTTTTCTTCAAGGAAAATATTGCTTACTTAGTGCATATATTTGTTTTTTGTTAATTAAATTCTACCCTAACTTTTGTAATAAAATCCCCACCTTTTTACACTTTTTGTTTTTACTAGAAATTACTGGAAAATTCACAGAAAAAAAAAAGAAATGTATATATGTTTTTAATATTACGGACGGTATTACTTAATTTGGAATGATTCATTTGGCTTTCACTGTTTTCAAATACATAAGTGAATCTAGCTTTTATTTCATAGCTAAATAAAGAATATTTGTGGTCTGAGATTGCAACTTTGGTATATCACACACAATTCTGTGATATACCTGTAGACAACTGCGCCCTTGCTTAAATTGTAGGCATCCAAGCCTAGGACTTAAAGAGGCCATTGAGAAGGTTAAATACAAATCAGCAGATGCCATAATTGTTTTTCTCCCTGGGGTGTCATTCTGTGCTTCTTCTTGATAATAATGGAAAATCACCAGGGGGTTATTCTCAAAACACTGAGCTTTAACAATGTGGAATTCACAAAATAGCTCAGGGATTCCTTCAATTTAGCTGCCACTGACTCTTAAAACACATGCAGTGATTTTCTGTAGAATATACAAGTCAGATTAGATGTTAATAGAAGTCAGCCTTATCAGAATCCCCAGCAGATATATTGCTAAATTAACCTGGATGTGACAAAGGACAGTTTAATCGCTAAATTAGATAAGTGTTTAATTATTTTATAAGAATGACGAACTTACTTTTGCCAACACACTGTGTTATAGTTATTTTTATTCTTGCGACAATTTACATAACAGTTGACACAATAAAAACTTTGTACATAAAAGACAAACTGACACTATGGGCAGGAAGAAGTCTGATCCATGTTTACTGAATAGATTTATCAGTCTGTCCTCATAAATCACCATTTATTTCATTTAAAAAAAATGTCAATTATATGATGCAATGTACTTACACACTGTTCCTGCTTTTGTATGAGATTCAAACACCAAGACGGATGCCAACTCCTTCTTCACCTGGAGCATAATTTTAATATAACACATGCTATTATCGATTTAATTGCTCGTGCCAAAAATAACCGTAATGACTATCATTGGTGATATCAGATCACACAGGAACTGTCACAAGAAATGCATAACCATATAAATATTTAAAAATCTAAATTCTGTAGTTTAGTACAAAACTGAATTCATAATTTGTCAGTTTAGTAAAAAATCTCAGATTATGATTGCTGTTTAGTTTTGAAAATATATATTATAAGGCTAGTTGTACAATATTTATCTTCCAGGTACTCTTTAATGTATTAATCAAAAAAGGAAGAATAATACTAGAATTGTTTTAAACAAAGGATAATATGGTAAATGTGTTTATACTGAGATACTAACCGAATTAGAAAGATGAGAAATTGCTTTGATGTGCAGTAATTCTTCAAATATCACCTCCAGCTCTTCTTCAGTACGTTGATAAGGACTGGCGATCAGAAAGAGAAACCATAAATATTGGAACAAATCTGACATATGATGGGTGCTTAGAAAAAGAAATTATTTTTAACGTAAGATATGTGGTCACAAAGACTCAATTTTTAAGTCATTTAAGAATTAGTTACAAAAGGCAAACGGCACAGCTATCAGCACTGTAAGGTGGAGCACTAGAGAGATTGCAATATGTTCGGCCTGTGGTACAAATAGCTCTAGTTTTCAGTTCTGCTACTTGCATCACTGATATCAAACAATGACAAACGCCATATTGTTGTTTTCTTGATTTCTATGAAATTATTCTTAGAGGTAACGTGTGCCTTAGCAGTTATTGTGTTTGGTTATTGCATAAACACCTTCACAATATATAGGGTATTGGCTAAGTTTGGACAAGTTAAATTTGTACAGTATCAGATGATTCCGTTAATGCATTAATCTCTTTTTTGGAGCCATTGCAATTGCTTAAAGGTGAGTGTTTATTGCAAAGTAAAGGGAACATTCAACTGAACTGATAATGGAAGTGCTGTTGAAAAGTATTGGAAGGGATTTTTGTGACCACTGTGACATCATGGAGATATAAATGTGTCAATAAATGATAGATTAGAATATTTTACTTAGTTTGGAAATGTTACATGTAGAGTTTAAAAATAGAAGGGGAACCCCTATTGAAGGCAATGGAGATGCTCTTTTTAAATCTGGTCAACTTACGGTTTACGAAGAATCATTGTAAGCAAGGCTGCTGGCCCCAGCTGTGCCAAGAATACAAGGGACTCATGCAGTTCATCTTCCATATCTTTATCATTTAATGCTGGTTCCAGAAAATGCTCTACTTTGAAGAATCGATAAAACTGTGAATCCTTATCTTGAAAATTTGGTTCTTGCCTCACTGCAATGAGAAGAGATCGTGACTTATTGTGCTCTTAATCCCTTCATGACGTTAGGACAAGTCATTACGCTCTAACTATAATGAGCTTTAATGCCGTTAATGCTGTTACCATTTATTGACATGTCCTACAATTTTGGTGTGAGCAGAGTTAAATACTCACACCAAGGCGTACCAGGTATCAGTCAATACCTAGGGCTCCACTCTGCAGCTGTGGCCATTTTCAGTGTCCCCAAACTGACAGATGAGCTGTATGCAGCACTCAAAGAGAGCTCTGTGTACAGCCCTTTGAATGGGGATTTAAATTCCTACTGCTTGCAATGTGGCGTGAGCAGGGTTAATTTGCCCTTAGCTTTCATACAAGTTCTCTCTGCACAAGAGATATATGTACATAAGATACATGTTTTAACATGTTTTATTCATAAACAGCAAGGGTTAGGCATCATTTGGCTTTCATAAAAATGTTTTAAAAAATTAGCATATATTGACATACATATTTATACACACAAACCAAACGTGTGCAGATCTGTGTAGTGAAAATGGCTGTATGTGAAGTTCTGTCTCAAACTGAGAGTTAGGAAAACATCAGAATGTCCTTAACATATGTCCACCTCTCTTACCATGCACCAGTGCTCCTTCATCCACCAGCACCTGCCATATCCCCACAGCTTGGCTTCGCGATTGAAGACCTGAGCCAATGGACATTAGCCAATCCACAAGCTCTTTTCCTGAACAGCACTGCCTGCGGGGAAGACAGACAAGAACTTGCCTAAACATAAACAAATACATCTGCTTCATCCATGAGAGGCCAATACAATAATAACATGGGTATATCCACAAGACAAGCATTCTTTGAAAAATATTCTAAAGCTAACAGCTAGTATCTTTATTCTGCCAAGTTCCTTGTGGGAAGCTATGTTGTATGTTATAAATACAACAAATATTAATATGGTTATAATAAAAATTTACAGAAAATGGCTATATGAAATTAAGCATATAAAATATCACAGGACATTCTTTTGGTGAAAAATAAATGATTATTGGTATAATTATTATCTGTTTTTTAATTAAAATGTTTGCATTAAAAACAAAAATAAATAAAGAGGTCACAATTAATTCCAGTGAATTAAATTTTTATTTGCCCGATAATAATAAATCAAGCAAAAATACAAACAAAATCAAGTAAAGTATAGCTGGGCAGTGGAACACAACCAATTCCAAAACGACTAGGCAGGGTTCCTCACTTAACTTTAAATCCGGTTATCTATGATTATATATAGCCCTTGATTTAATATTTTGGAGAAGCTTTTAAAATGATTTAATATGTTTGGATACACTTTAAAAACTATTATTTCTAAATACTAAAATAAAAAGAATAACAATGATAAAGAATATATATAAAAAAATATCAAAATATTAAATTATTTTAAAGGTTTATAAAAAAAATAAAAAATAAGTTATTTGAAAAGCTTATCCAGATGTATTAAATGAAGGTTGTAATGTATGAGTATATTTAACTTAATTAAATGCAATCATCATATTGTATCCAATTTTATTAAAGGACACGGAGGCTCTTATTAGGCTTTATCTCTTTCTTTATTCCTCAGCAGCAAAGAAAGGATATTGATATTTTTTAATATAGCAATAACAAAAAAAGAAAAAACAAATACCCTTAAGGGTTAACCATACAACATTCCATATCCATTAACCAATAGGATCAGTCCTTGTACTATATCTCTTCATGTGAGGTACACTACTTCCTCTTTCTTTGCTGCTGCCTCAGCTAAGTACCACATATTTTTCAACTCCTCACATATTGTGTTGTTCTGTTTCTCCTGATTCATATTATTATTTATTAATTTCTTTTAGATATCTGCTGTTTTGTTTTTGTCTATTATTTTCATTTTTTTGTGTATTTTACTGATGTTTACTTTTCCTCTTGTTCCCAGTGCAGGGTGCTTGCCTCCTCCCTGAGGCAAGCCCCATCCTGCACTGCCGTTTTTTCGGGTTGTTTATAACCCGTCCCCCCTTCCACTTCCCCGGGTGGGGGTCGCTCAGGCATCCCCCCCTCACCCCCTCCGGCCCAGAACGAGCCGTTTTTCCGCCGGACGGGCGGCTGTTACTTTGGCGGCCGTTTTCCGCCGCTCGCGCATGCGCGGTCCACACTCGCGCATCGCGGCGGCCATCTTAACTGAGGGCAATTTTGCCGCTCTTTTCGCCCGCGGTCCACGCCACTCTGACAGGGAGGGGCGCGAGCTGATTGGGTGAGGGAAGTATTGGGCAGCTTACCAGTGTCCCCCAGGAGTCATTCCTGAGGGAACACTCGGTAAGCTGCCATATTATATGTGCCAGAATACTTGTGCCTGTATAACTGTGCCTGCCTTTACTTTTAGTTTAGTGCTCAGCCACTTGCCTTATACTGCTGGTATATATTAACCTCTGCAGTGCTGCCAGTGTGCATTTTGTCCAAAAGTGACAGTTTTATTTCAGTACCTTTCTCCCTATACTGTTACTGTGCACATTCCTGATCACTATGCAGTCCCCTGCTGATAAACAGTTACCCCCCCTCCCACCTCTACTAAACCCAGCAAACGTGATAAGGCAGCCCTGTCTACAGATGCTGCTGTCATTGGGGGAGTTGGGGACGCATCCCAGGAGCACGTGAACTCAGATGCCACGATGAGTAGGTCTGTTACACAGGCCATTTTTACCGCCATGGGGGCGATGTCGGACACCCTGTCCCACTCTATTTCCTCTGCTATTAGGGCATCCGGTCACAACCCGGGCTCGGCACCCCCTATATCCAGTGATAGCAAGCCAATGGTCCCTAGCGGCCGCAAGGCTACGTGTAAATCGCACCATCTGTCAGGTGCTACCTCCAGAACCAGTAAGACGGACAGGTTGCGCCCTGTTGAGATTGATGACGTGGTGCTCCCACGTAAAAGAGCCCCCCGCCGGGCAAAAACGGTGCGGACTTGGAAGAGGGCAAAAGCCCTATCTGATCCGTCCGACTCCGACTCGGACTCAGAGGAGGTATCAGATGGGTCCGGTGACATCGACCCAATTAATTCAGACAATTCATCCCCCGAACACAGCGACACCGCGCCTCCAGCTTTAGACGCGGAGCGCGAGACGGATGAGTCCGCTGTGTTAGACCCCCAAGGGGAACCCCTTTTTGATCCCGACACCTTGCACAATCCGCGTTCAGCGGAGTGGTATCCCACAACTCATGTGGCCGTTTATATTGCGACTAGGGTCAGAAAACCCCTCAACAAGGCCACAAGAAGCAAACTGAGGGTGGAATGCCCAAGGCCCACTGTCCCAGACATGGCCTGCGTGACCCCTGAAGTGGATCCCAAGGTCGCCCAGTTCCTGGGTAAATCAGGATGGAGGGCCAAGAAGGGTTTGGACTACTCCTTAAAACACTGCCAGGACAAGATCCTGGACATACTCGGGCCTATAGCTAAAATCTTCGATATGGTCGAAGCGGCCCTTACTGGGGGGACCCCAATTGACTTGATGGCCATCAGAGGCTGGATTCAGAGGGGCATATGCCTAATAGGAAATGCCAACACCGCTTTGGCCACGGAACGGCGTAAAGCCATATTGATGAAAATCGAGCCAAAACTAGTGCATTTGGCAATCTCCGAGCCTGGCACACAGGCAAAAGGTCTCTTATTTGGAGACAATTTTGTTAAGACCCTGGGTAATTACGTAAACACATTTACGGCACTAGATAAGGCACAACATAATATGAAGCGAGTGTTCTCGCAAAAGGTTTTCGGGGGGGCCGGCAGACAGCGGGGCCGTCTGTCCGGCCGCCCCTCCCGGACTCAGTTCCAGGGCTATCGAGGCTCCGCCACAACCCAGTTCCACCCACCCGAACCGAGGGCACAATCACCTTTCTTCCCGACCAGGGGCAGATCATGGCATCCACGCGGAACCAGGGGATCCTCCTATGGCCGTCGGCCTTATGGTGAGTCACTCCACATTACACACCATTCCCTTTGTACCTGTGGGGGGCAGATTGTTTCAATTCCAGGATGCGTGGCACAACCTAACCTCAGATACATGGGTCCTAGAGACCATCCTCGGCTATCACATCGAATTTACACAACAGCCGATTCAACTCTCATTGCCACATCGGATTATTTTTTCCCCACTAGACAAACAGCTAGTGTTAAAAGAGATTCGCACACTGGAGGAAAAATGTGCGATATACAGGGTTCCCATTACCGCCCCCGAGTTCCTAAGCAACATCTTCCTAGTACCCAAGAAAGGTGGGGGCATGAGGCCAGTAATAAACTTGCGGCCTCTCAACGCCTTTGTCACATACCATCACTTCAAGATGGAAGGAATACACTGCCTCCGAGACCTACTAAGACTGGGAGACTGGATGGTAAAATTGGACCTCCAGGATGCATACCTCACAATACCGATTGCCGAGGACTGTCAACAATTCCTGCAATTCCAATGGGAACAGACGATGTGGCGTTTCCGCTGCCTCCCTTTCGGCCTGTCTTCAGCCCCGTGGTGCTTCACCAAGCTGCTGAAACCGGTAGTTGCCCTCCTTCGCAGCAGAGGTGTACGTCTGATCATATACCTCGACGACATGCTGATCATGGCCCAAGACACACAGCTACTGAATCAACACCTATTCTGGACAGTGACCCTTCTGCAAAACCTGGGTTTCCTAATCAATTGGGACAAATCGATCCTACAACCTTCACACTCGATAGAGTTTTTGGGCTTCGATATAGACGCAGTACACGGAACGCTCAGTCTTCCTACCGCAAAAGTAAAACTTATCAAGAAGGAAATCCGGAGGACGTTGGCTCGACCAGTCTTAACCCTCCGACAGCTAGCCAGGATAATTGGCCTGCTCGCGGCCTCTATACAAGCGATCTTCCCAGGCCCTCTCCACTACAGATCCCTACAACAACTCAAGGCAACCCACCTACGCTTGGGTCACTCTTATTCAGATTCTGTACCTCTAGATTGCACGGCAAAAGAGGAACTGGCATGGTGGCTTCAACACATGGAAGCATGGAACGGCAAGGCAATCTACGGCGCCACTCCGGATCTAGTCATAGAATCCGACGCGAGCAGACTGGGATGGGGGGCCCGCTGTGGTCCTACCTCTACAGGTGGAAAATGGTCTTCCGAAGAAAAAGAACTCCACATCAATGGTTTGGAACTCCTGGCTGGGTCATTCGCCCTACAGAGCCTCCTCAGACACACGACCAATTGTTCCATACTCCTGCGCATGGACAATGTCTCAGCCGTCCGCTACATCAACCACTTGGGTGGCACGAGGTCCTCAATCCTCACGAACTTGGCGAAAGAATTCTGGCATTTCTGCCTGAGTCGCAGTATATCCGTACAGGCGGAATACCTCCCAGGCCTCTCCAACACCGTAGCGGATTGGCACTCCAGGCATTTATGAGACAACAGTGCATGGCGATTGAATCGCACAGTATTCCAGAAGCTCCACTAACTCTGGGGACCGATGCACATCGACCTTTTTGCCTCCCGGCTGAATGCTCAACTCCCCTCATTCTTCAGCTGGAGACCGGACCCAGACGCCACGCAGTGGATGCCTTCCTACAAAATTGGCCGAACACCAGGCTATACGCCTTCCCCCTTTCTCACTCATAGCGCGGACTCTCCTACACCTACAGCGCTCCCGAGCATCGTTGGTTTTGATAACACCATTCTGGACGGCACAGCCATGGTTCCCTTCCCTCATGGAAATGTCAATCGACCTCCCCAGACTGATTCCAGGGAGCACGGAATTATTATCAGATCCCGATGGGAACTCTCATCCACTTCTGGTGCAAGGTCATCTCAGACTCCTAACATGGCTCCTCTCCGGGGACCCTGGACCATGCCGAATGTTTCACAAACGACTTTGGAATTATTGGCAGAGCTTGGGCCCCAGGGACAAGACGTTCCTATGCTCATGCCTGGAACACATGGTGTAGTTGGTGCGTGGAACGGCACGTGGATCCCATACGTGCTCCTATAAACCAGGTTTTGGGTTTCCTTACTACCCTTTATGATCAAGGCTTGGCGTATCGCACCATAAATGTGTACAGGTCAGCGATTTCAGCTGGGCATACTGGTTGGGAAGGCTTCCCGGCTGGGAAGCACTTATGGATCTGTCGTCTCCTACGGGGCATAAAATTTGCACGTCCGCCACAACCTCGTTACACGGCCCTATGGGATGTGAATATGGTCCTTCGGTTGTTGCAAGACTGGCCCCCAAACTCGAACCTCACACTCAAGCAAGTGTCTGCAAAATTGGCGATGCTCCTATGCTTAATTTCCTGCAAACGGGTATCAGACGTGAGGGCCTTAGATATCGATGCACGATCATTCACACCGGATGGTGTCCTGTTTAATATCACCAGACGTACGAAGTCGAACACCACTTCAGTCTTCTATCCCTCTTTTCCTCACAACGCTAACCTCTGCCCGGTAGCATGCCTGCAGGAATATGAATTACGGACACAGCCATTCCGGAACCCAACAACACATAATTTGTTCTTGGCAGTGAGGAAACCTCATCAACCAGTATCCACGGGAACTCTGACACGTTGGGTGAAATGGATAATGTCAAGTGCTAACATCGACACAGCCGTTTACGGAGCACACTCTACTAGAGGCGCTATGGCCTCTAAAGCATTCTCCATTGGATGTAAACTGGAAGACCTCCTCCGCACAGCTGACTGGTCCCGAGAATCGACGTTCAAGGAATACTACTTTAGACCAACAGAACATATCTCGTCTAGGGTCATATCACAGCTTTAAACTAGCCTAATAAGAGCCTCCGTGTCCTTTAATAAAATTACCAGATTTTACTAATTACATGACGTAAAGTCATGATTTTATAAAGGACACAGAGGCGAGTATTAGCCCGCCCACTGAAAGGTAAGCCGTACATGTATTTTTCCCACCCACTTGCTCATAATCAGGTTATAGCATTTTGGATGTTTAGAATCAAAGTTCTAGGGTAAGATTGCGATTTAGACTGATTTATGCTAGAATGTCGCAAGCAATGTTTTCAGATATAAACGTTTGTCTACGGACCGGTACAACATATATGTATGACAACGATATTTGAATATATTTTACCATATATCTCTCTGTCTCCTACAGCTTAACCCTGTGATGACAGAACCGGGATCGTCCAATGTCTCAACATTATTTGGAACATTCACCGGAACCCCTAAGAAAGATTACCCAAGTTTGAGAAATGTTGTTCCCCTTGTTGATGTGTTCAGCTTCGGCGTCAGCCAGAAAGAGGAAGTAGTGTACCTCACATGAAGAGATATAGTACAAGGACTGATCCTATTGGTTAATGGATATGGAATGTTGTATGGTTAACCCTTAAGGGTATTTGTTTTTTCTTTTTTTGTTATTGCTATATTAAAAAATATCAATATCCTTTCTTTGCTGCTGAGGAATAAAGAAAGAGATAAAGCCTAATACTCGCCTCCGTGTCCTTTATAAAATCATGACTTTACGTCATGTAATTAGTAAAATCTGGTAATTTACAGCATGTAGTGTCAATTTTTTGGCCTATAGAGCCTTTCACAAGACCATGCTGATGCTACATGCTGTATAATTTGCACATGCTTTTTGACATTTTTCATGAATCAATGCTATCACGTGCTTCTGTGAATGCTTTGGTTATTGATTGCATATTGTATTTTTTATGTGGTTATTGTAATATTGGCCATTGTAGTAAATAATCTGGTTAATGCACTGGTAAATCTCTGAATGCATCAATTATCAAGAGTATATAACTGCTAGGTTTATAGAACATCAGAGGGTCAAATTATAGAACTGTTCTACGTGTGACATTTCTCCTAGCTAATGTCTTACTAAACCTGATGGTCTGATAGGTGACACTATCTGTGTCGGTTTCATTAATTTTGTCATAATTTGGCACTGTGTCTCTGGTATTTGATTGTCAGATGCCATATTACATGTGCCATAATAGAAAAAAATATAACTTTCTAAACTCATTTTCTACCTAACATAATGTGAATTAAATATAGCTGCTCTTAGCTTGCTCAGTATTTCCAGTTATGCTATTTTCATAAATAAAACCACTTGCAACTGCTGAATTACATGTTACGTAATCTCCATCACCACGGTAATGTAGTGATGTAGACCACATTCTGATTGAGGACTACCTGAGAAAGCTCACTCCCTTCCTTATCTTTGAAAACAAAGGGGATTTTTAAAGTAGAAAATTGGGGACCTTCAGAGGTTTTTTACATATTTTTTCAGCTTTTTTCTTTGTTAACATCGTAATTTATTAAAACTGAGGGTAATTCCAGCTCAAAAACTCCCTTTAGGCCACTGATAGATCCAAGGAAGTGCTTTCAATAGTGGATTCTCATAACACTGAAGTTCATTTATTGTAAATCCCCCCCCTCCCCTTTCATAATATTGTAAAGCGATGCGGAATTAGTTGGCGCTATATAAATACCAATAATAATAATAATGAAGCAATGAAGAATAGTTGCCACTCTCCTCTACACCGTTCTTCCCTCCAACTGACTTCTCCTCCATTTTAGGCCCTGAACAGATCGCAAAACTGACCATAGGATAAACTGGTTCTGTCTATAGTCATAGTTTGAATGACAGTTAATCTATAGAACCAGTATATCATTTTAGTCTAACTTGCTTTATTTGTGTGCTTGCAGGTAAGTTACATATTTGAACTATAATGCCATGTGTATGTAATATTTTATGCCTCCTGTTTTTAGTAAGAAAGTTCCACAAAAATACAGAATTGCATTTTCTTATTCTGTTAAGTAAATTTTGCTGACTGTTTAGAAGATTTGAAATGCAGCAGTACATTACCTACAGTAACTGATATGTACGTAAATTGAAAGTTTTCTATGACAGTAATATAATCCCAGAGGATCACTGTGTTTAGAAGAATCAGTCTAATAATAGCATGTTTCGTGTGTAATAAAGCCCCACACAGGGTAACGATAAATAACAGTGTTCAGATGACTGGTATAATGACGATAGTATATCTGTAATTTCAAAGATGAGATCATGTTGTGCTATTTAGTTGGGTATAATGAGCTAAATATCTACTGAAGGAAAACTATTTCTAAAAGAGATGTGCTCATTTTGTTCATATAAATTTTTTATACCGCATTTAACAATTGTCTTGTGAATAATAAGTACAACTCCAAGAATTATCTGAAAAACTGAATTGCAGAGAGTTAAAGAAGTCATATATAATTGGTGATTTGTGTTTAGAAACTCCTGCCATAAAAAAAAGTTATCTATATTGTCCACTCCACCAAGCCACCAGGTCCCACACCCAACACACCAACGATTCCTTGTCAAGTTTGGTGTTCAAGGTCACCTGAACTCCAAAGGAACCTGAGGTCATGAGGTCATGTCAATGTAGTCATGTCAAGCCCAATTGCATCTGTGCTTTATATGACTACTACCAGCCTAATCAATTGATTTATTTAATCAATATACTTCAGAAAATGCAGATTTCAATTCCAGCCTTATGGATGAAGATTCAAATTTTAGGTTCTCTGGCTGTTATCCTACTATTACTCTTAACAGCCAGAGATCCTAAAATTGGAGTTCATGTCTGTGCTATCATCTAAATTGTTGGGTGACGTTAGTTAAATGTATTTTACCTAAAGATTAACAGTAATCACACAGTTGACAATACACTTTAAAAGAAAATGTAATTCTTCAAATTGTCTATGAGAAAAAAACATTTTTGCAAATAGCTTAGTGTCACATTCTGTATAGCTTACATATGAATTTACGTATGAAGAAAGCAATTTGATTAAGTAGTGTTAGTACCTGTGGCTGCGAAAATGGTGCTTTCGATCACGCATCAAGGTGGGTGAGATGTTAAGAAGGCATGTGCGCAAAACCTTTGCAGCTCTCCAAACCTTTAGTGAAACCACCTAGAGAAAAAAAAAACATGTCAGAAAGGACCATCTGCGCTGTTTGAGTCCTCTTGTGGAGGTTATACATAAACCAGGTATTGTGGAGAATTGACAAATGAAATTTTTTTGGTACAAATTGGCACAGGTGGTAAATCACAAAGCTAGAAAATGTTTCCAAATTATACATTTTTGCCTAAAAGTTGCAAATCGCATGTTAAATTGCACAATACCCATTTAGTGATTCACTGAAATTGTGGTTCAAGTCATGTCACAGTCCTTTATGCTGGAACCCATAATGTTCATTGCTAGAGTAGCAACAGATATTATTATGAGGACATAACTTGTCCCAGTGTATATTGGCAGGCAGTGTAGGTTACTGTCAAAATCTTAATTTTAGGGAAACTGACCAAGACGTCTTCCTGTATCACCCTCTTGTGATACTGTAGTTCAGAAAGTATGGAGGAAGGTTTGTGTCTTAGGATACCCAATTGCACTGAAAACCAACTGGCAGATGAACATACAAATGGTATGAAAAATTAGTAAGATAATAGAGCACTCAACTCTGCGTTGCTCCTTTTTTAAATGATAATTTTAATACATTTACATTTCAGTTATATTATATAGAGGAAGATCATGCATGACTGAAACAGTCCAAATTTGTTCCATGGTGCTTTAAAGAGCTATCCCAAGTACCAACACCACTACAATCCTATTTATAAGCAGGACTATTCAAAGGACACAAGGTCACTGACTTAGAATTGAAGAAAATATATTTCAAAGGAAAGGGGTTCTTTACAGGAAGAACAATAAGGATGTGGCATACTCTGCCTGAAGAAGTGGTTTTATCAGAGCATGTACAGATGTTTAAACAGTAACTGGATGAAATCTTGCAAAAACATACAATTCAGGGACATTATTTTTAATATTTGGGGTAACAGCCCAAGATAATAGAGCACTCAACTCTGCTTTGCTCCTTTTTTAAATGATCATTTTAATACATTTACATTTCAGTTATATTATATAGAGGAAGATCATGCATGACTGAAACAGTCCGAATTTGTTCCATGGTGCTTTAAAGAGCTATCCCAAGTACCAACACCACTACAATCCTATTTATAAGCAGGACTATACAAAGGACACAAGGTCACTGACTTAGAATTGAAGAAAATATATTTCAAAGGAAAGGGGTTCTTCACAGTAAGAACAATAAGGATGTGGCATACTCTGCCTGAAGAAGTGGTTTTATCAGAGCATGTACAGATGTTTAAACAGTAACTGGATGAAATCTTGCAAAAACATAATATTCAGGGACATCATTTTTAATATTTGGGGTAACAGCTTATAGATCCAAGCAGAGATCTGAGTGCCATTTTTGAGGAGTTAAAATTATTTTTTTCCTAGTTTGTTGCAAAATATATTTTTTGCATTTTTTTGGATCAACAGCAAAAAAAACTGATGTGAGAAAGGCTGAACTTGATGAATGCAAGTCTTTTTCCAGTTTATGTAACTATGTAATTATGGTAGGAGTATACTGGCCCTGTTTTCCAGCAATGGGGCAAACTATTTTGCAATGGTTTGCCCTCTTATCTGGGTCCCCACTGAGCTCCTCAATGGCCGATGAGAACATCTGGTGGTTGATCCCACTGGCCATATATTGGCTGAGAGTGTCAATAAATCCAATTCAGTGCACAGCAATATGCACAGAATTGATATTAGCCAGCCCAGAACTCTTGTTCCAGGCTGGATAAAGACACCCGAATGATGCCGCCAGAAATAGTGTTACACCTCCAGCAGCAGAGAGGATAAACTTAATATGTGCAGCATTTAAAAGTGAAACGCTGCATATACAGATCCAGACACCATGGTGCTTGGAGTAATCTTTTAAGTCAACTGGTGTACAGGGAGTTCCATTCAGTGCTGAGGACAACAACCTTGAGCACAGATTGGTGATTTCGAATAGTGATGCGTTTTTGGAAATTAAAGTCCCTTGAGACAGGAGAGCCACTAAGGCAGGGGTAGGCAACCTTCAGCACTCCAGACGTTGTGGACTACACCTCCCATGATTAGGGGAGATTTAGTTCAAGACATCTGCAGTGCCAAAGGATGCCTAACCCTGCACTAAGGCATTGCTTGTCAAGTCTAGATTTTCCAGACATTCGTAGTTTTTCAAGCAGGTTACAAATTCTATGAGCTGTAGGTGAGAATATGAAAAATATATACAGCATGTGAAAGTTGAGTTCTTCCAGTATAAAATCAATTCATCCCCCCGGATACTTTCAAATTTATTTCAAATCAGGAGCATGTAAATTCTTCAAACTAATAATCATTACTTTCAATATCATACTGGAAGAATGCAAAATTAATGTTCCACGTAAACATGGCATTCAAGCAAACGTAGTCACACCCATTGTTCTAAGCAATAATGTAAGTCAATTTCTAAGCATTTGCTAAATGGAAAATACAGCTGTGTATGTGATCTTAAAGGGAAAGCATTTACTTTTCAGAAAATACACCATTAAATAAAACACTGAAAGTCATATGTAACTCGTGTAAACCTTTTTAATGTGATGCCCCATTTTCTTTTAAATGTATATGAAAGATTTCAATAATGACACTCACTCAACAACAATCAATATTAACAAAGCTACTTCCGATAAGGGTTCCCAACCTTTTCCTTAACAGGAGGAGGGGATGACCCTAATAATGACTTAATCACATAGTCGCCGACCATTGGTGGGCATAATCATGACTAATTAAGTGCCAGAAGCTAAATATGAGCAATGGAGATGCTATATTTTTTTTTATACCTGACACCACTGTTTTCACCCCGACACGCGCATTGTGTTTTACTTTACCTTTTACTGCTTATTATTTCACAACGGGTAGCACTGTGGTGTTTCCTGCTCCCTAGGGTAAATGCTAGCATTCGGTATTGTAGGCACAATGAGATTACTACATATGCCAAGGTACTTAGGGCCAGATTGGCTTGAGGGTCCTGTTGCAGTATTTTTGTCTCTTAGGTTGATCTAAGCAATAAGGGATTGCAGAGATATGAGGAGTGCTCTCACATGCGTTAAGGTACACAGGGCTAGATATGATTGGGGGGCTGTCTGTAAGCAATAAACTTGGTGCCTCCGGTCTTACCACCTGCCCCATTTATCCCCCTCCATCCTAGCTACTTATATATAATACCCTTCTCCTAGTATGTTTTTTCTTTACTTGACAACTCTGTTGGTATCCAATTTAGCCTGATTGGTCTTGGCACTTATCCAATACCTCCCTGGTCCACAGTAGAAGTATATTTATCAGTATCTTGCTGTATACTAGGGGGTTAACACTTACATAATACAGATTGTAATGGTCCTACTGCAGTGTATACTAGATGTTTAATACTTACAAACCTTACATACCTTATGCCTCAGATTGCAGAGGCCCTAGAACATACTAGGAGGTTATTACCTATACACCTTAGATTATAGTAGTTTTTTCCCCCCCCCTTGGGGTAGCAGTGTACATCATGTGTTTTCATGAAGAATGGGGTTTGGGACATTTCTAAAAAAAAATTTCTTTTAATATTTCAATAATGATTTATGACTTTTAATTTCTCTATTTTAGTACTTTAGCGGTCTGTGGCTAAACTCAACCACAGACTTTGGATTAGGGATTTTCCTTTTTTTCTTTTGATTTTTAGAAAATAACATTACAATCCAGTTCAATCCAAGAACAGCGAGGCACATATTGTACACATTAATGAGGAGAAATACAAACATTGTTTAATTTCTCCTCTTCTACTTAAAGGACCACTCTAGGCACCCAGACCACTTCAGCTTAATGAAGTGGTCTGGGTGCCAGGTCCCTCTAGGATTAACCCCTTTTTTTTATAAACATAGCAGTTTCAGAGAAACTGCTATGTTTATAAATGGGTTAATCCAGCCTCCAAATCCTCTAGTGGCTGTCTCATTGAAAGCCGCTAGAGGCGCTTGCGTGCTTCTCACTGTGAGAATCACAGTTAGAACACGCAAGCGTCCATAGGAAAGCATTGTAAATGCTTTCCTATGAGACTGGCTGAATGCGCGCGCAGCTCTTGCCGCGCATGCTCATTCAGCCGAAGAGGAGGATCGGAGGCGAAGAGGAGGAGGAGAGCTCCCCGCCCGGCGCTGGAATAAAGGTAAGTTTAACCCCTTTCCTCGCCATCCAGCTCGGCGGAAGGGGGTCCCTGAGGGTGGGGGCACTCTCAGGGCACTATAGTGCCAGGAAAACGAGTATGTTTTCCTGGCACTATAGTGGTCTTTTAAGCATTCTCTACAATAACTTCCAGAGGTAATACAATGATTGTCATGGCACTAAGATGGAGGCACCCATTGGCAGGATAAAGATGTGTGGATTTCTATATTTTATTTTATTTTTCACACCTCATAGATATATATTTAATAACTATCGGGTATAAGTAAACATACTATTGAAAATCCTGGGAAGCAATAGTTTCCTTTAACTTTTAATCTAATTTGCTGCTGCTCAAAAGTATTGAATCACCACAAGTATTCCTTTAAAATAATTGTTAACTCAACAAATATTAAGCCACAGATGTTTTATTATTTTTCATGTATTGCTATATATGATGAGCAAATAGCACAATGCTACTTAAAACAGAACTTGTTTCTATACATTGTTAATACAGTGTAAATAAATGACATATCAGCAATATGTTTACAGGGCGTGTAAAGTATTTTATGCAATAAGAGGTGTGGTTTGTAGCCTGTGGGGGAATACCTGTTAGAACGTTTTAGCGTTGCCTCCAAATCTAATCATATCATCCACACCAAAGATAATATTATAATCAACTGCAGACAAACCTGCACCTGTTCTGCCATGGTATTTGGCATTGGCATACAGGTACATACAGAGCTATAAAACCATAGAGCTGCTAGGAGCGCTCCCAAGTATATTCAACATTTCATAAATGATCAAAGTGATAGAATGGTAAAGCTGTCACATGACTTTACATTTAGCATAATAACACAATATTATCAGATTGCTAAAACTACAGGTTTATTGCAAGAGTGCACTCTTTTTACTGACCACTTAAAAATAGCATGCACGAAATTAAAAAACAGCAAACTAGCCCTAAATCCCCACTAACTCTAAATACCTTCTAATCCCTAGTCGATCTCTTCCTCTGAACCACCGCTAATCTTACACCCACTCGAACCATAAATCCGCAGCTATCTCTAAGCTACCTCAAAACCTAACCTTAACTTTAGCCCTGGTGGCATAATTTAGAATGACAACATTATTACAATATTGTATCTGCACTACCTACATTCTTTTTAACACAGATCATCAGTAGGCGCTTAAAACATATAGACAATACAAATTTAAATGCTTGTTGTCCCATTCGTTACTACACCAAGCTGACCCGTTACCTCCAAAAATGTTCCAGAACTGCTGAACGCTGCTGGAGAAAGTCTCACTTTGCATCTGACTTTGTCCACTATAAATTTATGCTGCGCTCCTACAGCATGGCTCTTTCCTCTGCAAAAGTAAGCTACTTCAACACCCTCATAAGCACACTGTCCCACCAACCCAAACACCTGTTTCACACTTTTGATGCACTTCTTCGCCCTGTGACTCCCCCTCCTTCCACCACCTTGTCCGCCACAAACTTTGCATCTCATTTCACTGAGAAGATCTCTACAATCAGGAAAGAGATCTCTAATCTTTCTCCAACCAGTATCAATACATCACCCAACCCCACTCCCCCTGCCATCCTAAGCTCATTTGCACCTGCTACAGCACAAGAGGTTTCTGCTCTGCTCCTGTCCTCCCACCCCACCACCTGCTCCCTCGATCCTATTCCCTCGCATCTCATCCGCACTTTGTCTCCCTCTCTTGCTCTTCCTCTCGCTAACATTTTCAATCTCTCCCTTTCCTCTGGCACATTTCCCTCTGCCTTCAAACATGCAACCGTAACCCCAATTCTGAAAAAGCCCAACCTTGATCCCAACTCCCCATCCAACTACCGCCCTATCTCACTACTGCCATTTGCCTCCAAGATCCTCGAGAGAGTTGTCTACGCCAGATTGACAGACTTTCTTGAATCCAACTCTCTGCTTGACCCCCTTCAGTCTGGATTCTGGATCTCCCAGCGCTCCTTCAGTGTTTCTTTCTCTGGCTCTGCCTCTTCTCCCCAACCCCTCCCTGTCGGCGTCCCCCAAGGTTCTGTCCTCGGCCCCCTACTGTTCTCTATCTATACTGCCTCCCTTGGTAAACTCATCAGCTCTTTTGGCGTCCAATACCATTTATATGCAGATGACACGCAAATCTACCTGTCCTCCCCTGATCTCTCTCCGCCCACCTTGACTCGTGTTTCTGACTGCCTCTCTGCTATTTCCAACTGGATGGCTGCTCACTTCCTTAAACTCAACCTGTCCAAAACAGAACTTCTAGTTTTTCCTCCCTCAAGTGCTGCTACTCCTGTGTCTGTCGCCATCCAAGTCAACGGCGCTACTATCACCTCTACCTCCCAGGCTCGCTGCCTAGGAGTTCTTTTTGATTCTGATCTCTCTTTTACTCCCCATGTTCAATCGATAGCCAAATCCTGTCGCTTCCAACTCAAGAACATAGCGCGCATCCGCCCATATCTAACGCCGGACGCGGCTAAGGTACTGGTTCATGCTGTTGTTCTCTCTCGCCTTGACTATTGCAATCCCCTTCTCACCGGTCTTACATGTTCCCAGCTTGCACCGCTGCAATCTATAATGAATACGGCTGCGAGGCTTATTTTCCTGTCCGGTCGCACCTCCCACGCCTCCACGCTCTGTCAGTCCCTGCATTGGCTTCCAGTTAGATATAGGGCCCAATTCAAAATTCTGGCGCTTGCTTACAAATCCCTACATAATGCTGCTCCAACATACCTATCCTCCCTCATACACAAGTATGTCCCGTCGAGACCCCTGCGCTCAGCCCAAGACCTACTCCTATCCTCTGCCCGGATCCCCACCTCTGATGCTCGCCTTCAAGACTTCTCCAGGGCTGCACCTATTCTGTGGAACTCCCTTCCCTCCTCAATCAGACTCTCACCCAGCCTCCATTCCTTCAAAAAATCTTTGAAAACTCACTTCTTCATTAAAGCGTATCAATTAAACTGTCAACAGGTTTCTCATCCCCCACCCCACGACTCCATTCCTTCACCTGTCAAAAATGACCTACCAAGCACTCAATAAACCCTTCTGTAACAAACTATTTAATTCCCCTACTTTAACCCTTTGTGTCACTATGCCCCACTCCCTCTAGCAAGTAAGCTCATCGAGCAGGGCCCTCAACCCCCTCTGTTCCTGTACGTCAGTGGTCTGATCTCAATTATGTGTCTGTCAGTCCACCCACTGTACAGTGCTACGGAGGCTACGGAATTTGTTGGCGCTATATAAATAATAAAATAATAATAATAATAATAATTTGAATACAAAACTGTTCCGCAATCTTTATCACAAGTAGATCAATCTTTGATTCCTATGTTTTCTTTATTTAGAGGCTCCCGGTTTACAGAATGCATACTAAATCTAGTTCGTTGGATATATGATTTCACAATAGATTTTTCTTATTGTATTTGTGCCGTTGGCTTTTTTTCTTGTGCTCAGGTGATCACGTCTTATTTACAGCTTTACCGATTAGTGTCGGAGGTTCAGCTAAAAAGGACTTTGGTATTTCCTGCTCTAGAATTTCACATTTGGATAACACAGAAGGAACAACTTTTATTTCTTAGTTAAAATAAATAAATAAATAAATAAAAGAAGAGATTTAGGACTTTTCTAAAGATAAGCATTAGTTTTATAAAGCTGGTATTACCTGTTTCAAGGTTTGGCTGTACTCCTCCTGAGATTCAATATCAGGCAGTGGGGTCTGGAACACACAGAAAGAATAAAAAGAAAGATATAAAAGCAAATCCTTTATCCAGAAAATAACAAAGCATTCACAAGTAAAGGGGCTATAGCATTTCATGCTTCAGAAAAGTCAGTTACAAAGATGCAAACATGGTGGTGAAACATAAAACCATAAGTAACCATTTCATCAAAGGCAAGTTAAAGTCGATATCCGTTGAGCTTTACTGGTTATTGTGTATTCAGATTTGGTGGTACCCATTGCTCATCCACACTATGTAGTTTGAAACAAAATCCTTCCTCAACTCATGACAACAAGGGGTGGGGGGGAGAAGGAACACTATGTGTTTCCCACTCAATTCATTAGCAATGGGTTGAAAGGACAGGAGGACACTTATTGGACCTTTCTCTTGCTACTGGGGGTTTTCAGAAGTCACAATTTTCCCTGTGGATGTCAGCCTAGATGGTCCCTTTCTGGCATTCAGACAGTCCTATGAATCACAGTTATCTTTTTTTATTAAAACAAGACTCCAATTATGGGGTTCTTTGGGTAATATCAGGTGCCTGAAGACCTATATGTTCTTTGGGTAATATCAGGTGCCTCACCTATATCCCTTATTATTTTACGGTTTTTGTTATTGGTTAATGGTGACCAGTGGTTCTTTTTTTTATGCAATTTGTCCCTCTGTAGTTAGTGAAAAAAATACCATATGCCAAGGGGGGTAAACAGTTTTTATCGTGTGCTGTCAACTCCTACAAATCATTTGTCGGACTATCAGTCACTTATTTTCCTGTATGCCAACTTTTGTTCCTAGAAGCATTAATTCAAATAAGGATAAACAATACAAAATTTGAAGTGAGTGGCTTAAAAAAGCATCAAGGGTTTTAGAGTTACTCAAGAGATACTTCTCCAAAGTCAAAGTTTGCCTTACAATTTTTTTATCTAAGGAATTTCAAACTTGGGGCAAGTTGGGATTTTGTGTATAGCCCCAGAACATTTTAACCTTGTGACTTTCAAAAATGTTTGGATCTTTCCAACATGCTGCTCATTCTTTATACTTCAAAGAGTTAATCCATAGCTATAGAAGTCAGGATATCACTTTATCCAAACAATTGAATTTGTTATGAGTTTTTGGCCCTTGCACAAGGATCTCCTTTTAAATCACATTAATCTAATGTGACCAAACCACATTTTAATCAGGAACGCTAATAAAAATGTATAATACGCAGTGAATAATGCTGCCTGACGTCTATATTGTACTGATAACAAGATACCACACACTTTCATCAGCATCCCTGATAACATCAGCAGCACAGCCAACTTAACAGTCACTCCAGAACAGTAATGACTAACTTTGGAATGTCATATGTCTCCAAACTACATTCCCCATTATGCTTAACCAGCAATAAGGCTGTCTTTGCATAATGGGGAAAGTAGTTAGAAATATCTTGGAGCCATCAATTCTCTTGATTAATTCAAATAAAATAATTTAAGAGGCTTGGTTTTGACCACACGTCTAGATATCACATTTTCATAACACACATAAATCTTTCCAGTTAAAAAAAAAAACTGCATAGGGATGATCGCACAAATAATATTTTCTGGAACACCAGGCCGATGACAAGGTCACATTCAGAGCATGCTCTGTGCTGTTGTCCCCTGCTCACTGCCTTCCACCTGAGTGAAACTGTTTGCAGAACAAACATAGAGAGTGCCCAAGCACTAGAAAACACAATGCCAGCTAAAGCAGTATACATTCCCGCAGCACTGGATTGCTATGTGTAAATAAACTGAACAGAAAATGGTAATCCTCACTTATTTTAAAATGACACAGAGAATGTACTTCATATGAGCAGACTTGGCCCTCATAGGCTGCTGGGGAGTTCCTTAACCCCTTAAGGACACATGATGGAAATATTCCGTCATGATTCCATGTTATTCCAGAAGTTGTGTCCTTAAGGGGTTAAATAACACAGCAGAACAATTGGTATTCTCCTGCATAATCAATTAGCAACCCTAACTGTCAAGAATCTCTTTTGTTAAAGTATTCTAATTACAGTTTTTACAGACATGTGGGCATTACTAATGTTCCACAAAGCACTGTGACAGTGATTATTCATGTTGCAGAGGTATGTATACATGACATGGGGGGGAACATGTAGGCAGGGCCAGCCTTAGGCCATTAGTCGCCCTGTGCGAAAAGTCTTCACGGCACCCCCCACCGAGTTGCCTGTATACAGTCACACACACAGGCATAGGCAGACAGTCACACAAACAGTTACAAGCAGACAGTCAGACACGCTCAGTTACAGGCAGACAGTCACACACACACACATACACAGTTACAGGCAGACAGTCACACATGCTCAGTTACAGGCAGACAATCACACAGTTAAAGGCAGACAGTCACACACAGTTACAGGCACACAATCACGAACAGTTACAGGCATACAGTCAAAAGCAGACAGTCACACATAATTCATTATAAGCAGTCATACACACTCGGTCACAGGCAAGCAGACACTCACACATGCTGATAGGCACACACACACTCAGTTAAAGGCAGATAGTCACACATACAGGCACAGGCACACTCAACGACTCAACTACAGCGACACACAGAATTGGAGTCACACATAGGGAGGCAGTCACACAGACCGGCAGACAGACACAGGCACACACACACGCAAGCAGTCACACACAGGCAGACAGTCAAACACAGGCAGGCAATCACACAGACAGTCACACACAGGCAGGCAGACAGTCACACACACACACACAGGCAAGCAGTCACACACACACACACACACAGGCAAAGAGTCACACACAGGCAGTCAGACAGTCAAACAGACAGACAGTCACACACACACATAGGCAGACAGTCAAACACACACACAGGCAAACAGTCACACATAAGCAGTCACATAGACAGTCACACACACAGGCAGTCAGTCACACAGACAGTCTGTCACACAGGCAGGCAGACAATCACACACACTTGTAGGATCCTCATTATTTTGAAATTATGGCGGCCATTCTGCTATACCCTCCAAAGACCAGCAAAGGATGATGGGAGTTTGTAGTTGGCGAATAAATGGGGGTCTGCTTGTTGGCTTTCCCTGGTGTACGAAATACAAAAATAGACATCAATTTATTACAAACAAATATAACCCAACAAGCATACACGTATCCACTCATATACATATAAGCAACTGGACACTAGATAACTGCCGTGAATTAGAAGCGTAATAGGTACATGATTTAAATTGTAGGTAAGGATAACCACAAGAGGATATTAAATTGGCGGTTCTGTAGGTTTCACTCTCCTGCAAATGAGGAAAACTGAAATAAGTGTGTAATGTTTCAACCTCTTGGTATTTTGACTGAAGAATGAGTCAGTGGTATTAATTATATGGGTTGAAACAGCAACATTCTGTCTCTTACCAATTACCTAAGCACTGCTACCTGTTTTAATGGCTCACATGGCGGTCACTTTTTCAATCACTGTGCTCACAGAAATGGCCCAGTTCCTTTCTCTCTTCATTTCTTTCCCTTTATATTTAAATAATATGTATTCTAGAAAAAAGACTGTGGATGTTATGGAATGACATTTTGATATGACAAATGTTCAATTGTCTTATCTGATTTATATATGACTTTGAATTACTTTATTGATAAATTAAATAAAGAATATTTACAAAAATAAAATAAAGCTTTGATCTACAATAAATTACTGTGTAGGCTCTTGAATACAAAGTTGGGTAAAACTGTACATTTTTTAATTTACTTTGTTGTTGTTGCAATTTATGTTTTCTTACACGAAGAAAGATTATTGGCCAGTATATGGTAAGGTTATCATACAGACTGCAAACACACAAATGGAAGAATAATATGACATTAGAGGTTGCTATGGGGACGGAGGAGATGAAGGTTACCTGTAGAATGTTCTGATTGACAAAAAGACAAATGTCACTGTCACTAAGAAATCATTGTTATTGTTGTGACATCTAACTGTCATAAAGGTTGCTGACTTACATGTCCACCTTGTACCTGTTGTTCCAGATGTTTTCAGTGAGTAACGATTAAGTATATAATCAGGTACATAGCAGTATAATCTGGAAAGTGCAATGCAAACACGCAGCCAGTACACACCCTGTTTCTTTACTGAACAGCCACAGGTCTGTGTCACCTTCAGATCCACACTTATTTTACACATGAAGACTCAGAGTGCGGTTAAAAGCAGCCTTTTCTCTCACATGTAAATACTGGCGAGCAGAAAGGCATATTCAACAATCCAAAGGGTATAGTCATTGAAATGCATTCACATCAGGATAAAGCTACATTTTCTTCTTTATTTACAGAAAAAACTAAGTACAGAGGGTGGCAGAGGTGGGCAGGGCCAGATACAGTGTAAACTCATTCCATCACAAATCTTACCTAAATGGAATTTGGTGGCTAAAACATACACCAGCTTCTCTGCACTCACATTGAACTTTAGGGAGTACATAGCAAACATTGGTCTTCATAATAATCATTTTGTGCAATGCAAACAGATGACTTCAGGGCAGGATTTTAGTCCCCAGTGTCCTATGGCATTACTAACAGAATGGCACCAAGACATTGCTTAAGGCTTAGCTCGTGGTTTCCCATTCTCTCCACTTACTCCAGACTGCCCCTAGCTGCTTACATTATATGGGTAAAGTAAAGAAAATGGACACAACAGACCCTGTTTGCTAGCAAGGTGTATGGGATCTGTGTCCCAGGATGTACAAATCTCTCACCCACACTGCTCATATACAAATTCTGATACAGAATATGATGTAATTTCCTGGTCCCATGTGTGTTTAACAGAGTGCACTGCACACAGGTGAGAGCAGGCAAGTTATATGTGAGGCTCCAAGAGTGCAAATCTCCAAGATCCCATTGGTCAAATCCCCAATCCCTCATGTGAGATTATAGGACATACAGTGCTTCCTTTTTACATATCGTTTATATTGTTATATGAAAGTCTCCCAACCAACCAAACTCTGTGCGACAGTCTTGATTTTCAGGTCCTGTCCCGCCGTTCCGACTTTGTTCCAATGAGTTCATTGTTAGACGCACTTGCACTACACTCACGGCACTATGAGCCTGCAGAGAGCAGTGAAACAGTGCTCCCTTCATAGTCTACCCCAACTGATCAATCATGAGTTTATCACCAATTTCTAGAGAGTCTGGAACAATCTAACTCTAGACAAACACCTGCCAGTCCCCGCTGATGTAAGCACATTAGCAGTAACATTAGCACATGCCTTGAACACATTTTAGATTATTAATTTTTCATGCATGAGATTTGGTAAATTAACATTGACCTTTAGATTTTTTACTAATTAACATTGGCCTTTACTTTTTTTATATAAATCGTTCCAACTTCAGTTTATCTTGAAAAACATTCATAAATTTCATACAGAAAAAAATGGTACTTATGTGTATGATTCATTTTTCCAATAGCTACATAGGCAGATTGTCACTCTTTGTTTATAGTAATTATGTCTATAAATGATTTGTCTTGCAGAAATTAGTTAGCTTTAGAAATGCATTTCAATTCATCCATCTAATCATCCATTTATTTATCCATTTACCTATTCATCCACATTCACTACCATCCACCCACCCACATCGACCCATTCATCCATCCGCCTATCCCCAGCCATTCACCAACCCACCGACAAACCCAGCCATCCATCCATGCACCCATCCATTTCAGAAGCCTGGGATAATGAAGAAAAAGGCAAACAAACGTGAAATTGAAGAGGCAGTGTGTAGAAAGGCTTGTTAGGCAGTATTTAGTTTCCATGTACATGTGGGGTGGGATTGTAGCATGAAACATTATTATCTCTTTACATTCCCTTGTAGGACATCTTGCTTGTTTCGGGGCAGTGAAAGATGACCCTGGAGTGAGGGTGAATAGTTTCTATAAATATTGTGGGAAACGCTTGAAGTTTCCTGCTTTCGAGCTATAGATGGTAATATCTATTGTTGTAGAACTCACAATCACTACTCTGTCCATAATAGGTGCAACACAATATTACGTACTAATTATAGGAAATGTTATATTTAAAGTAAAGTTATATTTAGCTTCCAGTATTTGGTTAAATGCATCTCTAATTATAGGCCGACCCCTCCCTTCATCTGCCCTTAGTAACAAGGTAGGGTGTCATTCTTAATATAAGGTTTTGGTAACAGTAGAAGAGTTTCCTGATATTCTGGGTCTAGCTATGGAAAACATTGAAAGGTGAAAAAGTCTCAGGTCCAGTAAACTAAACTGCTCACACAGTGTTAGTGCTGTAGATATACAACAACACAATGGTGAATTGATTTTCAATTATGTTTCAAAGAAGAAAAAAGGTTCTTTCTGAACTCCACAGCGGCACTCGCTTTCTCCCTGAATCAACTAGCTATTAATAAAGCTATTAATGCATTAATATTGTTTATATTGCGTATGTAACTCTGTATGCTCTGATTGGCAAAATGCCAGTTTCGATAGCACAACCTCTTTAGGCAGGAAATTTATTATCTTAGTTAGTGTTACTGTATTTTTTTTTTCTAGTGTAAACATCGAGAACATTTGTAGCCCTTCTTTAAAAACTCTCCCAGGCTCTAGTATTCACTTTTTCCACATTCGTAATGTGTTTTGTAATTAAAATGTTTAATGAGAGTTTTTCAACAGAAGGCGATAACAAGTAGCAAGAGAAGAGAGGGCAATGACAGCACCATGTTTACAGTCACAACAAGTAGCACTGTTTTGTTAGGAGATGAAGGAGAAAAAAGGCTTGATATAGAAGGGAAGAATAGAGAGTAGGAGTAGAAGGGGTAGAGGAGAAAGGGAAGGGGAAGACTCTATTCCGTTAGGAGTTGTCCCTCTCCACCCCCTGCCAGACATGGCACCCATCTGCAGACACGACTGAGAAACCATACAGACTACAGGACCAGGATCACCAAGGTTGATCCATGAAGAAACTAGATCTCCGTCCAGTACTTTCATGAGTAGCAGGTGTCAGCTTTTCCATTTTAATGAGCACCTATCTGTGCTTGGATTGGACAAGCCGACTTTCAGCAGCGAGCATTGTACCTTTGCAAGGCTGAGCACACTATGAAGATAAGTTTGTGTGCAGAACATGTTAAAGAGACCTGTGTGTAATCTCTGTTAACAAGTTCCACTCACAGGTCCAGACATCAAGATAGTCTAGAAAAGAATGTCCCAAATGGATCTGACATGAGGTCAAGTCCAATACGCATACTAAAAGGTACCCTACAACCCCTAAAGCAGACAGAGATTGCTCTAAGTGTGATTTTAGATAATCCAGAGGGGTGAATATGCAAAAGGTCTGTATCTTTAAAACAATTTTCATGAACCAAAGTAGAGGAGGTGATTTCGTAATTTTTTTTTGTAAGTAATGAAACCTAAACATATAGTGTACATGATATAAATAAATCATATTACTACTTTGGTTTCTACATTGGTAATAAACCAGAATTTCCTTAATAGTCTCATATTTTAACATAGTTAAAATATAAAATAGAATTAGATTTTGGAAGTATAAATTTAGCCCTGGGAATAGAAATACACCACTGATGAGCGTGCAATAAACTCTTACTCTTTCTTGCAGTGGCAAGTAATTTTAATGGCCTGGCTAGTAGCATAAGACTTAAAGTTTTAAGCCCTGCAATAGAACCATAAATAAGAATGTACTCTTATGTACTTGATTCAATAATGCACAGAATTGACCGTTTAAATGCCATAACACGGTGATTTATGGCCCTATACGCCTTGCTCACCTGATGTCTGCAATGCAGCAGAAGAGCTTAACAGCTGTGTTTACTTTGTTCTCTGTTAGCATTAACTTTTGGCCATGGTCAGGACCCTCGTGATGAGAGAATAAGTACTTCTGACTCCCCATTAGGTATTACTGCTAGGTCATTTTATCATGAAAGGATGCCAGGAGTGTAAGCTGTTTGTATAATATCTCCCAAGAGAGGCATACAAGTGAAACCATCTCCAGGAATTACAAATATTCCACTTATGTAAAAATGTTAAATGTATGCTGATGATAATAATAATACCTAGTTATATATACATACACACACTTCTAAAAAAATACACAACATTAGCACACATAAACACTCTCTCTGTATATATGCATTTATTCATAGTTAATACTATAAATGTGTTTGCTGTAACCAACCTCAAGCTGATGATTTGCATTAACAATAAAACAGCTGTCCATGAGTGGTTCACTGGCTTTGCATCTTTTCCTAAGTTGTGTTTCAAAGCTGTTGTATACAGCCAACACAGACTCAAAGGAATCCATGTTTAAAATGGAATGAGGCAAAATGTGATTCTTTGTTAAACTAATTTGCATATGCCCACCCAGATTCCTTTGCGGTACTAACATCACTGCAGATTTGTGCTTTCTCGGTGAAAACCAAGTCTTTTGGCTTGACTGGCGTTCAGATTTTTGTTAAACATTGTATTAACTATCCACAGACTTCAGGTGGAAGGGGTTTTCAATCACAATTTTTCCCCACCATAACCGCATTGGTTTTTGCTTCCCAAGCACTACCAAGCCTCAATAAGCAAACCAGAAATTAACCTCTTGCTGATGATTTGCATTAACAATGAAACAGCTGTCATGAGTGATTCACTGGCTTTGCATATTTTCCCCAGACTTCAGGTGGAAGGGGTTTTCAATCACAATTTATTCCCCACCATAACTTTTTGGTATTTGCTTCCCATTTATTTATAGATAGACAGATGTAAAATAATAAATGAAATTAGTATATTATAATTCCTTTTTTTTATTGGACTAACAGAATTTTGGATTTACTTTTTGTCAGGATATCCTACCTTTTTAAAGCCTAAAGCATGAAATGGCATGACAGAAGATTTTTATTACAATATACAAATTTCTTCTGTTATTTTACATCTGCATCACTGGACTAATATGGTTAAAATGTTTACTGTAAAGAAGGAGAGAGAGAAAGGATATGTAGCAGAACACTAATGCTTTCAAGGGGTTCTGGTGACATCATAATAAACCGCAGCACCCAGAGGAATGTAACACCCACTAATCTCAGGCAGGCCAGGACATGTATGACTGAGATATACATACTGTCAAGAGTTCCGTGGATGAAGTCTTTACACTATAGTCAGTGAAAGGATTCCACTGGATACATTTTACAGTTTACCAATGCCAAATCTGTAATTTCAAAGTATCTGAAAGGTAGCAGTGTGTGGTGGTGTGTATTAGTTTCTCATTCTTTCTAGTAGCCCTAGCCAGGTTCCACAAGACTTACACCACATCATACACACTCAACACTGGTTGGGAAACCAGTAGCCTTAGCCAGGTCCCACCAGATTTATATCAAATCCTATACACTCACCACTGGTTGGGAAACAAGTAGCCCCAGCCAGGTTTAACCAGACTTACATCACAGCCTACACACTCACCACTGGTTGGGAAACAAGTAGCCCCAGCCAGGTTTAACCAGACTTACATCACATCCTATACACTCACCACTGTTTGGGAAACCAGTAGCCATAGCCAGGTTCCACCAGACTTACATGACATCCTACACACTCACCACTGGTTGGGAAACCAGTATCCCTAGCCAGGTTCCATTAGGCTTACATGACATCCTACACACTCACCACTGGTTGGGAAACCAGTATCCATAGCCAGGTTCCACCAGACTTACATCACATCCTACACACTCACCACTGGTCGGGAAACATTGTTCCTTTCCACTTGGATGGTTCCAAATAAAATGTGATTTTTAATGGCTCAAGTGCAATAGTAGTCCATGCTATAAAGCTATAACAGTCCAAGAGTAGATCAGGCTTATACACAAGAAATGGAAAAATATATACATATACATACATTCTCTCAACAGACTATATAGCCAGGTAAACCATATAAATATAAGTGACACTCCTTCATTATACAATGTTTTTATGGCACTTGTTACTATAAGCTATTGTGCTCTACAACTCATGTTTGTTACATTACTAGCATTATAATATGCAATTACTGTTCCTTTAATATTCTTATCAGTACTTTAAATGCCAATTGTTATCACTTTAAATAATTATATTACTCCCCTGTGCCAATAATACAACCCCAACAGCATGACTATCAATGCTTTGATATAATCAAAAGTTGGACACATTGTCCAGTGACTTTCAATGTGAATTTCCTCCCTTCATACAATGGCAGAGTACCCCTCCTTTTCCTCCTCCCTTCTCGGACAGGGTTTCCTGCCCTGTACTGATCCAGAAATCCTGAATTACAGGAGACATCCGGCAGGAGCTTGGCAAGAGTCCATCCTCCATGCTTTCGGCCCTAGTGTATTTGGCAGTAATTTGGTGTTGCTATGGCTACCTTGTGCTGCAGGGCACTCTGCTTTTCATTCAGCTCTTAGAGAACGTTTGCAAAGCTTTTCCCAATATATATATCATTTTAGAAACTGATGTGTTCATTTAACCATTTACTATAGACCGTTAAATACTTATTAGTATGCATATGCTAACTTCTTTAACTTTACACTTTTTTTATTTTTTTTTACACATTTTTTTTCTGCCATATTTTAAGAGAGCATTTTATCACACCATCAAAAAAAAAAAAAAAGATTCACAAAGAAAAGATGCTTGGATATGAGAGTAACAGAACATGTCAAACACGAATCACCATGCTTTTTTTAGATAGTATGTAACTTATTCTTCATACTGTGATAGCTACAGTTTGGCATTCCAGCACTTGTGGACTGTGTTACCCACAATCCTCTGCATATACAGCCATACTAAGAAGCTAAGAATCATGGGACATTGCACAATAGCAGGAGTGCTAATAATTATCCAACATTCTAAAGATATATTAAGATATTTGCTTTGTTTGTTGTTGCACAGTGCTACAGAGTATGTTTGTGCTCTACAAATATGAATTCTAACACTAATATTGAAATAGCATGTATGCATGCACAGAGAATCTTAGTCTTTGCTCTTGTTTCTCTGTGCTTGTGCCCCAATTACAAATGCTATGATATCAGTGAATGTTTGTCTGGGACGTGCAGTACAACGTCACTCACCCATCTGTCTTTTAAAGGGATACTCCACACACCTAAGGCACTTCAGCTTGCAGAATTCCTTGATTTGTAAAGAGTGCGTCCTCTTTTTTTCATTTTACCAAAAGTGCAGATTTCAATAGAAAGAGAATTTTAAGAGTTTTAAGACATAGTTTTATGTTCTCTCCTACTTCAATTTAGGTTTAGAGTTAGGTTTAGACATGTAGTCACTGGGTACAATATGTACACCTGTTCAAAATATCATTGATGCAAGGAAGGAGAAGTGAATATGTGGTGTCACGGACCTTTGTTTAAAGGGGTATGTATAGAATGAGACAATGTGTCTGAGAATTCTAACATTTTGAGATGTCCGTAATTCCTTATTCTAGGTCCTGTCTGAACATGGAATCACTGTCTTTATCACTGTCCCTCTTACTTTATCTCACCTGATCTCCAAAGGCATTGATGCTATATGTCCTTCTAAATTATGAAGTTAACAGCTTGCTTAAAACCTAATGGCTTAGTTGAACTTTATGATCATTTCCTTTTTTGACAACTAGGGCTCACTAACACTTGTAACCAGACCACATCTCGTCCACAAATAATGAAATGGGTGCTTTTGATAGTCATCAATAGTCTACATATGTATCAATAACTTTCTTGGTCCAGTCTCCTCCACCAACCTTGTGCTGTTCTAGACTCTGTAATCATGTGGCTGTAATTTATTTAACTGTTGGTTAGTCATTGTGGTTTTGTTATTAGTTTAAAATTACTCATTAAATATTTTCTTTAATTACAGTACATTCACTTCTGAGTGTAAATACTGGAGTAGTGGTACTTGAAATTGTTTATGCTTGTATGTAATTTACAAATTAGGTCAGTAGAATACCTCTTATTATTAAGATAGAGGTCACGCAGCTATAAACAATTCTTCTGTTTTGGTTGATACCAATTACCTAATCAACTATGATCTTGGGATGTATACAATTTAGAACATGACACTTTATTGTTACAATCACAGACAGTAAGAAAACACTGCATCATAGAAAATGGCTGTTCAACAGCACCGTTTTTACATCACAAATTATGGGAGTAACCCTTAAACAGAATTGTGTGTGTATCAAAAAGAACAGAGTTAAGTGTTGAGCAACTTTACGTTTCCACCACTGAGTACAGCTCCATATTTCTCTACAATGCCCACTGTATTTTCTTGGCTCAACTCTTTGTCCCCCAAACGTAAAAAACAAACAAACATTGCTGTAGCGTTCTGCTATGACAGCTAATGTGATGGCGTTTCAATGGTATCTTTTGAGTTTCCACGGCTTCACTGTTTTTGTTCGTCAGTTGCATTTCCATGGCTCCTCTCTTTTTCTGAATGTGACTTTGATGACATGGGGAACATGTTACAAATTCGGAACATTTGCATTGGACACACCAGTTTGAATGATTGAACCTTGATAGGAGGGCAGTGGGGGTAATGTGCTATAGCATTATTACTATGCTAAACAATTAGTGTTTAAATAACTATCTTAAATTAGAGCACAGAAGAGTATCAAACAAATTTATCTGTCTATAAATATCATAAAATGTAGATTGGTACATTGTACTGATTTGTACAAAACAATCTCTGGAAATAATGATGAAAAATGCAACATAGTGATATTATTGTCATACATAAAGTCGAAAACAGCACAATGTCAGACATATACTCTACAGTAGAGTAAGTGTACATTAAAAGTATAAAAACGAAGTAACACAAATTCATGAATATCTGAATATAATTGAGCAGATTAAATGTAGCAAGTTCATTATTCAGTTGCAGTAAGAATGGGCCATTTTTCATGCTCCAATAATGTCTACATATTTTGATTCTTAGCCAGTTTGTTGTCACTGCGACTTAATCATAATAGGTGGCTCAGGTGACAACTTGATCTCTGTCCCTATGTGTTTATGTCACTTAAGTTAAAAATATACACACTAATCATAATTGCACACTTCACCGCACAAGTAAAAATAGCCAAGGAATTTTTGTGTGAAATGACAAGACAACAAGTGATCACTTTTTAACTTTCTCATTATATTTACATTAGGTATATAGTTGACATAATCTGTACATCTGTTTTATGATGTACCTGCTATTATATGCCATTACAAATTAACAGAAAACCAGAAAGCGAAACAAATGTCTAATTTCCTCCAATCCTTTGTGAATGCGGTGCCTTAAATCAGGAAGATGAAATATGTTTTTATAAGCTTATCCCAGATGCTTCTGTTAATCTGAGTTAATGTGTTTTGAGCTGATATATCAAAGTTCAACCAGAATGAGTTTATACATTATTCACTGAACCACAAACTGCAGTTCATAAGAGCTCAGAGTAATTTTCAAAAGGCCCATGTAGGTGATGAATGCATTTAACCCCTTAAGGACCAAACTTCTGGAATAATATGGAATCCTGACATGCCACACATATCATGTGTCCTTAAGGGGTTAAACTCTGCTATATAAAGCATTTTAATAATTTATGCATTAACAATAGCAAATTTAATTATTACAATAGTAAGAAGAAAGTGCCCTCATTATTGTGATATCGCTATTATGAGAAGAGCATCCAGTAAAAATACACACAAGGCAAAACTTTAATCCAAGCACAGAAGTATATTTGATCAATATGGCTGTAATAAAATGCCTGATAAAATGTTGTTAAATTGCCAATAAGATTTACAAGACATACAAGAATTACAGTCTTTGGCTTCTTCGAGGTCTGATATTAGATCTGGTCTGACTAAAGTTAGGTTGCACCTCCAATCTGGATTTGCAGAATTTCAAGATGAAATGGGCATGTTAAACACGAGAATTTCAGTTGTGGAAAAAAGTACAGGCTACTCTTCATAGCTCACATAATACACTTACAGGCTGTGTATCAAAGTTTGAGTTTAAATTCATTGAAATGGAGATCTGTTAGTAAAATCCTGAGCAATAGATCCGGAATAAATAACCTGTGACTTTGACGGGTTCCAGAAAAAAAAGATATATTAAATCCTACCTGATTAAACTAGAGGGTGTATAACTTATGGATCAATTTACTGCACTCTGAAATCTCATTCAGATCCAAAAACAAGCCATGGGAGATCAATGTCAGACTACAACACTACTCTGTGAAGGAGAGAATCTTGGATGTTTCCAGATATATACACCACTTGCTATCAATATCATGCCTACACAGATGTCTCTGACCTATGCACGGTCATTTTAATAAAAATCAAACTTAAGCCAATAACTGTAAAACTATTACTAAAGAAAATTAGATGTCAAAGGGTGTTTACATTGAAACTTGCTTGAATGAAGGGAGGATCCATACTTTACGTGATAACCGCGAAGCGGACTTATTTTAGAGCAGTGTGAGTATTGGTGATACCCATACTTTTCTATGCCAGGTGAGAGAACACTACCTCTCGCTGTTACTGGTCTACCTGTGTCTACTACCAATCTCCTCTTCTTTGGAGATGGACCTGTCATCATAGTGTGTGCTATTGGCCATAACAAAAGTGATGCAAGTGAACACTCACAACAGAGAAACGTCACCTTCAAGTCACCATCAGATTGGTCTGCTTTGCGTATGAAAAAGTGTTAAGGTCACAGAAAACTTGACAAATATAATACGACTCTCTAAATATACTTTCCATGGACCCAATTTACGAGAGGCTTTGGTTGCTAGAGAATCGTACAGTTTATGTCAAACCATTAAAAATAGACTGAAATAAACAAGTGTATTAGTTATGGTGCTTGAAATTTTCCTTAATGGGTTACTTAAAGCACCATGGCCATTTAGAGTTTTGGAGTGGTCATTGTGCAATAACTGTGTATGAGACGCCCTCCAATCTTGGCAGCCTACTTTAGAGTTCTGAGAATTCCAGGCTGGCTAATGTTAATTCTGTGCATATTCTTTGCAAAGGTGATCATTTAACAGACCCTTTCGGCCCATGACTTAACGGCAGCAAGGCAGGAGGCTCAGCACCCAACAGATCTCAGGTAAGTGCCAAACCATTGCAAAACAGTTTGCTCCCTTACTGAAAACAAAACCAGGGTTCTCTTGGCATCATAGTGCAGTAGACAACAGAGTAGCTGCAGAAGAACTTACAAGGCACCAAGAGCTTTAATGAACTTGAATGTCAGTTTATTAATTATATTAATTCTTTAATGCTGGTTGGCGCGTAGGAGAAGGATTAAATCATTTTTACCACTATGTCAATATGGTTTTTCTAGTAACTATCTGCTTGCTTGCACACACCATATCAAGTAGGAAGAATACGAGCTTATAACTAGGACATGCAGTTGGGAGAGGTTTTGAGGTCACAGACAGTGTTGTAAACATTGGAACAGATGGAAGTCTTGCTTATATAAGGTGATCTTGGAACATGTCTACATCTGAGGTGAACTGATTACTGACAGATACATGGTTACACTGAATTGTGTCAGGATGTTTAATAAGAATCAGACAGGCTAAAGTTGTAAGGAAGCCAGAATTTAACAAAAAGAAGATCACAAAGCCTATACATAGCATCAATGTATTCAATTAATGACATAAGTTCAACAAAAATATATATATATAAATAAATTTGTGGTAATTGTGGGGGATTTACAAAAGCCCAATAAAGCTTAGTGAATACTAACAGAGTTGTCAGAAACTCACGATGAATTAAAAGTTAATTTCAAATTTAAGACCAAACTAGCCAAAATGAAAATCGGAATGATTTAGGGGTATTTTCTAATCCGGGGCATTTAAATTTTGGAATTCACTTTGAGGGCAAGTGGAAAACAGGCTGTGCAGTCTGCTAGCTGCTGCTAACCTGCCTGAGGTAAAACTGCAAATTCAGGAGTGTGGCCTAAAGTAACACTCTAAGTGTCAGTGGTGCCTAGTTTCAAGATTTCTGCGAGGAATAAGTTATCAATCTAGAGTATTTCAGTAGGAACTTGTGTTTTTTATTAGAATATTAGATGATAATTTGTTCATTCATATTTTAGAATGCTAATTTTTGTTTTGTAATTCTTTGTATATTTTTCTCTTGGAAGCTGCAATGATTTTAAATAGCAAAATCAACAAAAATGCAGTGGGAAGATTATTCAGCTTTATTTTACTTTCCAATATGTTTAAATTCCTTGCATTTTAAAACTGTTTATTTCATATTTGATATATTGCACTATTACCCAGGGTGTGTTTTCATCATAAAAGCACAAAATGAGCATTGCAGGACTTAAAAGTCAGATATACCCCAAATTTGAAAAAAAAAATCCTCTAAATTATTCCTGTTTTCATTTTGGCTAGTTTGGTCTTAAATTTGAAATTCTCAGATATCACTATATCTTACTGCATTAGTTATGATGAGTGTCCTGACACCATCCATTGGTTTAAACTATAAAACAGATTATGAACAGTTTAATAAATCAGGATCTTCCTGGACACACTGATTTAGCAGAATTATCAATATTAATTTTGTACAATCTCGAAAACAACGATAAATAGCGCTCTCAGACAATCAATGTACTCCAGTTTGGGTGAAAACGAGATTGATAATGGGGAAGTGTTAATTCCACATTATTAATAAAGTCTAGAAGGGTACTGCTGCAGACAATCGGAAAAGCCCTGGTTCATATCAAACTGTTTCTATAAAGTTTGGTATTAAACCTGTGAATAATGCCAGGACACTCTAAACAACATAACCACTACAGTTATTTTAAAGTGTTCCCATTAAAGGGATTCTCCAGTGCCAGGAAAACATATTAGTTTTCCCGGCACTGCAGGACCCTGGAGTGGCCCTCTCCCTCCCACCCCACATCCCAAGTTGCTGAAGGGGTTAAAACCCCTTCAGTGACTTACCGGAGTCCAGCGCCGATGTCCCTCAGAGTCCAGCGCCGATGTCCCTCTGGTCAGGCTCCGCCTACTCTCCTCCCCCGTTGACGTCAGCTGGCGGGGAGACCTAATGCGCATGCGCGACAATGGTCATGCACGTGCATTAGACCTCCACGTAGGAAAGCATTATTCAATGCTTTCCTATGGGGTTTTCGGCGACGCTGGAGGTCCTCACATAGCGTGAGGACGTCCAGCGTCTTATAACACACTTTTCGTGTTCTAAGAACCCGGAAGTCCCTCTAGTGGCTGTCTGATAGGCAGCCACTAGAGGAGGACTTAAACCTGCAAGGTAAATATTGCAGTTTATGAAAACTGCAATAATTACACTTGCAGGGTTAAGGGTAGTGGGAGTAGGCACCCAGACCACTCCAATGGGCAGAAGTGGTCTGGGTGCCTGGAGTATCCCTTTAAGTAACTACAAGTGGTTAATTGTGAAGGGGAATCTGTGCAATGTAACAGGTGTAAGCTTTCTATCACTAATATTATTGGAATTATTACCAGGAGGTGGGATGGCAACCTTTGGCCTGGGGTGGGAGAGTACAAATGAATGGCATTTTTTGTGCACAAAATTCAGACCAATATGGATGGTTCTACTCACACTGTGCATGCAATATATATCCATTTGACAGATGAAGACTGCTGGAGTTGCGAAGTGTGCCATCATATACCCCTGTAACATCCATCAGTATGATCTGCATACTATATCAGAACATTTACAGAGACTTGTTAAGCACGAATTCCAGTATTGACAACCACTGTGTGCTACTAATATCATGATCTCTGTCTCATTTCACAAGTCCCTGAGGTCACCGGTGAACACTTCCTTCAGGGGACAACAAACATACTCATTGTAGACTGGCAGTCTGGACAGTATCTGATACTACAGTCCACTGGAGTATATCCTACTAGTTCAGTCCAGGCCTAGAGAGCAGTGAAAGAACAGACCACCAGCCCAGGTAAAAACCCACACAGTGCTAGGCTAGCGAAGGTCCTGCACAATTTGGGTCTGTTACCTCACTCCTGCAGAATTGTGTAGACATTCATCCCAATACACATGCTGCTATTTGAATTTTCAAAAGAGTGTTTTGAGGCTGCAGAACACTGCTCCCTTGCCAGCCCTTTTCTGAATATTTCACATTCATTAATATAAACATAACATAAGGAGCTTCCCAAATTATAAATAGATAAAACATTTTATTTGTTAAATATTTGCGATAAAGTTGCAGTCTAATCACCATAACCACTACATGCCAATGCTAGTCGTCCACTATTCTTCTTGGTCAAACCGTTTATATTAAGTAATCCTTGATGCACTTGCAGCCTGGCACCCACTTGCCAGAATTGCTAATGCACACAGAATGGAAGAAGTGAAATTTTCAACAATTTCATCCATATTTCCCAATAACAACTAGCAATTCCAACCAAGAACCAAGGGGTTGTATCTGTAGCCTAACAGCAGCCTAACTACAATATACGCATGCAGTGGTTATACTGCTTAGGGTTACCCTTTAAAAAAAAATAAAAAAATTTACAGTCCTTTCAAGATTGGCACAAAATATTAATTAAAATAGAACAATGCCTATAAATTAAGGATCACGGTCATGTTGCATTCTAGCCAAGCAGCAAATGTTAACACCTGGGCTGTAGGAAAGTACTCTGCATTCCACATTAAAGCCAATATTACAATTATCTCCCCTGTTGGCATTTCATGGGTGAATAGGTGCACTTTCCAGGAAGACGAGTGTGTATTGTACTTAGTGTGTTGTATTTTCCAATCACTTCTACTTGCCTTGGCTCTTCAAGTCATGGTTCCTTTCTCTGCTGACGTCAGCAGCACCCTATACAAATATTTCCACTAAGCCGGTATCTTCAATACGATACAATTAACTCTGACTATCCCTGGTACATTTAAGCTCTGTTATGTTTGAGATGTAGCACATCAGTTCATAGTTTGACACAAACTAATGTAAAATTAAAAATTAAACCATAAGTGATTTAAATTTTAATTTTGATTATATTATTACGTATTTAATTATTTACAAAATTCATAACATACAGTTAATTAAGATTAATTCACTCAATTGACCCCTGGCAACTGATCGGAAAGCAGACACTAACTCAGACAGTTAAAATAACTGAATTTAATCTGAATTTGCCTTTAGTAAATAGGAGAAATGCAGATTATTTTCACTAAGTTTTGCTGATCTGAACTGCATTTAGACTTTAATGACTAATCTTGTGTTAGTTATGGCTTTCTCTGATGTCACCAAGTCAACAAATGCAGCAGTAGTGAATTGGAAGGACAGGTGCAGTCATATGTCACATTGTGCATGTGTATGTTCAGTGGAAGCATTTCTCCAGGCCTCCCGACTGTCCTGAATATGGCAGAACCGTTCCGATTTCAGGCTCCTGTCCAGCAATCCTGGGTTTGTTCCCTGGTGTTACGCTTTAGTGGACAACAGGGAACTGTCCCAGGAAAGCATAGCTTGAGCACATCATTAATATTATTATTATTGGCATTTATATAGTGCCAATATATTCCATAGCGCTTTACAATATTATAAGAGGGGGAGATTTAACAATAAATGAGACAATTACAAAAACTTACAGGAACAATAGGTTGAAGAGGACCCTGCTCAAGTGAGCTTACAGTCTAGAGGATTCGATCCTCTGTTACGCTAAAAGCATCAGGACCATACACGAAGCAATGTAACAGTAAGCTGTGAATGATCTGTCCTTAAAGGGTCCCATCAGAGTGATTGACCATCAGCTTGGCGTATCCATTTAAGGTACTTTCCGCCTCTTTGGGCAGTGAAAGAAATTAAGGTTGCATCACTTGCCTGCCCACCTCTGTTCTAGTTTACATTCCTCCCTGTGTTGGAATGTATGTTGTTCACACAGCTCTGCATAGCTGAGTCAGGACTGCAGGCCCCCCAACTGTCCCCATTTTGGGCTCCTGTCCTGCTGTCCACATCCGCTGACACCAAGGAATTGTCCTCAGCCAGTGTACGTGTACGTGGACTATTTGCATGCTACAATGACGAGCATGGAAACCTACGATGTGGCCTTTTAGGAATGAGTACAGGTAACCCCATACTGAAAATCATGTCTGGAAATCTAAATTAGATTTAAATTCATATATGCTTGATAAAATAGTTTACATCTTAACTGAGACCATATAAGCCCTACCTTCCTATTTATATACACATGTAACCATCTTGCTAATAGCATGCCAAAAATATATATTTATAAACAGAGCGTGTACTATTGCAATAGAAAGGAGTTCTTAGAAAAAGCTATTAGATTGATTTTTAGAAGAGCCGATGCAAATACAGTGTGCATAGGCAATCTTTCATAATGCACAACCACTCATAATGCTGATTCATTCTAACACACCATAAGACAATGTCTGTAAACAGGAATATCGTTTGGAACGAATGCAGTCACTGTCCTCGTTTACATACTGTTCGTTCTCTACGCACAGCTTATGGTGTGTTATTATCAACTGGCAGATCTTCCTCTTGATGTGTTCCTCAGCACTGCGTGGAATACCCTGTATCTTACAGCGTTCACAGCTGCCACATAGAAAGTAACACATCCTTGTGTACATAGCTTACAAAATGATGAGCTCATACATTAAACAGCCTCTGCTAACCTCAAGCTCTGTGTCAATAAAGCTACACGTGTCCCTATTGCAGGACAACACACAGCCATGAAGCTCCTGTTGGAATCCAATTCTAATAACCACCAGGCAGCCATTGTATGTCTGTGGGCAATAGGAGCTGAATCCAAGAAAGAGTAGGAGGTTGAACCTACTGTGAAGAATATTCAAATATCTGCACAAGTCCTATGTTTCATGTACAAAAGTGAGAGAGAAAGAGTTTATGTAAATGTAAACAAAGAGCCTGGTATTGACATGATACGCTAAACAAGCTACCACAACAACATACCACATTGTATACATAGTGCTATAACCCATACAGCTCCTATACCTTTATTATGATATGTTGCATCTTTGCCTTTGTAGCCAAAAATTCTTGCACTGTCCCAGGTAAAGGTCCTGGGTAAACCTCTTCCTCTCCAGGCTCCACCAACTAGGAGCTCTCCTTATGGCCTAGGGGTCCCATCTTATTCCTCTATATGTTTTGTGTACTGTGAGTACAAAGTGACACTGGCAGGCCAGAAGAAAGAGTCTGGCTACCTGGTAGACAGCTCTGCTTGGCTGTATCATAGCTGCATTTCTTTTTTTTTTTTTTTTTACAAATCCCACATCTCTGCTGTTATCAGCCATTCCCAGAGCTGAGACTTCATGAAAAACCCACCAAATATTTTCAATAATGCAACATTGCTGTGGTGATCACAGTGACGTTCATAGTTTAACACAAAAATCACAACTAGGCTCACAGGCCCACGTAAGAATCTCTCTCTTATAGGCGCCTGAGATTCACTGTGCTTTCACTCATTTTCTACACATAGACATAACATCTCATTTTTTTCACTCAGTAAAATCTTTTTTTTCATAGAGAATAAAAATTTATTTGTTTTGCACTAAATGAACAGTGTTTTTTCTACTCAGAAGGTACACAACAGACACCTCTGATACCATGTTCATTGAGACATGATGTGTCATTCCCTCACAGTCATCACAGAGCTCCTCCCTTCACACAGATTTGCTTTCTGGACTCATCATCAATTCCACAAGTGCACTCTCCTTATAGACACAAGGTTCGCACACTGACATACAGACCCACTCGACACCCTCAGACAATCGTTATACAAATGCGTACAGATCCCACTGTACGGAGCAAAAATACAAACACATCAATGATGTCCTTACTTGATTAAGTCTCTACACATAATTACTAACCTCACAAACACCACAAATGCACAATTCTCACACAGTCATGGGAGACACATAGCACTGATGCACCCTTCTCCATCACACACAAACTACAGGTACTACTTACATGCATGTACTAATAGTTTTTACTCTCCAAGCAAGCCATGGTTCATTCTGGCTAAACTAGGCACTGTCCTCACATACCACAAATAAATCTGTCTCGCCCATACACACACACACACACACACACACAAGTCATTCTACCCAGATACAATAGATGAATAACACTAATAAAACTCCTCACACAATGATGTGCGCGTATGCACACACTCTCCAGACAAAGGTTCACTTGCAGGCTGACACCATATTGTTACTGCCATCCCATGAACACTGACTGGCCATCACCTGTTGCTGAAGTATGCAACCTTCGCCACTCCGGATGTTGTGGAATACATCTCTCCTAATACTTTGCCATCTTTATGGGTGTGAGAGCATTTTGGCAGATGTAGTCCACAGCATCAATATCATTCAGATTCCATTATCCAGGGTGCATTAACCCAGAGTCCTGGATTAAGTCCTCAGTTCCTCAAGGAATATACAGAAATGAAGATAGCCGCAATGCAAGGTTACGTTTTCAAGAAATGTGTTTTTTATTCCACTCGAACATGGACCTGACAATGTTTCGACCCAATAAGGGTCTTTGTCTTTGTTTATGTTTTGCCACATGCACAGAGCAGAAACAAACACTCAACATAACATAATCTGTGCAAAAAAAAAAAATACTCAGCATCATACACTATTTGCAGAAATAAAAAATGACGACACCATACCCTGTTTCTGTACCTTCTGCAAAAATAAAGGCTGATCATCACATAAAGAATGTAACAGCAAAATGATATACATACTAATAAGAACAAACAAATAAATAAATAAATACGTATATGGTGTGTGTGTCCCTCACACATACCAAATAGCAAATAAAATACAAAAAAAGTGGCAAAACAACATGTATAAAAATAAATATAACCACCTGGAAAAGGTAGGATATGTATATATTCAATATCCTACCTTTCTCTGATCATCACATAATCTGGTCAAATATAAAGACTGACCATCACATAATCTGGTCAAATATAAAGACTGATCATCACATAATCTGGTCAAACATAAAGACTGACCATCACATAATCTGGTCAAACATAAAGACTGACCATCACATAATCTGGTCAAATATAAAGACTGACCATCACATAATCTGGTCAAATATAAAGACTGACCATCACATAATCTGGTCAAATATAAAGACTGACCATAATCAAACATAAAGACTGACCATCACATAATCTGGTCAAATATAAAGACTGACCATCACATAATCTGGTCAAATATAAAGACTGACCATCACATAATCTGGTCAAATATAAAGACTGACCATCAAATAATCTAATCAAATATAAAGACTGACCATCACATAATCTGGTCAAATATAGAGACTGACCATCACATAATCTGGACAAATATAAAGACTGACCATCACATACCCTGGGCAGAAATAAACTCAGACCTGAACAAGTCATAAAGACAAATTCAACATAAATGATGACAAATGATGTGGATAGCGTAGGAAAACAAGTATTTGAAAGAAATTCTTTATCGTGTAATGGGTCAAGTAATACTGTGTTTACATGGTCTCATTTTGTCCATCTCAATGAACCTCCAGATGACTAACTTTACAACAAGTTCTGTGCCATGTCCCTGTTGGTTAGGAAATACATGCTGTACATTTTTTTCTTGGAAAGGAAGGCAATGGCATGTATTTATTTATTTTGCAATGGAATGTTCTCACTCCCATGCAGGGTAGCGATGCATAACTTAATGGATCATTTGGAACAAGATAGTATCAGAAAGTGGGAGAAAGTGGCAGTAACGTTAAATATCAAAACAATTGGCTGCTGTCCCAGTAACCACCTTTTCCCATCCTATCCCATCAATGGCTGTTGGGTACTGTATTCCCCATAGGTAATGTAATTCCCAATACTGCAAGACCATGGCTAGCCGCAACTGACCTATTCCATGTACCGTGGAGGTCTAGTGGGGCCAGGGAGCAAGTTAACATGTGCTTCGTCAGGCACAGCCCCTCAATGCTAATGTTTGTATGGTATGAAAAGCCAATTGCTAGAGCAGAGTATTTTAACAAGTACCTCCAGTGGGAAGTGGGTCCTTACAGATATATTTCTGGTGAGCACACAATCAATTATCTACATTAATAAAAAGAGCAAAGAAATTAACAAAGACAAAAACAGCAAATAAATAATGTCCACATATATGGGCATGGTTAATGGCTATTTAGATAATTACAATTATTTATATAGAACCAACATATTCAGTAGCACAGTACAAGTAAACAAGGCAAAGACTTAATTCTAACAAAACATGATTGACATACTGGAACAGTAGATGAATAGGACCCTGCCCAAAGGAGCTTACAATCTAAAAGCCAGGTTTGGAACTACAGCTACAGGTCAGTTACCCAAATATTAAAGCAGTGTTATTTATATGTTTATAATATAGGGGCTGCATTGCACATAGCTACTTGGGATTAGAATCTACTAAATCAATGATAAAACAAAACACAACCTACAGATTTTTAGCACGTATATAGTTCAACAAACATATTGAGCGTTACAAGAAGAGATAATGGAATCTTATACTCTGTATGGTGAAAGAAAGGAAATGGGGAAGGCTTCGCAATACTGATATGTTTATTGATATATTTAATATTTTATAGGATGGGAAACATATTCATGTAAATTGCGTCAGACAACTTTGCACCAAAGCCATTTGAAATCTGTTAATGCACAGAGGAAGAAAACGTTCACTTTCCAGGTAGATAAGGTAATAGATTGCACAGATACATTGTACCATAACCTACATAAATAACTGTTAACCTATGTGAGACAAGGGCATTATATGTTGCAGTTACACTGTCTGAACAGATGAACCATTTAACCTGCTACAGATATGGACATACACAGGGACACACTAACCAACATTCAGCAGGAATATTTTATAAGTCCACCAGGGATCTAATGTAGCATGGCAATCATTTCTACTATTTTGAATGCAGAAATAAGGGAAATGTACTGATATAATGTTTAATGAGCAAATTATTAAATATAAGCGTACAATGTCAGTTGTTTATGTCTTTGTTTTGGAAACATTTTTTTCCTTAATGAATTATCATATATATTTGTGTCTGTTTATAAAGAGGTGATAATACTACTTTGGCAACAACTGCCCAAAAATACCAATTTATTTTCTATCCCAGACTCCCTCTTTCCTTCACAAAGCCTTTGGCATGTATCCCAAACCAATATAGTTCTATGCATCCTGTGCATCTTGATGTTTTTTTATTCCCTGGTTTAAGGCTTAAAATACAATGAACACATAATTACCCATCTGATTCCTTGAATGCTGCTGGGAAGATCGTCATTTCTTTGCTCCACTTGGATCTCGTAGGAGTAACTCCTGAAGAAGTGCATCTTGTTCCTGTGCCTCGTATCATGTGGAGGTAACTCTCAGAGAGTCTTTAGGTAAACACACTTTATCCACGGTGATTCAACTGGACAGTGTCAGAAAAAAAACCAACAAGATCTAACCCATGCACTGATGCGTGTATTGAGCTCACAGTCATCCAGATGCGATTTCAAATGATTGTTTTGATAGTAGATTGTATTGAAGATCTGCTCATCAGCAGGGTTATCTAGCACTGCCTGGGGTCTGGAGAGGAATGTATCCAGAAGAAGTGTCAGGAGAGGGAAGAGGTGCTCCAATAGTTCACTGTTCTCTCACAATGTGTTACTTAGCATTGTACACAGGGCTGTCTGTCTCTTGGGAGGAGGCAGAGAATAGTAGTTAAATGTCACGGCTTCTTTCAGTGTTTCCCCTTGTTAACTCTGTGTTCTCCAGACTGCTGTGTAGAATGTTTGGACAGAACGTGGAATACTGGCAGGTTCCTTCATGCAAATCCAGAAATCAGTTCAACGTTCTCATCGTCGTACCGTGTCCAATGGAGCACAGTGTTAATTAACCTCTTGATTTCTGTCTGACTCTAACCTGAACCTTATATCCTGCATACCGCCCCAGGCAGGAAGTTAAGTGGCCGGTGTATTAATCGGTTTCTGTATGAGCCATGCAGACTTGTGGCTAAGCTGTGCAGGTGGTTATTGTAGCAGAGTTAGACAGGATCCGTTTACTGGCAGGGCTGAGGTGGCTTTGAGAATGAGGTGGCTGGGGACTTCCTATAAGCAGAGCTGGCATGCACTGACTCTGCCTCCAATAGCTACACAAATTGTTGGCACAGGTGACACGGGCTGTGAACAAACGAACACTCCCAAAAAAAGCAGAAGGAAGAAAACACACCAAGGGAGGGCTAAAATAAAAGAATAGAGGTAAAAAGGAGAAATAATGAGAGGCTGGCACATAGTGTCAAGGTTGGAGTAAGATGTCTAATATTAACAGGGAGGTGATGTGTATGGGGATTCTGGCAGGTGTACCTGTCAATATACCTCAATACGTTGATTTGGTTATTATTCTTCTGGCTCCACAGTCATCTACAAATTGCAACATGGCATGCAACACTTTGTGCATGTATTGTATATTTTATGTGATTTATTTTATTATATATTTTTTAAATATTCTTACTAAATATTGTTCCACAGCAGTTAGATGTCAGAGACTGTTTTTGCCTTGTCAGGCTCACAAGAACACTTACAGGCACAATCACATTCTCACAATCATCATGGTTGCAAACTGCCTGGGACTGATGGAAGTTACACTCCAAAGCTGCTGTCATTTATGTCTCTCCCCCAAAATTAATGGTTACATCCAAATGTGTACTTCCTATCAGTCTCAGCCAGCACATGGAGCACTGTCCATGGAGCACTGGAGCTGCCCTAAGTTTGATTGATGCTACTGTTCAAAGTACTGTGTCACAGCATGTAACATGATTTTCATTGAATAATATACTGTACCAGAAAAATGCCAATTATTTAGCGGATACTTTCACTGAAAGCTGAGGGGAAGTGGTTTTTTATATCTTATACTATGTTTACCTTCATCAAATGTAATTGCTTCTTTAAATTAAATGGTTATAATTTTACTAAGATACTTACAGCGTGCATGAGATTTTATACTTAATTTTATGTATATAGTGACAACATACACTGATTAGCCACAACATTAAAACCACCTGTCTAATATCATGCAAGGTTCCCTGGTGCTGCTAAAACAGCTCTGATGCTTGAGGCATGGACTCCATAAGATTTCTGAACTGTGTCTTGGTATATGGCACCAAGACATTAGCAGCAGATCCTTTAAAGGTTCACTAGGTACCCAGACCACTTAATCTCACTGGCCTGTCCCCTTACCCCTGCAGCTGCAAACACTGTAGTTTCAGGGGTAGGGTTAAGACTGCCTCTAGTGGCTGTCTACCACACAGTCACTAGAGAAACGTCCTGCTGTTTGACGGAGATTAACTCTGTGAAACAACGCTGGACAACTGCAATAATTACTTTTGCTGGGTTAAGGGACCTGGGACACTGCACCCAGACCACTTCAATGAGCTGAAGTGGTCTTGGTGCCCATAGTGTCCCTTTAAGGTAACACTTTGAAAATAAGGCAATGCTGCGATTACCATTATAATGAAGCTATTTTAAATATAGTCCCTAGGTTTGGGGGTTATTTAGCATTGTGTATAGGGGCAGCTAGGGTTAGAATCACACAACTGCTTAAAATTCAGAACAAACCGAACCTCCTGTGCTTGTCCCCAGGACCCCCTGGCAACCCAACAACTTACTCACCTGTACACTATACTGGGGTAAATTCAGTAAAATGTCTTGGAATTGGGGGCAATTTAATTATTAGGATGTTCATAATGTGTACCTCTGTCATATCCATACTTTTTATTAAGTTTGTAGCAAAAGGTGGAAGAGAAGGCATTGCTCCAGTTCCCTCTCGGTGCTGCTGAACGTATTACAAGGGTAATAATAAAGAAAAGCCTTGTTGGTATCTAGCATTTCACTTCTAACACATTACACATAGAGATTGGGGACACTGAAGCCACTGCTTTCTTTTAATTTTCATAGGTTTATAAACCTATGAAAATTATAATCTTTATTGCAACTCATTTTCATGTTTTTTTGGGCTGTTTAGCTACAGATAACAGCCCACTGTAAAATTCAGGAACACTATCAGACAGACCAGTTAACAACTTATTTTTGGAGAATTTACTATTCATAAAGATAATGACCGAACTGAGAGACAAGCAAGTTTCTCTCCATGACAGTGAACTGTACTTGGGATTATTGAGGACAGCAAAACAAATGTCTAATATTTCTGAATTGGGGCATAAACCATGGTGCCTGTGACAGGAAGCCACATAAGTCCATCAATTATTAATATAATATTAGTATATGTACCTTTACTAATCTGTGACACTGTAAAACCCAATGGACAGGTAACATTTTCAAGTCTATGGTGAAGATGCATCACATAAACATGGGAGAAACTAAATGCGCGTTTGTGACTCACTTAGGTCCTTTGCGTCATGCAACTGTATAAAATGATCACCAATAAAAAAAGTTCTATAATAATAATAAAATATTTAGATTACTTTGTTCCGTTTAATCACACATCATTCTAACCAAGGTCTATTAGAACTGTGTTAAAAAAAAATCAACAAAATGTATGTGTGCCCTTTTTGTGTAAAACATCCATTCAATCCATTTCTTTTAAACCTTATCAGGATTTTTCACTAATGTTAGAATAAATGGGAATTTAAAATGAATTCGGAATGAATTTAGCATTTCAAGCCAGAACAGAAATGGTTTTTTTTTATGTCAGCTGTTTTCACTTCAACTGTTTTTTGCCACAAAATGTTTAATTCACTTTGACTTTCTTGCAATTCACACTTTAGTGAATACACTATTACACATTCCACACAAATCATTAAGCAGAAACAATCCTTACTGTGCACCAGTTGACACCTGCAGTGACATAGTACTGTAAACTGGGGTGTTGTTACATCAACATTAACAGGTACAGACATAGACAAAGGGCACGCAAAACATCTGTTAAAACATGACCCAGCTCAACATCAAAACAAACCACTCTTTCATAGGCCAACATTAACAGAAACTCTAATTCAGTCATTGTTATCCTTTTTTAATATGAATCTACAATCCTTGCAAACCCAGCCTCCCTTTTTAGTGCATGAAAATGTGAGTTCATGGGGTCCAGTGAGACCTGGCTGATACTGATGGAAGTCTGGTCCAGGCTCTCTCTTCTCCTCATATCCCTACCCATGTGGATCTCTGTAAGCTGGGAGGAAGTGACCTGAACTTCCTCTCAGCACTGCCAATAAATCTGAGAGGGCCCGCTTGCGCTGTTAAAGGGCCGCATTGCTCTCTTTATCAGACAATCATCGGTGGTTAACGGTCAGAAATTAAATGAACACTTACTGTCCACTGGTACTGAGGTTACAGTTGTATTGATCTAATCAGTTGACTTTGTACATTTAGGAACATTGTTGATTTAGGTTTCCCTAGGTAAATTTACTTACAGGACTAATGTCTCTGCAGTTTCCATTTCACTACAAATCCCATTGTTCTTAGCCAATTAGAACCAATACGCCCTTGGATTACAAGCCTTGTAAGTCTTACACAACTGGATACATATAGAGAAAAGTGATATAATGAACTATATTGTATATTTTTTTGTAAAATGTAGACTGCACTCTGCAGTGTTTAATATATGCAATGTCAATATAAAGTATGTATACCTCTCTAGTGTCCCAATTTATTCAACTCCAGAGAGAATTTCACAAAATAATCCAGGTGGGGACACTCACACATTATTCATTGAGCAGTGTGTCTGCTTAATTAACCCCTTAAGGACCCCTTCTGGAATAAAAGGGAACCATGAAGGAATATTTACGTCATGTGTCCTTAAGGGGTTAAATGTGAGTACATGTATGTCTATGTATTACTCTTGGTTTAGTGTACACAGTGAGCAATTAGTGTTGTAATTTTTTGTCATTTTTGGGCACATGGTCCCTATACCGCTGTGAAAACTGAGCTGCTGACTACACTACTACACGTATTGTACAAGTGGGGATTATACCACTGTGCGCCCATCATACTAGAGCTGGTCTAAGTTCTATAAAGCGTGAGTAGGACCATATAAGACTTATAAAAATATTGGAACATATTGCACTATTGGCTTTCTTTTCTGTTTTCTTTTTTATATCTATACGGCTCCCAAGAAACTTTGGATCCGGTATCCCTATAGAAAATGACGAAAATAATCCTCTAGGATTTGGCTGCTAGCTTTGCAAGTTTACACACTCACTTTGGACTTTTATATTTGCTACTTTTTCTTTGTTTATTTGTTTTAGTGCTTTATTATTGTAAACACATTTGTTCACAATTGGCGCAACCTTTTCCCGCTTTGCTACATAATAAATGTGTTTAGTAATCAACTTGTAAAAACCCTTAAAATGAAAGTATGTGGTTTTCAAACATTCCTTACCAAGAAGGCAAATATAGTCAAAGTGAGTGTTTTTCTTTTTTCTTTTCTTCAGTGAACAAAATAAATAAATCTTGAACCTGTTCCCACCTAAGTGTCAACAGCTCTGCCCATGGCCTGTCACCTTAGGCTTTTATCATTTCAAGGTCAGTAAAAAAAAAAATATTACCTTGAACAATTAAAAATCGGAAATTCACTTCGAATTTCCAACAATTCAAAACATGTGCACTGTAATGACTCGAAAAATATAAGGCAATATTTAGACTAAAATACCCAAGTTGTGACTATAGACAAATGGATTGTTTTTGTTGCCCTAATCTTGCCTTCCATATCAGTACACTACCATTTGGTGGTTAGTGAGTAAAACCATTTGACTTTTATTTGAGTAAATTTCCACAACTGCAGAACTTTATTGCGAAGATAATCATTAAATGAAACAGCAATGCAATAGTCCCCATTGTACAGCGCTACGGAATTTGTTGGCACTATATAAATAATAAAATAATAATAATAATAATAATAATAATAGTCTGTGAATTACCCAGGCGACTTCGTCCGAGCCTGGGAATTCCACCTGTCAGGGGGACCCCATCAGGGAAGGAGAGTGCAAAACTAATTTACTCAGTTTTCTCATCAGCTGCTGCACTGCACAGAGTCCACGGAGCAGGACTCAAGTCCTCCAGTTGGTCTCTGGTGGTCCGGTGGTATGTCTGATGCTCTGTACCTCCTGCTGAAACCCTCTATGATATCATCTCCCTTGCAGCTCTAGCACTCAGTGAGTCAAAGCACAGCTGAGGGGATTCCAAGCCTGTGCTCTGAGTCAAAACTGAGCACCAGAAACGGAAGGGGGAGGATCTCATAGAGTGAAGCATCAGTGGTGAAGAACGTCAGATACACCACAGGACCACCAGTAACAACATTAAAGCAACTGCTACACTGGACCACCAGAGCAGATGGTGCCTTGCAGTCCCTATGCAGAGATGGAGGCAGTACCACGGACATTTTCATTTGGACTGATAGAGAGGGTATGTCTTTATGTTTTTATTTATGCCAGTGTTTGTGTGTGTCAGTGTATGCATGTGTGTAGGTTTCTGAGTGTGTCAGTGTTTGTGTGTCATTGAATGCATCTGTGCAATAGTGCCAGTGTTTATGTCAGTGTAGCATCTGTGTATATATGTTAGCCTATGTATCTGCGCAAATGTGTCTGTGTTTGAGTGTCACTATCACATACACATCTATGCATGTGTATCAGGATTTGTATGTGTCAGGATTTGTATATGTAAATGTGCATCAATGTTTGTGAATCTGTGTGTGTGAATCTGTGCATGTATGTCAGTATGTGTCAATGTAACTGTGTATGTGTGTCAATCTGTGTGTGGGTCTCTCAAGGTATATATGTGTGTATATATGTCTGTGGGCATCTGCGTGGCAGTATGTGTGTTTTCTGTGTATGTACGATGTCCCCCTGTATATGTGTGTGGCCAGTGGTGTATCCTGGTTTTGTGCTGCCCTAGGCAGGACAAAACTCAGGTGCCCCCCTCCCCCCGCGCCACCCCCACCTTCTAAATACACACACACACAGTCAGACACATACACAAACACACACAGTCAGACACATACACAAACACACACACACACAGTCAGACACATACACAGACACAGTCAGACACACACACACACACACATACACAGTCAGACACAAACACATACACACAGTCAGACACACACAGTCAGACACAAACACACACACAAACACACACAGACACACACAGTCACATACACACACACAGTCAGACACAAACACACACACACACACAGTCAGACACATACACAGACACAAACACAGTCAGACACAAACACACACACACACAGTCAGACACATACACAGACACAAACACACACACAGTCACACACACAGACACAAACACACACACACACACTCACAAACACACACAGTCAGACACAAACACACACACACATTAACTTTTTTTTTAATTTAAATCCCCCCCCAACCTCCTTACCTTTGGGAGTGCTGGGGGGGGGGGGTCTCTCTCCCTGGTGGTCCAGTGGCTGCAGGGCGGGCGGCGCTGGCAGGCGGGCGGGCGGCGAGGGAGCACTTCCCATGAGCTGACTGCTCAGCTCCCTCGCGCGTCGGCTGCAGAGTGAGGCTGGGAACCGGAAGATGACGTCATCTTCCGGCTCCCAGCCTCACTTTGCGGTGCGCGAGGGAGCTGAGCAGTCAGCTCATGGGAAGTGCTCCCTCGCCGGCCGCCCGGGATGTCAGTTAGCCGCGAGGCTAACAAGGCATCTACCCTGGGCATTTGGGGGGCGGCGTTTTTTGCCGCCCCCTGAAAAATGCCGCCCAAGGCAAATGCCTTGTTTGCCTCGCGGCTAATACGTCCCTGTGTGTGGCAGTGCATATGTATTTGTGAATACACATTTGCATGCAATTACCAATATTACACAAAAAAGTCCTGCGTTCAAACATTAACACTACACACAAATACCCCCATGAATTTACAAGCCAAAATTACACACAAACACACTGCTCCATTCATACACAAACACTACATAAAAACTCTACATATCCCCGCATTTAAATGCCAACACTATACACAAGTAGTTCCACTACATTCAATCAATAGCATTATACACAAATACACATAAATTTACATAAATATACTATATACATAAAATTGTGTACATTAACAGATATTGAATGCAGGGGGGCTTTAACAAACTCTTGCACCAGGGACCCGAGGATTCTAGTTACTCCCTTCTTCTGGCCCATGGATTTAATACAGGCAGGATCATTCACTAAAGTAAAAATTTAAAGTAAATTCAAGGATAATTTAAAATTTTAGTCCAAAGTAGCCCAACTGAAGGCATAGCTGACTTAGAGAATTTTCCCAATTTGGCTATTTTTGCCTTAAATTTTACATTTACGTACTTCTCGCTATAGTAAATAACCCTATTAGTTCAAAGTAGCCAAACTTGAGGCATAATCGACATAATCGAATTTGGCTAATTTGGCTTAAATTGACTTTAAATTCTCACTTTAGTAAATAACCGTGATCCCCAGAAAAAGTGGACTAGTTCGTTATTCTCTGTACTGAAACCCATCGATTGCATGTTTCAGTGTCAGTTGGATAAGACCTGTAAATCTGTCCTAATTAAACAGCTTATCCCAGACACAGATATAGAGCACTTTGAAATCAAATGTTGGTAATATTCCTAGTAATCCCTCATATCCCCTGGTAACATTAGGTGAACTACTGCAAGATTAGCTATATGCTTTATTCTTTAGCTGCAACACTGAACTACTGCTCAGTATTAATATTGCAAACATAAACAGAGTATAGTTTCAAAAAGCACGTTAATCTATTTTACAGAACAGAACCTCCCTGTGCTGTCAACGTAAGTGGATAAATATCTGCATCATAGATATCCGCAAGCAGATATTTTACATTTTTGACATCAAACAAGGAATGGAACATTAAAGAGTCAGTTTAAGCACGATAAGCACTTTGCATTATTACATGGGGCTTAAAGCGCCCTGCGTACTCTCTCATGTCTGAGCGTAGGACATACGTAGCAGTGTTTTGTAAAAATTATTGCTGCTTTAACACAGCTCAACGTGACTGTCATTCAGATAGCCCCAACGCCTACAAGGCTATTAATAATTATAATGAGAATTGTCAGATGTTCAAAGTAATTTCAAACTCAAGGCCAAAATTGTTGAACTGGAAAAATTCTCCTGGTCAGCAATGCTTCTGTTTAGCTACTTTGGTCTTACATTTGAAATTCACTTTCAATTGCTAACAATTCTCATATTAGTGAATTAGAGAGAGAGAGAGGGGAGCTGCAGACTGTTTATGTGTGTTCTGCCACGTATCCGATAACAGGGGGAAAAAAGCATGGTTCACTAAACAGTGAACAGCAGTATGCTATCAGTTTATTAAGCAGATGTGATAACTAGTACTGTTTTTTAGGGGGTGGAGGGAGAGGGGAATAGTACCTATCTGAAAATAATGATCAAATAATATTTAGGCAAATCTAAAATTTGTATTTCACGATTTTATCTTTTATGATTTTAAGAATGGACCCCCTAGCTAACTCTGACAGAGACCCTTTTACATTGATGTAGATGATCCCTCTTTTCGCTGATGCAAGTTTGGAAAACCTGTTCACAGCAAGACGACTTAAATCCAGGTAACCAAATCCCCTCATTGGACGGTTCTCTGTAATTCTACTTATTGGAAGATTGAGAAAGAAATAAGCTCTAGTATGAGTGGTTACAATTGTTGAACACTAAGGGACACTTTAGGCACCATAACCACTCAATCTCCACATTTTTCAAATAGTTTGACCCTCAATGAGGGTCTCCGGGTTCCCTTTCTGCTGCTTGGGCTAATGCTTTTGCATTATCACTGCCACCCATTGCTGGTAAGGATCGGTTTGTCTAAAGTGGATTTACACTCGGGAGGGGGTGGAAGCATGATCAAAAACAGTTTAAATCTGAATTAAGGAAAGGCTCTTGGCTCTTGACTAGGGGACTCTTGGCACCATCACCACTACAATGGGAAGAAGTGGTTATGCTGTTTAGAGTGTTCCTTTACGTTTTGCTGCTATAACTAAGCCCACACTATCATAAATCGAAATAGACCTGGAGCTCTGAATGTGTTGTACATAATGATAAACGTATGTCTCACATTTGTTGTTTTCACAGTGTCACATTTGTAACCGACAGAATGACCTGTAACTATATTTCTTTTTCTCTGCTTGTTTGTTGGCCCTCAATCTTAGCAACTGTCACCAGCGTTTGACACTATGTATCAACACACAATTAGAATTAATAGAAAGTCATTCAAGAGCAGAGAGTAAAAGATCTATACCACAAAATGTCTACCATAAAAATACAGCCCTGGCTCCTAATCCAGTCCAGAAGTTACTTCAGCAGTAAAGGTTTTGTTAGTATCTCCCACAAAATAAAATTAAGAAATTCCAATATCCTGAACTGGTGTTCCTTGAGGCTTAAGTTAGAAACCATTGAATAGTAACTCCTTACCAACAAAATAAATTGTAGCAGGAGGGAGAACCCAAATATATTGTGGAAGGCGTTGCTTAATCAAGAAATAGAATACTCATATTTATTGGGAACTCATATTTATTGGGAAGTGAATACTAGTATTTATTTGAACAGAATATCCATATTTATTGGGGGCATATTGTAGCCCAGGGACCAGCGACCAGCTAAGGCGAATGGGCCTTGACAGAGCTAAGAGGCAGGCATATGAAGAGGTGGGTGTTTGTTGGCTAGGTGGTTGTGGTGGCGGGGCTTCATTTGAAATCAGTTATTAATAACTGACATTTTAGACTGGGGCCATTTTAATTAACCATACTTATCTGTTGTTGTCTCACCCTCCCTCCCTTAAATTTTGGGCTGTGGTATTTCTTCCTTTATCCCGTTTGGTCACGGCGGCGTGGGCTGGATAAGACATTGGGGGGTAGGTAAGTTTGGTAGCTGTGATGTTTGGAAGTTTGGTAACAATATTCACATGGTTGAATTTGTTAATTGGTAGGTTAGAGCCCGTAGGTGGTTTTCAACCTGGGTGTGTAGGGGTATCTTGGTATACCCCTACAATGTTAAATCACTTGGAGTATAAGGCCTGTTGTTCCCGTGTCTTTAAAGAGGTTATCTTTAAAGCAGGATATCCTGTAAGTTCACTTATACCATAAAACATTGTTCATGTCCTTACTGACTTTGTACCTACTTGCTGTATATATCCCACATATATATCCCATATACAATTGCACGAAAAAGTATGTGAACCCTTTGGAATGATATGGATTTCTGCACAAATTGGTCATAAAATGTGATCTGATCATCATCTAAGTCAGAACAATAGACGATCACAGTCTGCTTAAACTAATAACACACAAAGAATGAAATGTTGCCATGTTTTTATTGAACACACCATGTAAACATTCACAGTGCAGGTGGAAAAGTATGTGAACCCTAGACTAATGACATCTCCAAGAGCTAATTGGAGTGAGATGTCAGCCAACTGGAGTCCAATCAATGAGATGAGATTGGAGGTGTTGGTTACAGCTGCCCTGCCCTTTAAAAAACACACACCAATTCTGGGTTTGCTTTTCACAAGAAGCATTGCCTGATGTGAATGATACCTCGCACAAAAGAACTCTCAGAAGACCTACGATTAAAAATTGTTGACTTGCATAAAGCTGGAAAGGGTTATAAAAGTGATGTGGAATCAATCAATTAATTGATTATCTTGTGTATCTGCCCCCGGCCAAATTAAAGAAGTAGTGCATGCACGCTCCTGAAGTAATTCACACCAGACACAGGTTTCGGGTTAATGAAAAACTTGAGGAATGTTTATTCTGAGGGGACGGCATGCCCCTTATAAAGCAAAATGACATCATATGCTTTGTCAGAGATAACATGAAATAATACATCAATAATTGGTTAGGTGTTAAGTGGTTCATTTATTGCTCTTCCTACCGGGTGTGATGTCACTGGTATCTTGGAGGTCTCCCCCAGATTCCAGCGCCATCTTGTTAGTGAGGGTGTTAGTCGATGTCAAAGGGAAACTCCCTAGCGGCCATTTTAGATAAATCACGTATAAAGTAGAAAAATGCTGATTGTAGGTATGCTGAGTAAATAGGCATTTTACTAACATAAATTGAGTTAATATTTTTGTCCACAACAAAAAGTATCTCCAAAAGCCTTGCTGTTCATCAGTCCATGGAAAGACAAATTGTCTATAAATGGAGAAAGTTCAGCACTGCTGCTACTCTCCTTAGGAGTGGCCATCCTGTAAAGATGACTGCAAGAGCACAGCACAGACTGCTCAATGAGGTGAAGAAGAATCCTAGAGTGTCAGCTAAAGACTTACAAAAGTCACTGGCAAATGCTAACATCCCTGTTAGCGAATCTACAATACTTAAAACACTAAACAAGAATGGATTTCATGGGAGGATACCACAGAGGAAGCCACTGCTGTCCAAACAAAACATTGCTGCACGT